TTCTTACCATCATCACCGTCCTTCTTGCCATCATCGCCATCCTTTCCACCTGGGGTTTTATCATCATCATCATCATCACCTCCATTATTACCGCCATTATTACCGCCGTTTCCAGCTGGGTTGGTGGGGGCACATGGTGCAGTTACGGTTACGGTGCTAGTGATGACTTTAGCAGCGTTGTTGGCAGCAGTGACTGTGACAGTAACAGCGGCCGGCTTAGCACCGGCAGCGGTGACGGTAACGTATTGCTTAACGACCTGGGCTGCACCGGGCTTCTTAGCGAGTGCAGCGTTGCAGACGACCAACTTCTTGGACCAGTGATCCTTAGTCCAGGCGATGTCCTTGTTGCACTTGGTTAACTTAGTAGACCAATGGTTCTTGGTGTTGGTGATCTCCTTGTTACACTTGGTCAACTTGGCTGACCAGTGGTTGTTGCAAGCGGCATTACATCCGGTAGCGGAGACAGCGGTAGCGCCGGCGACGGCAGCCCACATGAGAGTAGATATCTTCATCTTGAGTTATAAATGCTTGGTTGGTTTTTGAAAAAAAGGAATGTCTTGAAAAAGCAACAAAAAATCCTTTTTGTTGAGAGGGAGCGTCGTTAAAATTCAAAATGAATGTGGAATGATCGTAGAGATCTGTGGGATGTAAGCAGCAAAGAGAATGGCTGATGCTGATGATAGAAAGGGGAAAGAAAAGAAGGAGCAGAAAGTGGCCTGAGGGGGGTATTTATCCTACTCCCCGCTACTATTCCCTCCCATACTGGCATATCATATATATAGGACGCAGTACTTATTCACTAGATTACCAATCACCCTTAGCTTCAACTTCCCCCGACTCTACTATTGCCCGGTACCCAACCAATCGCAGTACCTAGTACCAATCAAACCCAGAGCTAGAGCTACCAGATAGAATATCCACAAATTGATTACACCCAGATGAGAACCCCGCTCAAAAGTCATACTTCATAATCCTAGGTCTCCCCAAGATATTACTTTTTGCGGAAACCTCATCCAGCTTCGAGCTACTAAACGCGAAGAACTGAAGTCCTAACGACTGCCAATATCCTTGGGTCTGTCTACCAGACCGTCTATCCCCTCAGCCATAACCCCCTCAGCCATGCATAACACCCCGCTCAACTTACACCTCTCACTAAACCCGTTAACCTTCCATCCTACCAATAAAGAGACCTCGCACTAACGTAATGAATACTTCCAGTGTTATACCACACAGTATCCTCTCTCGCTTCAAGCACACTACTACACGAAAGTGATCATCTGGATATATTAGCTCGATAACCCAAATTACCACTGCATTTATCCGACAAAGAAGTTATCGTTGTTCGGATATCTCGTCTACCAGAAGCCGCAAGCGAGATATCACTGAGCCAAGAGCCGCTTGTTCCGCCACCGAAAGGGCCACGCCGCAAAAAACAACGTCCTCCCGAAGGTAGTACAAGCATTTCTCACAAAAATCTGATAGGAAACCCCACATATGCGCCGAGATATCGTAACAAACCAATTGGATCCCCCCGATCTAGAACATCTTCCTTTTTTTGTTCCGTTTTTTGTTACTTTGTTTTTCTGTTTTTCTGGCTGTTTCGTTTCTTTTTGGTAAGGTAGGTAAGTGAGGCTAGAGGCTTCAGCTTAAGAGAGTGCCAATAATGCCATCTTTCTTATATCCGTCCCCCAAACCAGGATTTCCGACCCGAAAACAGACTAAAAACGCTCAACAACATCTGCTCACCAATACGCATAAACCGATCGTCCTCCCTGTATGGGCAGTCTACATCACCTGTACATACCATTCATGGTTCAGTTAAAATCCTAACAGTACGCTGAAGCAAAACTCGTATCGACCTTCCCCAATTTTTTTTAATTTTTTCTTTTAAGTCTGATCCCATGCGGAATCATTACCAACACATATGCACATCCTGTCATACAATGCCAATTATAACTTGACTCAACTTGACTCGGCTTAGCATAGAGCTGACAGGTAATATAGAAAGCTAGCATTACACCCTCCCGTCCTTCCATGCATACTTCCCTCAACTATATTCTTACGAAGTTTATTAACTTGGGCAGCGGTACCACGGCTACATTATCTAGTTCGACCCGGATTTGCTAGTCGTCAAACTTAGCGAAGACGAAGTCATCCAAGTCAGAATCATTTTTTAGGATAGAAACTTAAAATACAATCCTCTATCGACATTTCAAGTATCTCGAATACATTAATCACATAGGATTTTCTAAAAAGGAAAATACGCCAGAGGAACCCAGGAAGGAACAAGACTAGTCACAGCCCGCCGATCTGTCCTGCAGCCAATGCAATGTTTACAATCCTCGGAGATGATTCCTATCCAAAATTGTCAGCCCAAGTCTGACATGGAGTGTTAATCCTAAACTTTGACAAATTAAGCACGCGAGTAGCCAGCTTCTTATCCCTCTTGAAGATTAAAATAGGAGCTTTGTAGCACAACCCACCGCAGGGTTTCCTTTCTGGAGCAGCGCCCGTCCTACCGGGTAGGATATAAGCTTGTTTCGTACCCAGACCTGGAAGGATATGAGCTTAAAACGCCGTTTTTATTTTTTGTTTTTGATTCGCATCCGAAAGAACAGATCTTAAGACACAACAATCCTTTGTGGCGCGTATTTTACCCAGGTTGCTCAGGTGTGAAAATCGTGTGTATTAATTATTGGAGCTTGGTTTCTCTTGACTTTTGTAGATCTTCTTTCATGATTTAATGCGGTTGATCACGTTGAGAGTATCCAAGCGCAATAACAGTTTACATTTCTTTGCATAACACAGGTTTAAAAATCATCTTATAAGAGTAAATATGTGATCTAAACTTAATGAATTTAATCGAAAATTTAAATTTACCAAGAAGAAGAAGAATGTGTTAACTTAGCACCCAGACTCCGTTAGCTGTCAATCATTCTTGAACGTTAAGACCAAAGTTGACGTCTGTCTTTACAATTAATATCAATCTGGACTGCTTAAAATACCACACATCTAGTGCGTTGACCGTCTCGACTGTGATGCATAAGTATCTATCTGATCATGAAATCAATCTGATCAAGACCGATCCACATCTCAACTATAGCTAAATATAATAGCTCTTGTATTCCAAAAAATGTAGCCAATAAAGTTTTTTTTTGTCCATGACTTTAGCCCTTTGCTTATTTCGCTACTTCGGTAACTAGCTTTTTCCAGACCTTGATATTTTTCTATTGCATTGGTGGTAACAACCTCCAATTCTTGCAAAAGCTTCGCTTCGAACCTCTCTCTAGATCTTTCCACCTCGCTAAAACCCCGCCATCAATGGAAATCCCATGCTGGTTAGCACATGATATATCCTGTTGACTTCTACTAACAAAACAACTCTGGTTTTAAGCTTGAACCATAATGGCGCAGAATTTTGTTTCTTTTTTCAAAAAAAAAAAAAAAAAGTTAAGACAGAAAAAAAAAATAAAGGTTCTATTGATCAAACGACAGAACGAAAAAAGTGAAGCATATACCACCACCGACCATACGGACACTTGGTCACACAAACGTTAGCATGCATCGAGATACACAGTCGACAACGTTACACATACTATATATATAATCCGGCTTGCGTATACGACAATATGCAACAGGCCTAGAAATCTTCTAAGTTTAAACCGCTACCGGCAACAACCCCCCATATCTACATACCACCCCAGCAAATTCCCAGCCCTGCATGAATGCATCAGCATATCCCTACCACTCGCCTTTTTTAACCTGAGATTCCTTCGTCTATATCTTTAAAGCTTTTGGCATGCCTGGTTTCGAAGTTATCACGCTTCTGCCTAGGACTCGGTTCTCTAGGCCTACAGGCTTCTAGACTCCTCTTTATACCCAACCGCATTAATAAAAAGAGACCGGAGCAAATATTAATGAAAGTTTAAGGCGTAGTATTATTTAGTCTCATCTATGGGAGACCTGGGATAATGTATGTATCTCACACTAGGTACATATAGGTACGGTGCCTCTGATACAGAAGAGACTAGGTACGATTCGTATCTGGGTACGTAGTGGTACAACGATCGACGAAAGCGACGAAAAAAAGACAAAAAAAGAGATGGATGGTGAACATGAACATCTCTTCGCGCGGGGTAGAAAAAAATACAGCGATAGCAGCTAAAGCACTTCGATCATAAGAAAAAACATATTGTATGAAAAGAGAAACGGGAATGAGTAGAGAAAGAAAGAAAGGAATAGGTATACAGATAAAAGGAAAGTCAACCAGAAGCTCAAAGGCAAAATAATGAAGGCCAACCCTCATCCAATCATCTCCAAACAATCTATATATCCTCTCCTTCGTTCAAGTGATCCCAATCCATTTCATTCTCACCTTCCTCCTCTTCATCTTCTTCATCCTCTTCATCCTCACTAAACTCCAATACTTCCTCCTCTTGCTCTTCTTCCGCCCCGATCAATCGGATCTCTCCCAAAGCTCTTCTAGCTCTGTTGTAAGGCTCTGGCGTTAGGAATCTTCTTATCCTCTTCGCTTCGTTTTCTCTTTGCGAAGGGCTTCTATAGCTCGCAGCTGTAAGTCTACGCTTCAATTCCCCTCCTCTTGTTATAGGAAACCCAAGGCTTTGTAGATAGCTTCCATCAATTCCACCAGGGTGACCAGAAAGAATAGCGGCTCCGCTATTCCCACCAATGACATGCCATTCGTCACGAGGGCGGTTTTGATCTTCGTAGTGGCTAAGACCAGGTGAAGCCTCACGTTCATCGTGACAAGAAGCACGAATAGCCTCTGGCCATTGACGACGAGCGCTCGCATGATGGGCGCGGTAAGCAGCATACTCGGATGGAGTTTGAGAACTGCGACAATCAGTATCTGCGAAGAATGAGACCTGAGTTGGTGACAAAGTGGCATCAGGAGTTGGACTTGGTGGAGTACTAAGCCCGAATTGTGCGAGGCGACCAGCGGTTCGAGAAGCAGGCGTTTGTGCGTTATTGATAGTAGTAACCGTAGTCATGCGTCCCGCGGAGTCAGTACGATTGACGGTCGTAACAGTCAATGCGGGGAAAGCACGGAAGAAAAGCTCCTGTGCGATTTGCCAGTCGATACGGGTAAGTCGATTGCGAACATCTTGCTGTGGATCGAAGGCTCCGACGGTGGCGGCGCCGTTTCGGGCTCGGTTACGGGTATATGTATGGGTTGGACGCTCGACAACCCCGTTAATATCAAAACGGACCCAGATACGACCGCCGACGGATTCTTGGTTGGAACTGGCGCGGATATTGTTGTGAGTAGTTGTCTCAAGTACAGCTTCGTTGAAGAGTTGTTGAAAGCGCTGGAGGAGATTAGTAGCTTGTTCGTATAATGAGTGCTCCTCGATATAGCCGCGGAATCGTCGGATCTCGCGTGTAATAATCCATTGCTGATTTTTTTAATATTAGCTGAAAACTCGTGAACGAGAGACACGTCCGTCTCATCCGTCAATGGGAATTATCGAAATGTACTTACGATGATAGCAGTCCCTCGAGAGCCTCTTCGAGGAATCCCAAGCTCCCTCAAAAGCCTAGTCGTCTCCCTAGACCTCGCAACCGGTGCGGTATCTGGAATTTCAATGTTGTCAGAACGTCGATTAGGTCTCCCAGACCCATACCTTTCGCACCAACGTCTAACAGCCGCCTGACCTACTCCATCCAAGCTGTTGAAGGAAACAACTTCGTGGTCAAGCCCAGTGTCAGACAAAAGGATTGGATCGGAGAGAGTAGCGACCCCAGCAACCATGATCTCTGGAACTTCAACACTAGCTAATTGACGTTCCAAAGCAACTATTTCGGGTCTAGTACGAACTGAGAAGTATCCAGAACCATCGCGTCCTTGGTCCTCAGCGACGAACAAAGTTAATCTCCCAAGCTCGAGATGGTCTGATAGAACTCCTCGCGTGAGAGGGGGAGCATCCTCAAATTGGCGCGTGGGGACAACGACGCGAAGAACGAAAGCGTTGATATTGTTGTAAAAGTCAACATTTATAAAGGCCCCAGAGGCTCGAATCTCCTGGACAAGTGTTTCAAGGGACTCCTAGTCCCTAGCAACCCTGTCAAAGACACTCAAATTGTTGACGACAATAGCCTGGGCACCGTCAAAGGGGTAAACGCGAAGGATATTTGCATGGGAGGATGGGCTAAAGGTTGGGGCGCTGTTTCTTCTACGAGTAGGAGTAGCAGGAGCAGCTGGGAAAGGAGAAGAAACAGCTGGTTGACGGCCACGAGGTGGAGAAGAGCCGCTGGAGACAGTGTCCTTCAAAGCTTCAGGAAAACGGGACATGGTGATGGTAAAAGAGCTATATGACATTAGCATCGTGGATTATCCAGACCGGACATCCGGAAAGACACAGAAAGAACTGTCTACATACTGGTGGAATGAATTAGGATGATGGATTCAATGGCGAAGCCTTGATGAGCTCTCCGTTAGGGGCTGTTTGTTGTTGATGATGTTGTTTGATGGAGATTGATTGGTGATGGAGAAAGGGGAGCAGGGAGGGCGTTTTTATAGTGGGAATCAACTAGAAAGAAAAAAAATTACCTATGGAAACTGCACCAACGTAGTTTAGGACGCGTGATTACGCCGCCTAGTTCCGTATCTGTCCTATAAACAAATATAGGAGCCTGCATATGGCAACCCTGGTTACGGGACTGATGGCAACCATCCTGTTTATGGCACATCGGAAAGTCGTAGCTACTATAGTAGCCCATAGAATTTTTATCAGAAGCGCATCCTGTCTAGAGTAGGCACATATCGGGGCACATATCCCCATACGCTGATATCGAATGTATCCAAACACGACGCCCGCGCCGGTAGTACTATAGTCACTCTCTAAGTAATGATATCATGAGATCTAAAGCGGTTTCTTTCTTGATAGGTCCAAAGACTCCAATATATCTCAAATACCTAGTAATAGCTACGGTGTAACAGCCATGAGAAATTATGTCCTTTTCCATAAAAGGGTGTCGACATGTCTTCCTGGCATCTAATAGTCGACGAACGCCAACTTTTTTGCGGAGGTAAAATGCACCAATTATTGTGTTGCCCACATAAAATCCAACAGTTGTCGTCCTCGTCGTCGCTGGGGACACACAGAGCACTTCCTTCCCTGTCATTCCAACGTCACCAACACCGGTCCCTTCAGAGGTCCCGATAACTCCTCGCGTCCTCTCGCATCCCCTCACTTCCTCCTTATCACGATGCTATATCTCCTGCCTCTAAGCAAGGGCCAATTCTCTCACAGAAACTGACCGGTCTTGTATATACCTCAGCATGTCACAACACTTGCGAACCGCCAATATGGACAATGTCGATACGCGTATATACAAGTAGTCCCTTCCATGCCCATGTCCATGTCCATGGCCATGGTCAATCAAACATCGACTTACCTACCTAGGCTAGAGAAAGGCTCGCCTCGCGTACATATAGTACCCTGACTCACCAGGCGAGTTTTGCGGGGAAAGGGAATGACTGGTCTGGTGTGCATATGCACCTATGTGGTACAAGAAGTCGAAAGTCCGGTACTAGACGGCACATTCCAACAGTCCAATGTGTCAAACTAAAAGTATCCCGACTCGCATGAGTTTGACCCAGGGCTGTATGCTAGGCTTTTAGGTTTTTATTTTCAAAGCCTTGTAGGAAGGCTTTAAGCCTTAACCTCTTGGATTTTGTTCGATCACGAGCTGGTGGTTTGGATTTATATTGTATCTATAAAGCCTTCCTGACGGACATTTAAATTCTTAACCTAGTCCTCTCGAACGAATATAATCCTCCCAGTTCAGTAACTCACTTCCAATACTTCATAGACATTTACTCTTACAAGAACGAAATGTTTACTTCAACTTCAACTTCTTCTTTATCCTCCTCCAAACTCACCTCCCTAAAATCCCGCTTCAAATCCCGAAAACGTTCTAAACGTTCTTCGTCCAATTCAACCTTCACCCGACCAAACCTCACATCCATAGACCCTCAATCAACATCCCCGCTCTTCACGCTCCCCGGCGAACTTCGTAATCAAATTTGGGAATATGCTTTGACCCCGTACAATGATTACACCCGTCCTTACCCTTCCTCAACACCCTACTCACGTCCAGACTACCTCGCACCCCTAACCTCCGCCGTCTCTTTACTCAGAACCTGTAAAGCAATCTACTCGGAAGCATGGTACCTCCCATGGACTACCGCTGAGCTATCATTCTACCTGACGGGCACGGATCGTCGACCAGCTCGTGTTGAAACTGTAGAAAGGGTTCAAGCCATCTTGGACGATTTATATGATAAGGGTGTTGACAGCTCAACCAAGAAGATTAGAGTGTTCGCGCAAGCATACCAATTAGAAGAGGGGAGGGAACTCCAAAGGATATTGGATATGCATTATTTCAGACCTACAGAAGTGGTCATCACCATTCGTCATACAGACTTTTGGTATTGGGAACGTGATGCCAATTTACGGCTCAGTGGGCAATGGGTAGGAAACTGCCAACTGCCCGACAGTGTAAGGGTGGTTAAGATAGAATTCGAGAGTTTGGAAAGAAAGAAAGAACAGATCGATGAGATCACGGAACAGGCTGTTGACCATTGGGTGTTTAGAACAGTCGATGGTACTAAACTCTCTGCCGTTATAGAAAAACCTGCTGATGGGCAAGCGAAGGGAGAAACAGAAGTGATGAGGTGGACTGGGAGCAGCAACCTACGCGGACTAAGATGGTTAAGAGATGAAATTGAGCATAATAAGTTGAATTATTATGTTAAAACGGTGGTTTGGAGAGTTAGGGATGAAAGCAAAGACACAGGTGGCGGGAACATTCGTTGGGCGAGAGGTGTTTCAGCGGCATATGCTCCGCCGTTATATTCTGATATTGATACTACTACAGAAGAGGAACTGAGCTATGTGGGGAAACATGAGAATATTACGGTAGAGGAGCTGAAGCAGAAAATTCTGGACTGGAGGTTAAAGAACCCGAGGTTAGCGAGACAGGTTTATAGAACTCATGATCAGTAGCTACACCCGCTAGTTTTTTTATATATCTGATGATAGACGAGACCGGAGACCATTAGTTGGCTATGGAACTTATATACATTCAAAGTTATAGATCTTCCTCACACTGTCTATTAATACCATATCAATACTGATATGTACACGATAAAGATGGCCACGGCTTTCGAAGTTCGGAAGCAATGCAGCCAAACCATGACATGCCAGGCTACGTAGCTGACAAATAAGTCTAGGCTAAGCACGCCTAGATATCCGCCGTTTTGTCGCGATTTAGAAAAGAATAGAAAAACAAAGAGGCAAATGCAAACGTGGATTCCGAGAACCGGGTGTCAAACGTTTTTTTTACTTTTGAAATACCAGACCAAGCACGGGGTATCACGTCACACTTGGCCTGAAACTCGAATTCATAATCCCTATAATTGATATTATCGGTATGTATGGATGTGGGGTAGGTGGTGAGCGCATACTAACGTCAGTTAGCTAGGGCAAGTGTACCCGACATATACCCACATCTCCCCTTCATTCGCAATACGGAACAGTCAATCAATCAATGTCTGGAAGGAAGTATGTGTGCATGATGGCGAATTAAAAGGATGATATAATACCATCCAATCGCCTCACCACGACCAACACCTTCTAGCCACAGGAAATTGTAGAAAAATGAAGTGGCTGTCGTCACTTCTCGTCTGCTCGACGGAGCTAGCGTGGGGTCTTGACTTTTCTTGCATGTACAAGACCAGGATCAGGGGTATTCGGGTATCTGGTTCTACCAGCCGACAAACACACTCGCTTTTGCCCTCACACACACCCAAGGAAAGCGATGATGTAACTTCGTTCGGTTCTTCAATTCTTTTTGATTGGAAGTAATTGGACAGTATCATTGGACGGATGGGCTGATGGATATGCGAGTATCTTATCATGTCAGTTAGGTAAAGTGTGAAATCAAGGCACAGGAACCTACAAGTACCAGGCACTCAACCCCCGCTGCAGGTTGTTTTTTTTCTCTTGGATTTTTTTTAGCTTGAAGCTGCAAAGAAATAGGTGAGTGTATGTATGTAACCGCCCCACCCAGCCTCTTTCTTGAAGTCATGTCGTCGGAGATACGCTGTTTACGTGTACGACTTTCCCATCCAATAGGCGTCCAATCGCTGGTTTCCTCCCATGCATTTCCTGCTTTTGCTTTGTTTTCTTTTCTTTTCTTTCTCCGAGTTCGAGGCTATGCTATGCAATTGTCAGTCTGTGCGAATGTCAGTACTCGATCTGTGAAAAAGTATTTAAAGAAAAAGGGTGGTATCTCCAGCGAGAAAGGAAGTGTGAAAGTTAAGAAGCTTAAGACCTAATCACCTATTTTTTATATATCGGCGTCTTTACGTCCCAATTAAATATAAAAATAATTAAATCGCCTTTCTTCTCTCGCTTTCTTCTCTCTTCTTCCTTTCTTCCTCTCTTCATCCTGACTTAAGCTTCCTCGCCATTGCTGTGATTGATACCTAACTACCAACCACCATCACCACCTTCTTCATTAACCCAGGTTCATCTCCATTCGCTGCTTCCAAAATTAAAACAGACCTTCTTTCTCTAAACTCCGACATCGATCAAAGATTTATTTCAATTGAAAGAAAATCGATAAAATGGCAGGCTTCAAGAAATTCGTCAGCTATGCTGCTCCTCTCGCCATTCTAGCTGGAGCTGGTCATGTCGCGGCTCAGGCCACTACCGATGCTAATCCACCCGTTCAAGTCACAGCGTACGTATCATCCATCCTATTTCTAGACCTTTGCATCCTTGAGCTTGGCCTCGGGAAGCTTTTTTCTCCTTATCTTTCCTCCTCCTTGGCTTCAAGGCTACAGTGTTGTTGGTTGGTTGGTTTATTCCTTCCTTCCCATTGGCGCCCGAATCAGTGGTCTACATATACCCAAATGCACCCTGTGATTAATTGTAACAAACTAAACATCATGAATCGTGATGGGTATCTTTATTTAACGAGGTTAAAGAACTTCGCTAACAATCAATTGATGGAATAGATCCACTGCGACCGATAGCGTTGTCGTTGTCGCCATTCCGTACACTACTGTTGTTGATGGAGCCACCTCGGTCCTGACCACCGAAGTCACGACCACTCTCCCTGTCCCAACCGGTCTCGAGAGTTCCATCACTTCAGTCGTTGGATCCGCTTCTTCAGCCATCGATTCTATTTCCTCGGCCATCGAGTCTTTGACTTCTGCTGCTGGTTCCATCTCCTCTGAAGCTTCAGCTGCCATCTCAGGCACCACTCTTATCACCAGTACCATCGAAAGCACTATTGTTACCACTGGTACAAACTCTCTTTACCTCGTCTCCTCTGGCACCACTATCGTCTCCGACGGGGTTACCAGCATCATTCCGGAAGCTACAGTTTCAACTGTTGAAAGTGTTTATACGTCGACAACTGAGCTTTCGACTGTCACTACTTTCGTTAGTACCACCGGAATCATCGGTAACTCTAACTCTACCGCCACCACTGGTTCCGAAGGAACTGAGGGCACCGAGGGTCCCACTGGAAGTGAAACTGAGACTGGAGGCCCCTCCACCAGCTCTCCAGCTGCTGCTGCTAACATCAAGGTTCCAGTTGAGATGGGAGGATTGGTAATGGCAGTCTTGATGGCTGTTGGTTTACTCTAAATTATCGGCCTTAGCCCTTAATACAAGTTTTTTCTTCTTTTCTTTTCACTCCATCAATTTATATTTACTCAGAGAGAAGTTGAGACGGTTGAAAAACAGGGCATGGAAGCCACCGGTCTTCCCTTTGCGACTTCCAACTGGCGTTTTGTATCCTGCTCTTCTTTCTTCTTCTACTTCACTTCTTACCCATAAATGGTCTTCCTCCCCTTTATTCAACGGGAAATCACCAAAATCTTCAATTCTTTTCTTTACGCTTTCGCTTTTTTCCCCTTTCGTTTTCGAGCATACCATACATAAACTGTACTGCACTGTACTGCTTCCCCAAATACCTCTTTGTTTATGCATGCATTCTTATAATGCACACAATGCCCTGCACTAGCTCCTATGAATTCACATGTTAATGATAATGAAAACAGGAAAAGAAACTGCCATTGCTTCGTACTAGACGTAGCAGAACACATGAGGACAAAGAAGGGAAACAAAATGATAATGAAATAATTCTTAATGGAAAATGCACATCCTTTTGGAAATAGGCCTGCCGTAGTTCTTTCATTCTCAGACTTGGAATCTGTAATAGTCTGGCCTGACAATCCTTGGTACAAACACCTTGGAACTACCTAGGTCTCTTCTTACTTCATATACTTCAAAACAACCTAGTCATTAACATCTTAAGTGTTTAAATAGGGATTGTATTCCCGCTCACAAGCTAGGATTCAAGTATCTACTTCCGTAAATAGACAAAAGCCTCGTACACGATTTTACAATTGTATTATTTAATCCACTATCTTATTATTGAAAAAGCCCTCTCTACGCTTACAGCTGACTAGACATGTATATCCTCATGATGATACCGATCCTTCATAGACGATCGATTATCATTAATTATTCCCTTCGTATAAGTTACAAAATAGTCACCTTCACGGTCATTCATCTCAATCGGTTTATACATTTATCCAGATTTAGAATTAATATTAAATCTCGCATGGCGTTTATAAGAAAGAAAGTCGGCCATGTGACAGGCTTGTACACAACAATCGCTTAATTTAGCACTTATAAAACTGACCTTCGATATTAGAACTAACTCTAGATATGATGATCTTGAAACTTTTTTTTTTTTTCCATCTAGGTTGTAGGTATGTACATATATAAAAGAGGGAATTCGAATGTCTGTTGGCTTCTTTCCTTCCTTTAATCGCCCTAACATTCATCCGAATATCGATATCCATTCCACTGTTTATTGACCCGTTCAAGAGATACTATACACAGACTTCAGTTGCATTTCACTGTATCGAGAAGACTATATTATCAGATCAGAACACATAGACAGTCTCAATCATATCTACTATCTAAGATGTCTTTATCAAAATTATCAAACACCGACCCCTTGATGGCGCTTCCCGTGGAGCTTCAACTCGAAGTCGTCAAATACCTAGGTATCAAAGAGTTAATCGCCCTTGTGGAAACCCACCAGCACTGGAGCAAGGTCATTCGAACCCACAAATCCATTCAAAAGGGTCTCTACACATTCCTAGACAATGGCGTCGGGATCCACAATCTGCTCATTCAGGGCGTTGGCGAGGATTTAGAATGTGAATTGGATGAAAAAACCAACCTTTTGAAATCGATGACCTACCTATCACCGTCTGAATCCGCAACTAAAGCTCAGGATCCAAAGACAAAGATAACAATCCCAGTTAATTCTCCACTCTTGGATGAACCGGTTATATTCCCTGGATCACTACCCCCGACGATACCTCTGTTCTGGAAAACATACGACGATGATATTATTTTGCCTCGGACTCAATATCCTGATTTGGACTTCCTGGGGTTAGAACCTCTAAGAAGCCCCTCACCTCTGCAATTAGAACGCACGCCCCCAATTAGAGAATTTACCTCCAATCGACCCTCCACACCGTCTGATTGGCTTTGGGGGGCGGACATTTTGAAGCCGAGGGCCTCTGACTCAATATTTCCAGACTTTGAATCTGAAGAAAACCCCCAGGACTTTGAATCTGAGGAAAAACCCAAGGACGTCGAAACGGAAACCAAAGATCCAGACGATTTACCTTCTCGAGGGGAATTTACGATCAGACATATGCTCCAGGCTATTATGACAGAGGCATTAGGACATAGGAAGCTCTTGCATTCGGTACAATCAAGACCGCGCGAATATGTATGGTCAGACGACGGGAAAGGTTTTGTTAAAGCTTCCGAGGATTGCGTGTTTACTTTCGCGGGGCAGGATCCTTCTTCTGGGACTAAACATGAGGGATCGGAGCCTTGCGAGCCGTGGGTATTTTCTGTGAGTTTGAGCAAGAAGCTGAACGGGACCTTGACGATTTGACGATTCTATCAAATTTTGACCCCTCTGTTGACTCCGAATTCACGCCCTTTTTTGGTTCGTCCCACTTGCGAATAACTCTGAGACTGGCTTACCACAGGGGACTACATGCATATTCCACGGTTGCAATTGTTCAGTATTTATCCATGTATGGTATAGAAAGTTTGTCTCGTATGAGACAAATAGATAGTTAAATGTCCAATTATTTGTAATTAAGGTTATATATATCGATTATCATACATCATGCCCATATATCGTTCCCGCAGCTGTCACAGCTGCATAATGATAAATAAATAGACAATGTTCGACTTAATCCTAATATAGAAGCAAATACGATACATTACATATATGGGGCGCTATTGCTGGATGTTAGGCCGAATTGAGCTTAGTGATCGATCCGGCGATCTATAAGTACTTAAGCATTTGCGGGAGCCCATGGCCGTGAGCACGTGCACGATTCAAAAGCAATGTTATATTGATATATAATAAGAATGATGTATGATGCATATGTAGATCTTGTTAGAAGCTCAAAAATAAAAATATATTCCATTAACAGTTGTGTTTAGGAAATTGAAGACTGGGGGAATCATGATCAATAACAATATGCAATAGAATTAGTCTTGGAGCCAGCAACAGAATATCGAATAGCAGTCGAGGGCGGGATTGAACATTTTTTTCTAGTGCAGTGTTTTGTGTGGTATTTGCCTCAAAGCCAATTGTTTAATGCGTTGTTGTACAAATACATCTTCATAGGCATCGATAACAACTCATCAGGCAAGGTGGCCGAGTGGTTATGGCGTGTGGTAGGTTTCACAATCCAACAGAATTACCAATTCTGAACATTCAACTAACAGACTACAATTAGACTCAAGCGAAAGCTTCACTGGCTCAGACAGTGTGTTCTCATGGGCTTAGCCCGCAGGGGTTCGAATCCCCTTCTTGTCAACATCTTTTTTTGCATTTTTTTTGTTCACCTTTTATTTTGTCCCTGTTTGACACCAAACATCTATCTATCTATCTAAATTACTAAGTACTTATATGGTAACTAAAGTCTTTTGAATAAGAATCAATATCCCGTGAAGCCACTGTCTGGAAATGTCGGCTTTCTATTACAAGAAGATGATCTGGTGTAGAGAATTCGAGAATTCACCCTATTATTTAAAGCATATCAATTACTTCCACACTTTGGATTATGGTTCAATTCATGATTCATCACGGAGAGAAGAGATACGTCTGGGTTATAATATAATAACTATAAACTCTGGCCTTTCTTGAAGCATAGCAAGTTTTGTCATTACAGGCATCCTGGAGCGATTTAAATTTGGCAGAGATCTATTTTTGTATATGGTTAATATGCGCATATGTTGATCTATCTATATATATACTTACGTTGCTATCAGCTATCTTAAGATCTTTCTAAGTACTTAAGTACCTATATAAGGTAGCTGTTAAGATTAGTTGATCAATTGATTCCTCTAACATTAAGATTCCTTCTTTCAAATCCCCATTCATCATATATTCTATCACGATAGACCCATAGAAGCGCCAATTGGCATAATAATTTATATATACTCTTCTTGTTCATATCAATCTCACGATGCATATCCACGACCTCCCCACCGAACTACACATCGAAATCCTAAAATACCTTCGATCTTCAATCTCAGACCAGATCTCTATCAGCCTAACCTGCCAACGGTGGAGTAAGATCCTAGATGCCCGCGTTTTCAAACTCAGTCGTTACAACTATCTCCCGCAATACTATAACATTGGAATCCACAAGCTCTTCGATATCGACGAGGATACATTCATCCCTTATACTGGAATGAGCTATGACCGCAAACAATCCGAATTATACTACAAACGTGACCTCGGGATACTGGGCTTAGGTTGCGAATATGATCGCGATACGGCGAAAGTTACAAATTTTTCCTATCTGTTCCGTCACGGAGCTCAAGACAATGAGCTCGAGATGCAAATGGAAGAGTTTTTCAATATAACTAATCTAACCAAAGTTGATATTTCAACATGTCCTTTTCTCGACGAGCCGCTGATCATTCATAAACCCGGATTAAAAATCATGAACACCCAGCATTCCGATCGCTTAGCAGTATCTCCAATGGAACAAAGAACAATCTCCAAATATCGAAAGATTCTATCTCAAGATCCTGATATCCACCCTATACGCCCCATGTCAGTTGGTAAACACGCACAGGGACATATATTAACCCGGATGCTCCGGATTGCAAAATGCGAATGCGATCTCGACGTCCGGTACATTTGTAGTACACAATATGAGGACGAACTCGGCCCTTCCTCGAAATATCGGTGTCCGACGGGGGTGAGCCGTTGTAGATATGATCTTGAAGTATTTTGGCCGGCGGGTGTGGTTAGGACACCATCTAAGGATGTTACGGTTAGACAGGCTGTACAGGCTGTGGTGAATGGAGTTTTAAGTTGTCATTTGAATGAGGGTGTGATGGAGCCTGGCTATGGTTATGTTAGATCTTTCGGGTTTGCATCAGTTATTACAGCTCCATGGAAAATTTGGGGCCGTGATAGTGACGATGGGTGTAGATGGTGGCACTTAGAAGGGGTTCATTATGGACCTTGGAAGAAAGTCCGCCGTATAAAATCTGCCGATGAGTATGATAACGCTAGGGAACTCCAAGGTCACGAAGGAGACATAGTGGATAGGATGGAAACTCATTCTATGTCATGAATTTAGACTTCTTATGAAATCGATCGTTCTTTTATTAGTTTGTAAGTAGGAAATATAATGGAGCATCTATCCTTCCTTCTTCCCAAAGAACCCTTCTAATTTAGTCTGTCTTTGATCCCACTTTTCACTCCCTACTCCACCGCCAGTCCTCTTGAGTCCTACCAAATGTACTTTCTCATTAACACCCTCTATCACCACCGTCATTCCATCTTTACTCACAACGCCCTTTGGTAATACTTCAACTACTAGATATCCCGTATTCCCCCATCCGGGATGCTTGCCCTGATACCACCCCTTCTGCACAACCGGTGTAGTTGCAAGTACGGACGTAGGTGGGAATAAGGCCACAAACGATTTCCACAGCCAAGATAGTAGCATACCATGGGAAACTATAGCAACGACAGGCGAGGAGCCTTCCGGCGGAGGGTCTTGATCGTTACTCGCAGTCGTTGTATTCTGGGATCCACCGGCAAGGGATGGAGGTAGAAGGATCGGTGTTCCTGGTAGGAGGGGGATGATGCAGCGATGGACGAAAGAGTCTGCTCGTGCTTTGATTGAAGCTGGGGTTTCCATTTCTCGAAATTCCTCTTCCTCTCCTTCTTCCTCTTCCTCCTCGGGAAGCGGAACTGCTGCTGCTGCTAAAGGGGTATCGATAGCTCCCGTAAGAGGTCCTTTCTCCCCGGCCGTCATTTCGACATCCGTCTTCCTGGAAGTGGACGGTTCGTTATCATCACCCCTCCTCTTCTTCATATCTCCTCCACTCCCACCAGCAGGACTACTCGTACTTCCAACTCCGGAGCCTACACTATCGCTTCTTTTCCTTTTCTTCAAGTTTTTTTTCGGCGTAGTAGTAAGAAACGTCTCCCCCTCATAACTTCCAAAATCCTGCTCTATAAGATCGGCATCGATCTTGAAATATATTGCTTCACCAGCTTCTTCCTCCTCTCCGTCATCATATCCAATCTTCTTTTCATCTTCGTTTAATATGGGATTTATGGAATTTGAAGACGATGCTGCTGTTTCCGGAAGATCCGAGGTACTGTCCTTTTCCTTTCTCTCCTCCCCTTCCTCCCTCTCTCCCTCCTGATCCTTTTCTGTGGATGAGGTATGTTTGTTCCGTGATTGGGAGACTCTAAGTCTTTTCTGTTCTTCGTATATCGCCTCTGCTGTCTTTTTAGCCCGTGAGAGGGGTGATGAGAAGATATGTGTGATCGGAGGGATTGTGCTGCCGATGTGGCTAGCTAGTCGGGCGGTTTGGAGGACCCCGTGGGAGGTTAGAGAGGAGTCGGTCACGCCGGCGCTGGAGATAGTAACATGTTTAAAACAGTAATTAGAAACAAATCTGCTTAGAAGTCATATATTTTGGAAAATTAAAAAAAAAAGGGACACATACTAGACATGCCGAAGGTTATCAGTAGTCTCTCCGTGACGGATGAAGAGTATCTTCATTTTTTTTCTTTCTCTTTTTTCTTTCGTTCTTCAGTTCCGTGATTCGAATCCGAGGATTTAACTTTCCGAGAGTTAATTCGATTTCGGTTACGTAATGGCGATGTATCCAGCCTTAATCTCCTATGCAGCCCCGAGATTCGTATCAAAATAATAATAAAAATAGAATAAAAGTGAACGAAACAAAACAAAGGCTTTCAGAGGACGAGAAATCGCGATTGAAATAAGAAGGCTGACTAGGAAACCCAAGTAGCGCAAAGGGCAAGATGTCGTTATCAATTCCACTGTTTCCCCCCTGTAAGGACGGGAAATCCCAAGAACCGAGACCAGCCTGGCCGCTGTACAAGGTGGAGTTGGATGACTATTAAGACACCAAGCCCCCGTTTAGTACCCGAACTCCGCCAATACAGCTACCAAATCCGCAACTTTGGGTATTTTGTTCTTGACTTAGAACGTAAAGGTAATGAAGCCAGGGGTGTGTGGGAAAGATAACCGAATTGTATATGTATATGTATATGTATATGTATATAAACGCCGACCAAAACTTCAAGACCAGGCTTTTGCTTTTGATCAATTGACCACGCACCGTACCTGCCAGTTATGTCGATATTCTTAAGGGCTGAAAACTAAAAGCTTGTTGATATCATGACCAATACCCTATTTTGAACTGGCTGATAACGTGGATGTTAGCTATGGGAAGATGATACGATATCCACCTAGCTACCCAGGCACAGAAGCCCGGCGATTAGGTTGCCTGGAGCTGAGGAACTCGTTTAGCATTCAAACACCCCGGTTTTGATCTCTGCATCAGTATCAATATCAATATCAATATTGATTATCTGGGGTTACTCCGGACCCATGCACAGACAGCCAACAGTTGGAAAAGTAATACCCGAAGCCGATGATACAATAGCTATAAATATTAATCATCGACTCGCAGAAACCAACAACTTAGCGACACGTTCCGCCTCCAAAAAGGGAGAGAAAAAAGTAAATTTAAGGTCAGTGGAATAAGCAATTGAAGTGACAAGCGGGTTCGAGCCCTCGATAAAAATTAAAGGAAATCCCGGAATTACCTAAATGCCCGTCCCGTGTGTAGGTATGCGCGCGTCGGGTCTGTCTGCATCAATTGCGTCGTCGTCGAACGGTTCAATTGCGATTGGAAACGCAATCGAGTCGGTCAATCGCCGTTCAAGCTGAGAATCAAAAAATACCACACACAACACAGATACACGTATATAACCCGAATCGATTGATCTAGAACGTCTAGGTGAATAGATATATTGATTTCTTCATCATGCAAGCCACATTGCTGTGCATTAGGTTACGATTAAGTATTTGTAATCAGAATATATTGATAGGCGAGCTTTGTGCCTCTATGTACGGCGTGTATCATGTAATCGTTCAGTAATCTGGGGCACTATACAGGACCAGTACATTGGTACCCATACCGGACCAACTGAGTGTAGGGTTAATCTATACTCGTTGTGCATGCGAGTTGATTTTAGTTATGGTAAGGTGATGAAGATTGAAAGATAGGTTTTTAGTGGCAATTCTCATTTTCTTCTCCTTTCAATGCCTTCATGAAAGACAATAGTCAAATATTTATCATCCGGGAATATTATTATATCTTATATTGATATTATATAATTATGGATCTACTCTTACCATTTCTGCCTTGATTAAACTACCCCTAGAGATCTAAATCCAAAAAGAGAACCCCGGTTACGAACACTTTCACGGGTCATTGAAACAAAATAAGCTTTGGAGCGTGAATGCATGTTTCTTAGCCGACTTTATACGTTCAAAATTAATCTAAATGCTATGGTGTGAATGGCTATTACATCGCGGTACGGCAGTCGATATTGATGTGCATATTTATCCCAGCTTTAATCCATCAAGTCTGCAATTCTTGGATTGAGGTCCGAATTAACTCGCTTTCTTCCTTCCTTCCTTTCTTTCTTCCTTTCTTTTTTTTACCGAACATTAATAGCCCTTCGTACGCGATCATGTTTACTTTTTCATCCCCTTATCCTCTTTTTAGATACGCCTCTTTGGGGCCTTGCGATAAATCAATGTTCCATACGGAATATTAATATGTATTCGAGAGCTTAGGAATGCTATAGATTTCGGCTATCTACAATCTAATGCGACTAGACCAAATGAAAAAGCTAACAATAACAGGCTCTATATTTGCATACCACATAGTATGAAAGAACGCTATATCCTCAAACATGAGACGGTATAAAGTCTAAACCGGTACCATTTACACCCACGCCATCAAACCCACAAGAACCGCTACCCCAAAACTCCACATCCCGACCTCAACTCTTCCCGCTGCACTCCCCCCACCAGCAGCAGTAGTACCAGCAGGTCCCCCAGTCTCTGTCGGCGTTGGCCCGGCGGTAGTAGTCGTCGCCGCCGTAGTCTCCCCACCCCCACTAACACCCCTATCTTCCACCTCCCATCTGCCAAAAAAGTCCAAAATCAATTGATTAGCATTAACAACCGTCGGCTGCCCGCCAGAGATCAATTGACTAAAAGTCTCCTCCGTACTAGGCCAAACATGTCCCATCCCTTCGACCTTATAATGCTGGAAAGCCCCTTCAACACCATCACAAGTCCAACTATAATGCGTCGCTGTTTTATTATAGGTTTCTTCGGTCATATTTGTGCACTTGTTGCGTTCGACCCAGCCTTGGAGCCAGTAGGGTATTGATGGAGTGGGGATTGAATCGTTACGGCCGTAGTAGGAGATTGTGGTGTCGTTTGTGCCGTGGAAAGAGATGATTGGGATGGGTGTTTTGTAGGGGTTACAGGTTGCGTTACCGTTTGGTTGGAAGCCAGTGAAGGCTCCGGCGTCTGGAGCGAAGGCTGCGAAGTTGCGGCCGACGGTAGGGTCGCAGGCTATACGGTTTAGGAAGCCGCCGCCGTTGGAGATTCTGGGGAGGGATATTTATGGTCAGTTGTTATACAATATATTAGGAATGAATAGAGCTACAGCCATAGTTATATACTAATCAATTAGGGAAAGGAGGATGATGTGTATACATACCCAGTGGCATAAATCTTCTCGTTATCGACACAATAATTGTTCCGTAGGTAATTAAGTAGGTCGCTCATGAACTCAAGATCCTTCTCCAACGGCGTCGTCATATTCCCTGGCATTCCCGCCCAAACTCCACCTAGCGCATCAGGGTATACGAATATCTTCTACAAAAATTAAACAAAATTTCAGTCTCCGAAATTTCCCGAATACCGGGTCAATGACTTGGAAAGAGGGGAAAGAAAAAGAAGGAAAAGAGACATACCCCATTCCCCCACCTCGGCATACTAAACATCGTATCCGCCTCAAAATGTAATCCAACACCCGGCGCTCCATGGAATCCCAGAATCACAGGATAATCTTCATCAGAATCATAATCTTGTGGTAAATGGACCATAAAAGTACGATTGTTACCAGAACTTGTTATCGACACCTTTTGGGTCTTTCCGATAGCTGCCGACGAAACATCTTTTCCACAGCCTGGTGTTCTATCGTCATCTGCGACAACTGTTGATGCGATAAGCGCGATGGTGGCGAGGATGATTGGAAGTAGGCGGGTCATGGTTTGCAACAATTATTATATTAATCGAAAACCGACTCTAGATTAAAATTTATAACAAAAGTTTTACCCAAGATCGTAGCTTAGACCGGAACTTTTTTTAAAATAAAAAGAACCCGGGGAAGGGAGGCACATATATATAAAAAATCAAATTTGCGCCAGGAAATTTCAAAATCCCATGAAGAAGAAAGAGGAAGGAGGATATTCCCACCCCGGGGTATACGGGGTAAAAAGGGTAAAAAAGGTAGAATCCATGACTTGACGTTTATGTCATCTTGCAGCGGTCGGGGAGGCTGGGGCTAGTCGAATGTCAAAACACGGACCTTAGCTTGCCCGTTCACCGTTCACATCTTTCGCGCCGGCAGTTGCTTTAAAATGAATAAGCTTTTAGCAACCCATGAGGTGACACAAACTCTATGGATCTCCGCTTCGTATGGAACCTGATTGGTATCTTGGAACTTAGGAAGTCAAGAAGGTTACGTATACTTTGGACGTAGATCGATCCCGATTGAAATCTTAGTCTGGTTCCTGGAACTAATTTGGATTTTTGGATTGGAGATGTCCGAGAGCCGGCTGACTAATATTCCAACGTCGTCCAACTCAACTTCATCAAGTCCGTCTTGTTCAATACGGTGAGTGTGTATGTACAGACATATACATACTTCTGCAATTGAGGATAAAAAAAATAGAAACACCATAACCGCCGGTAATTAGAACCCATTCAAAAATATGAAATAAAAATGATAACCCCGTGTCACCGTGAATCAAGTAGAAACCAGCTTCAAACTCAAAAAAAAAGAAGAAGAAAGAGGAAGAAAAACTCAGCGTTTCGCGGCTCTCGTTCTACCCGCCCCTCTGCCCCTCCCCTTCGGCTCGTCCTCAACAACTTCCTCTTGAACGCTCCCTTTCCTTCCTCGCCCTTTTGCTGTTGCCGCTGCTGCCCTGGTAGTCTTAGGTTTGGTTTTAGGAACGGTAGTCTTGCCCTTCTTTATGGGCTTCCGCTCTTCCTCTTCCTCCTCCTCTTCTTCCTGATCTTCCTCGTCACCACTCCCCTCTTCCCCTTCTTCCCCTTCACTTTCTTCATCTGCTGATTTATCACTTTCCTCTTCCTCCTCGTCATCCTCTTCCTCTTCCTCGTCATCAGCTTTATCTTCCATTTCCACATCGCCATCTTTATCCTGCTTCCCCTTCTTTCCCCTCACTACCTTCCTCGTTTTCTTCCCTTTGCTCCGTACTTCAATCTCCCCTTCATCCTCTTCGTCCGCATCCCCCCTCTCACTTTCATCCTCCCCGAAAACCTCACTTTTGATCAAACTACCCCTTCTACCTCTACCCCTCCTCTCCTTCTCCTTCTCCTTCTCCTTCTCTTTCGCAGCTTCAGCAGCTTTCCGCTCTCCAATCCTCTCCGCACTTCTAAAATTATCAATAGCAATTCCAATATCTCTCGCCATCTCTCTCGCTTCTTGCGCAACTTGACTGTTGCTTTTATTATACATCACCGCATTGGCGAACATTCTCCATATTTCCTTCTCTAGCTGCGAAGAATTGGTAATGGCGCCCTTTGAGTTCATTGGTGCGTTAGCTACTGATGTGGTTGGTGTTGATGGAGTTGTTCCGAATGACATTGAGGGGCCGTCGGCTGTGGGAGTCGGCGTTAATGTCGGCGTCCCCGCTGGGTTTTGGGCTGCTCCAGCTTTGATTAATGCTCTAATGCCTATCATCCCAAAATATATATTAGCACTCGGTTACATAAAACTTTAGCCTGTGGGGCAGGTGTACTTTTAATATCCTGTGGCTTATAAACAATCCGACTATACCCCGGTGCCAACCGTTCGTCGACCGGTTTCATAAATAGATTCGCATACCGATGCGCCGAAACATTATTCAACAAGGGATTGGCTCTTTGCGCAAACTTCTTGACCGCTGAGGTACTCGACGTTGGCGTCGCATTAACCGACATATCAAGATGGAAGGAAGGTCGAGGTGTCGCAGGATCAGCAGCGGGCGTAGTGGCAGCATCATCACGCGGGGTTTCAACAACATGATGGTGATCCGTAAATTCCGGTTCGGTAGATGCAGAAAGCTGGTGATGATGGTGATTCCTTCTAGTACCACGTTTTGTAGATTTAGACGTGACAGTAACCGCTGCTTCGCTTTCGTCTTCTGTGGTTGTTATTTCCATCTTCTTCTTTTCTAGGGTTTTCTTCGTCGTCGATTTGGATCCAATAGGCTCTGGCGCCACGGATTCTTCCTTCTTCGTGGTCGGTTCGTCCACATCCATATCGTCAGGATCAGCGGTCCGGCTACCAACGCTACCGACGCTCTGACCGCGGCGGGGTCTTGTAGACGCAGCTGTTCCACGAGATTTACTAACTGCTCTACTAGTCTTCCCTTTCGAGGCCTTTGTGGGCTTCTCCTCACTAACTTCCACAGACTCATTCCTTTCCCTCCTTGCAGTTTTCGTAGCCTCCTCGTCCTCATCTGGGGCTTCAACTTTAGAACTCTTCCCCTTTGTGCCCTTCTTCCTTTTCCCTTTATCCAAAGGAAAGTCAGGAACACCTGCAGACGCATCATCCGGCGCCAATACGGGTGAAATTTCCTCAGGCCGTGGCCGGATAGGCGACGGTGGGCGTCCAGACTGCTCGCTTTGTTTTGGAGTAACAAACTGAAGAGGTGGTAATTGCGCCGGTGTATTAATTGGCGGTAACCTATTATCTTCAGTAGGAGCAGCAGGGGTAACGGGAGGGTACTCTCTCTGCTGTGGTGAAAACGCGGGTTGTAAAGGTGTAAACCCCGCTTGCGTAGGAGATTGCTGCGCATGGGGATATTGGTTTTGGTAATGTGAGTGTGTAGGACTATATTGAGGTGGTGGCATAGACTGTGGAAATCCCGGTGTTCGGGGAGATTGAGAAGGGTGCGGCAGTCCAAACGGGCTATGAGGGACATTATTATTATACCCCATAGGCGAATGTAACGGCTGATGTTCTGAACCTGGTGAATGATGGGGAAGATACTCAGACGATGGTAGTCGCTGCATAGGGGCGGGGTAGCCTGGTGGTTGAACTGGTGTCCTTTGGGGTGACAATTGGTGAATAGAAGGAAGAGGTTGTGCGAAGTGAGGTCTTGAAGGCGATGAATGAGGTTGAGGATACGAAGGCGTGGTCGGTGAGAATGAAGGTGGCAGGTGAGCTGGGCGGGGTGTTCGAGCTTCTTCTGTCGACCTAGGGCCTATATTAAGAGGACCTATCGGACTTTGACGACCATTTGAATAACCCGTCTCATGCTCATGCCTAGGATACACCGGCGAAAGTGCCATATCGGACCTCTGTGCCGATTGAGGGAATGTTCCAATCCTTGGACCCGTTGGAGTAAGCGGTGGCCGCCCTGGGGAACCACTGGGGATATGATGCGCGAACTCTGGTGGGGGTTGCGGACGCGGTCCAGACCCACTCAACCGTCTGATGGACGCCGGTGGCTTTTCGTATATCTGATAACCGCCCTGAACGGGTTCCGTGGGTTGTATAGGAGGATACCGCTGCTGCGGTGGTTGTGGTGTCTCAGATGCAACAGGAGGACGGGCACCGTCACGGATAGGATCGTATCCCACCCGGTCTGACGAAGTCTGTCGTTCTAACGGTACACTCTGGGCCGGTTCGTCAGACAGAATATTCTTCAGACTGGCTTTACTAGGCGACGGCGGTGTGGTCCGTAGCATAGTATGTTGGCCCTTCTGCTGCTGGCCAGCAACTTCCGCAAAAGGTTCATCTAACTTCTTCACCTCCACAGCCACCGGCGATACCGACTTCGGCGTCTCTTTAACGGCTTCCTTGGCCATAGCTGCCTCTTTAGCATCTTTAGCCGCAGCCGCAGCAATAGCAGCAGCAGCAGCTTCTCTAGAAGCGACCTCCTTAGCAGCCGCTTCCTTAGCTGCTTCTTCCTTAGCTGCATGTTCCTTAGCAGCAGTGGCCTCCCGTTCTGCCAAAACCCTTGCAGCCTCTCTCTTCCTCTCCTCCTCCTCAGCTTCCATCTCTTCAATCTCCCTAGCCCTTTCATTCTCCAGATTCCCAATTTCATCCAATAATTGAGCAATCGACCGTTCATCGGCCTGAATCTGCTCCTTCATCATATTCTGATAACTCTCCCACATCCGTCTGGTAAGATCTCTAACCGCCTTCTCTCCGATCGGCACGCTCACCCCAGAACTCACAGCCGAAGAAGGCGGTGGTGGTGGAGGTGGAATTACAGCAGGTGTAGCAGCACTGCTAGTAATCATCCCATTCCTCATAGCAACTCTACTACCTCTCGGCCGTGGAGTCGTAGGAACAGCAGCAGTCGTGGTATTCGTATTGGTATTACTCCCAGCATCACCATCTGCAGAAACATTCCCCCCAAAGCCTTCATCCCTCACTAGATCCCTCCATCTCTCCCGTAACGTATCGCCCGATAGCCGTCCAGGATCATAATTTGGTGAAGCAGTGAGCAATGGATTCTCCTTGAGAGCGCTGGAGATGACATTGAATGACTGCCCTGTTTCGCCGTATTGTACTACCTCTGCGCAGAGGAGGAGTTTTTCGAGATGGTCGTAGGAGGTGGGACTTGTAGGGGCCGATAAAGTGGCGGTGGACGGCATTGCGCCGTTTCGTTAAGGCGACCGGCTGTGTGATGGGCCGGTCTTCGAGGCAGTTAAGACGCGACGGTGACGGGTAGTTGAGCTTTGTCCGACCGACTGAAAGACTGTGAATGATCCCGATGAAGCTCCTATCGTGTACCCCCACAGCCTAAAAGCCCTTCTCGCACGATGAATTTTCCCGATGATGTTGGTATTGGAGCTGTTGGCGCGGCAGAGAGAAGGTTTTCGATGCCGCGAATCGAAGGTCAATGACTGGTTGTTTGTAATTGGCTGGGACTTTTCAGACGTCTTTTTTTTTTTTTTGGTTCCGACAAACAGCTGTTCGGTTGGTGGTTTTTCTCCCGTTCGATATCCACACTGCTGTGCACAGAGCCTCAGCATATCTCGCCGGCTTTATAAGGACGTCCTATTATAACTACTTAGTACTTCAATATATATACAGTTCCTCCAATATCTACAATTCCTAACCTAATATACAGCCTCATCTCACCTCCCAGTACCCATTTTATTATAATGTACGAAGTATGAGGTATACTTGAGTAGAGCAGAGAGTGCATAATCAATCCCACTCAGTTCCAACCTCCTCGGCCAAAAGACTGCTCAGCGTACTCTTGTCCCTCGAATACACCCACTTTCTCTCCTCCTCAATCCAATCATACCTCTTCGGCCCGCTGATAGGACTACTCAGCCATATCTGTTTATTCGGTGGCTGTTTGTTGATTACATAAGTCCCATTCGGCGTATCAAGTGTTAACACTCCGGCCTAGTAAAAGTTAAATATCATTCATGACCATTAGTATCTCTTTCATCAAAGAAATATCAAGCGACATCTAAATTCGTTAATGAAGATAAAGGAAAGGAAGATAAGGGGGTTAATAATTACACTAAACTCAACATCAAGTCCCTTATCATCCTCCGCCAATTCCTCAAGTTTCGTAAAAATCTCATCCATGGTTTCGTCCGCTATCTCATGGTATTTATCCATCGATATCCCCGAAGAGAATGTATAATCTGTACCACCGGCATTACATCGTGCCGTTGAATGGAATAATGACCTTCCCGCATATTCTACTGGCAAACGAGGAGCGGATACTTGTGATACTGAACCCCTCGATGGTAGTAGTTTTTTATAACTAGTCGTAAACCTTCGTGTGAAAGCAGTCTCTTGTCGAGCTGTCAGACCACTCGCTGTCCGAGTCCTTGATATTGATATTGATATCCGTGACGAGCAGCACCGAGGCAGCTGTCGGATAGCGTGGCTTGGTTGCAACTATAAATCATTTAGTTAACATATTGAATCGTAATATAACCAGAAGCTTCATATCTATACATACCATTGAGGTAGATGTTCTCTAATGTAACTCAATTCGATGTACGTATGTCCAGTCGAGATGAGTGTGTTCTGATATCAGAAGAGTTCGATTCGACAAATGTCGGGCACCCGGCAGGGATGGCGGCATGCCGGAAAACGTTGGAATTCGCGCTCACAACACATATATTCGAACACAGCCATAGATATCGTTGTATGAATTCCATGGAGGCCTGTATCTACGTATAAAGCTAAGGGACGTCGACAGACATGTGAAATAAAATTCTGGAATTGATTCTTATAGCACATCTATAGTGTACCTATAGCTACCTAGGTAGTTGAGAGAATAAATAGAGAGGTAGACACAGCTATACAGAATGCATGGGTCTAGAGTCGACATTCTAGTCGCTGTGTATTGATGACTTCGAGGCCAAGTACACAGCCCCAAAAAGAGGTATCCATGCAACGTCAAAAAGAGTGACAAAGACGGTAAGGAAAGGAAAGGAAAGGAAAGGAAAGGAAAGGAAAGGAATAACAGCTCGAGATTGTAATGTGAATAATAAGAAGAACAGGGTCGAAGGAAAGAAGCTCTTGAGCAATCAAAGAAAAGAAGAAAAAATCAAGACCATCCACAAGTGTACAAGCCTAAGTCATGGTATAGCCCAATGACCTACCCACCTAACTTCGAAACTGTACTACATAAATATAAAAAGGGACGAGAATAGAGACAATAGAAGATAAGGGAAACAATCAGCGGATCTTATAAGGTCCCTCCTTCTCAATCCCCTCTAAAGTTTCCAGAATCTCGCTCCCCAAGGCGCTAGTACTGCACTGACGTCTCGACTTACCCTTTGCCCCGACTACACCCCAAACTTCATGAAATCTGATAGTTTCATCGCTGGCGGCGACCACAAGGCACCCTTCATACTTCGGATCAGTCGATCCGGGAGCCACCGAATTAGCCCCTCCGTTCTCCGAATTTGACGAACGTCCGTTTTTCGACTCCGGTGGTCCACCAGGGTATGGCAGAGCATACAGAGCGCGCATGTCTTCTGCCCATGGTATCGAAACAACCTTGTGGCAGTCTGGCCAGGTGAAAACGGCAATTCGGATAGGGTGTTCTGGATTAGCGTATCCAAATGTGGCCGCGATCTCTTTACGTTGGTTAGACCAAACCAAGCTTGTAACTTGAGCCGAAACATTGATAGTGGCGATCGATGAACCGGTAAAGGTATGGTAGAAATGAATTCCTCTGTCGTTTGATCCTCCACCTGTTGCGATCAAACTTTTCTGCCAAGGACAGAAGGCAATTGCTTTAACCGCTGCTTGATGTGACCATTTATGACGAATGATCAATTCGCGGTTCGGTTCATCTGCGTCCCTGGAGTCAGAGTCTTCATCCTTTGGAGTTTCGACATCGAAGAGGATACACTGATTATCGTTCCCACCAGTTGCAACCTGGCTGGCATCTGTCGACCATGCAATACCACAAATCTGCTGGGTATGAACTTTCATCCGTCGAACAAGGGTCATTCCACAGGCAACGCTCCCAAGCTCTGGATCCCATTCGATCGCGTAAAAGTATATATTTCCAGACTCATCACCAAGCAAAAGATCCTCACAGCGTGTCCATTCCTTACGATTGCCTAATCCACGCCGTTTCGACTCAAACGGTTTGAAAGAAACGCAAGCAACTGCTGCTTGATGTTGGGCTTCGGCTCGAGGGACAGATTCGCCGAGCCCCCACAAAGAAATCACACCATCAACTCGGCCGACAGCGAGTATATCGAGCTTTCCAGGAGTTGATGAGAATGCAATAGCGGTTATTTGAGTTGTTGCCCACGGTTTGAACGGCTTTGCTCCCCCCCTCTCCGTCCAACCATATATATCGCTCCCGAGAGCGACCGCTAGAACTTTGGAGACCGGCGAGTATGCCAAAAGTGTACAATAAAAATCGTCCCTAAGGCCAGGAGCATCAAGAACTGTGCATAAAGGTTAGTATATCGCAGCACAAATCATAACTATTGGTGGTGTGACTTATCTAAACGGCGTAGAAACGACTTTCCTCATTTCATCCCTCCGTTTCTTTAGCTGCGCAGCCGCGATTTCTATCTGTGGACTAGTCGGACTCCAAGTTCCCAACTCCATCTTCATAGGGGACTGTCCAAGCCCAGAAGACCGTTTTTCAGGAGAAGGGGAAGAGTCGAAAGACATAACTTTCCCATCAAGGTTAACACCAAGGGCCAAGGCTAAACGCTCCTCATGCATCTCGTGCTCTTCCTGGATAATGGCATCCGCAGTATCCATCGTAGCATTGACAAGATACCCTTGCCGTTGTTGGCTAGCATTCGCCTGACCGTCCTGTGAGAAACCGAATAACGGCCGTGTAGAACGCCGACTGCCATCGAAGTTGATAGCACCAGGGAAATGACCAACCCCAACACGGTTCGAAGAAATGGATCTAGTACGAGCAGTTCGAGCACGAGGAGTAGGACTTGCAGAACGTCTACGAGCACGAGTACCTTCTTCGGAACGTCTACTTGCAGGAGTATTGATACGGAAAGATTGGACAGAAGCCGAAGAAGGAATGAAACGGTCCGGAGTGTGGGGAATACTTCCTGATCGACTGCTAGTTCTATGACGGAGAAGTGGAGGGGTCGTACGAACGGGAGAACTATCAAAGTATCCACTGTTGGCCCCCGGTGAGAATCGGAGATTTGGCCTTGCAGGAGGTGTCATCTGGAGAGCAGGCCTTGCAGGAGGCGTCATTGAATTTGAAGTTTGATGATTGTTACTCATCTTGGAATGGTAAGATTGAGATTGGTATATAATATATAAGTAATCATGTAAGTTTATAAGAGTACGAAGGGTATAGAAGGATTGATAGTAGTTGGGAAGGTATGAGCTTGTTGAAGCTTTGAAGATGTCCTTTGAGTAGGTCTCTCCCCAGAACAGGCTGGCCTGGCGGGGTAGCTGGGTAAAGATGAGAGGGAGGATGAGGGGCCAGGTACTTGGATGAATGGAAGGGGGGTGATAAACCGGTAAGATTTAATAGGTAGCAGCTGTTGGAGAAGGAGTCTACATCTGGTTGATATAGACTAACATGATAGCTAGAATTACGTCCGTATCTGGACTGATCTACCACCTACACCCGTAGACATTAAACATTGATCATCGTCCCATAAATCCTTCCATTATTGATCAATCATTAATTATAGCAGACAAGATTAGATTGAATTGATCATCTGATAATATGATATATATGGACGTCAATCATTCTTCTCTTCTGTTTCGTACTAGGAGACAATCGATTAATCTTTCTTTCATTCTTTTATTGAGAACTATAAATGACGATACCAACTTCTGTTAATCAGCTTGAATTTACTATTTAGGCTTTCTGGAGTAACTATACCTATAGACCGTGTATCCTATAGAGTGACAAAGAGGCTACCGAGTTGCTATATAATCAATGGTACATATCGTTTGACTGATATCCAGAATAGCTATTCCGGAAGATGCACTACATATAGTGTTTTGTATACTCGAAATCAATATTTTTGCTTCCATACTTGGAATTTAGTTGAAAGAGCGCTGTGAGGAAGCACCTGGCACGCATGGGAGTATATAAGTAAGTAAATATAAATATATCCCTTCACGAATAATAGCGTGGTGTTGACCATGTGGTATTTGGATGTGTTGCCCTGACGTCGCCTGCAAAGCATCTCGACAGAACATCTACGCGCGACCACCAAGACTGTTATCAAGACATCAAAGCTTATATCAAAGACAATCAGTATGCCTTCAACTCCAGTCCACCTTCCAAACCCGCTATCAGCGACCTCAAATACCAATCCCCTCCCTCAAATTCTTCGGCTGCCAACTGGTCTAGCAATCCTTGAGCTGCAGGGCGATATCAACTTTCCCAGCCCCGAAGATTCACCTTCCAACATCAATTTTACAACGGTTGGAAATCTCGTTTTTCCAGATGCCACCTCTGATTCCACGGATCTCAAAGATGTCAAACGCGTTTGGCTTTATGTTGGAAAACACCAACGATTAACCGGTGAGGTTAAGGCACTGCCAAAGCCACTTGGTGTCTTGAGAAAGCGAAAACAAGATGCTGCTGCTGCTGGAACAGAGGAAGAACTTGAAATCGTTGATATTATCAAGCATAAAATTATTTTCTCGAAAAGACCTGAGCCCGTTGGCGCAGCAGAAATGTAGATATTATTATTGTCTACCGCGGTTACTGTTACATCTATGTCTCGTCGATATTGAGCGAACCCGACTGTGCCACCCGAAGATTACTGTTGCTCAAAGAACAAGATTGGGCTCAGAAACATCATGAGTATCATTTTTCGACTGGCGAGACCGAGGAATTGGACTACCAATGATTTCAGGAGGCACCGCGATATGCTTGCATGCTGTACGAAGTACTCATACCAGGGTTGCTAGCTCAAAAAAGCCCAGCTGTTATATGTGGGATGGTGCTGTTGCTGCAGGCTGTTCGGATGAACGCTAGCTCCTAAGCTGCGGCATGAGCGGAAAGGATCTCCACACGCAATGCACGTTTTTAATATTCACGTTCAACTTCCATCAATATCGCGAGCAAAGTGGAGCATGAAAGAAGCATGTAGAGAGAAAGACAGATTCAATTGAGATTTATCAACAACATCCTCGCAAAGCCACCCCCCGTAGGCGCATCTTCATACAACTTCCCACATATGCAAAGTCAACTGATGTTGAAACCACAACCAGTTGGATCAGAAATCGAAGAAAAAGAGGTTCGGCTACACATTCTGCCTCCCAAGCCAAGCCTCTAATTTCCAGCCAAATCAAACCAGGGTCACTTGAGGCACCGGCAAAAAGATTTGGAAGGAAAAACCGAAGGTTTCAGAAACATTTCGCTGCTGGCAAAAAAAAAAGGGAGTGACTGCCAAAAAAACCCCAGACTTGATCAAATTGAGAGCCTCTTAAAACCTGTCGGTCCCATTTCCTCTCAAATGTCCAATCTCCTTATTATCATCTCTTGAGTTTTGTGGAATTTGCTGGCTTCAAAGATCTACCTATCGACGACTTGCGCTCCAATAGTTTCGACGCACTCCGAAGTCACGGAAAGATCCACTCAAGCTCCGAACCAGCTGTTTGCGGAACGATTGGCTCCCACTTCCCTGCGAGTTTTGTCCCTGAATCCAAGTCACAAGTACAGTACTTCCCAAGTCTGGCTCGTCGCCACGCCCCACGCCCAAACCGGAAGACGAACTTGGTTCACTTTTGCTGAGAGAATTATCGAGCAACGAGAGGTCCGTTCGCCTAGCTACGGCAGCAGCTCCTTTCCCTTCTGCGAGTCAACCCAACCCAACCCATAGCAAATAGTCCTGTACACCTTGCATCACGGACAAGGTGCAATTGCAGTTAAGAGTAAAAAGTGAGGAGGCGTGTGGGCGAAAACGGAACTAATTAGAATTAATTAGTAAAGGAGGTCGACCAGGAGAAACCCTTGATAAGCTTCTAATTGAGAGAGTGGTTTCCCTTTCTCTCAAATCTCCCTCCATATCCCAAAGACCTTCGAAAGGAGGTATTTGGATCCAACTGCTCCATCATGTCGTCCTCGGATGACAAGCTACCGACGTCGTACGTGCCTTCGCCTCGCATATAGGAATTGGAAGTTTCCTTGGCAACATAGTGATACTAATCGTCTCGGTATCGATAGGACCCTGGCGCGGAGCTTCTCCGCACAGTTGAACGACATATTCTTACTCGACGACGTTCTATTGACAAAAGAGAAAGAGGTTGACCAGAAGTATGCATACTTTTATTGACACAATTGCCTAAGATATGATGAATAAATGACCCAACTAACATTCCCTCCTTCCCTCCCCTCACAGGAAACTTCAGCTCACTCAACAAAATGCTGAGCTTGATGCCCTTGAAGCCAGGCTGAAGGCAGCTGAAGCATTACTGGCAAAACAAAACAAGCGCATGTCCCTGATATCAGATTCTGCTCCTACACCGGCAAACACTGAAGTCGGTAACCCCCTCTCACCCGGCTCAAGCACAAGGCGGCGGAACCCTATTCCACTCTTTCAAGATCCCTCGGCAGATACCGAGACAGGGGTGGATCGGGCACAGGACATAGCCGATGGTTCTACGCCCGAGCCGCCAAAAAAAGATGATCCGGTAGCGCTACAAGCGCCTCGTGCGCTGCCGGTATTGAGTCGAGAAATCGAGGCTCGTGAAGAAGAGGAAGAAAGAAAGAGTAACCAGGAAGAACGGTGGGGAGGAGGGTGGGGAGGAGGTGGTGGAAGATTAGAAGGACCGGGGAGTTATGATGGGGGGAATGATAGAGATGATATAGGGGCACCAAGCAATACCTCACTTTTTACGTCGACATTTGCAAACCCCGATGTACCGAAAAAAGATAAAATCCAATTTACTAGTTTACTTGAGAAGGGCCTGCCGAAATTAAGTGAAGGACAGGGGCAATTCTTTGCGCAAGCCGACGCGGCGCAGCGCCAGCAACAGTACCAGACAACCCTCCCGACGGCATCCCAAGATGAATATATGTATGGAAATAGAACATCCGAACCCGAAAACGCGGAAACGTTAACATCTGAAGAACCTCGCAACAGCGGCGCCCCTTCCGCAACATCTGCTTCTATAAACGGACAAAACCTCCCAATTACGGTTAAACCGGATGAGGACGGAGATGAAGTGGCCACAGGGGACCTGATTGATCAGTATGGCTACTACGACAGTGAGCCCGAGCCTGAAGAAGAAGAACCGGGGCTCCAAAATACTTCTGCTAGCATTGGGAATACCCACGCGACACAGCCAATTGTGCCCACTCCTCATGTTTCACAGACTGCAGTTTCTGTTACCCGTCCCAATCGGTCGGACTCCCTGGCCAGCCCTGTCAGGTACAGCTCTACCGTGGGTTCTGCTGTTGGCTCTGCTGGCCAGACTCCAGACACTCAGGAGAGCACCAGTACGAAATATATCGTCGATGACGGATTCTTTACTCGTCCAAGAAGAGCACCCACCGTCACCGAATCAGAATTGCCACCATTGCCAGGCCAGACTCCTGACATTCCTAAGCGTAAACCAGTCAGGGGTTCGGAAGACTCTTCGAGACCGGAAATTTCCTTATTGACAACGGACCGACCGCCAACTCCGCCGTCCAAAGCTCCACGAAGCATTGTCAATCCTATTCCATACGATTACAATACCTCGCATATATCTGTTGCCACAAATTACACAGACAACCGGACTATCCCTTCGATGTCTTCAACGGACTCAACGCATGGCGAGAAACCGTTACCCCCTACGTCCCCCTCCGAACCTACTCTCGATGTTCCCGCTCGAGAGTCGGTAACCGAGCGAGGGTTCGGAGGGCTCCTGAAAATGAAGAAATCATTACAAGGATTGAGGAAGAAGGCTCAAGCGGCGTCGTCACCAATATCACCAACCGGTGATCAGAGAAGCTTTTCGACAGGAGCCCTTGGTCACTACCCGTCTTCTGATCCAAGGCCCAAGGATGAGCCGCCGCTGCCGCCAATACCGCCTGAGAAGTTGAACGCTGCCACACCAGTTCCTGCTATCCCAGTTCAGTATCGTGCATCACCACCGCCGCAGACGCCGCAAACACCATCTCAATACATGCCGCCACCAGCTCCTCAATCAGACCTATTTGATCGAATCCAGGCATCTCTTCCCAACCAGCAACAAGAAGAATCGTCACCGCGAAGATTTGAGGCAAAGCACAAGAAGGCTGTTGAGGCAATTGCCAAGTTCTCCGGCAAGATGTCTGCATTGAGAGCACTCAGAAAAAAGGAGGCCAAGGAGGACTCACCACCACCACCACCACCACCCATTCAATCATCCCAAGAGCCGCCATTAGCAGACTGGGAAATCGAACAACGTACCAATGCGAAACAAAACCCCTACGGCCACCCCATAAGCCCGCCTCAAACCGCATCTCTCAATGCTGCGCCACAGAATACCTACCCCATAGCAGCCCAGACTTGGAAGTCGCAGTCGAGTGGGTACTCTGTAAACGGTTACGTAAATGGCCAGACCCCGATTAGCCCGCCGCAAGAGCCCCTGAGTGACGATGCGTTCCCAGTGGCCCCTGCCAAGTTGACAGAAGAGGCTCCACCGCCTACACCCGCCAAGTACGAGCTGCCACTACCAAGGAGGCTTGAGAGCATTTCGATGGATCCGCCAGGTACTCCTGAGAAACCAGACCCGACGTCTTCTGTTGAAAAATCATCGCCGGAGAGACCAAAAACTTCTTCATCTAGAGGACTTTCAATATTTCCAAGTTCGTCAACGACAAAACCTTCAGTATCGATAGAAATGGCGCCGCCTGCACCACCGAAAGAACCAGAGCTACCCCCTCCACCACCCCAGAAGTCGCAAACATTTATACCTACACCTTTCAAGCCATTAGCACTAGAGTTATCAGCATCGAGCAGTCTGTCAGTAGAGAAACCTCAACCAAGCCCTGGATTGGCACCACCAGCTAGCCCTGGATTTGCTCCAGGACGAGGAGGCAGGACAGAGACATATTCGTTCCTTGGAGACTATTACTTTGGAGATAGCCAGGATGGAGACGATCAGGCTGGACAGCTTGCCAATAGCTCATCATTACAGCAACACCAACAGGCACCGCCGGAAAGAGATGCTGTTACGGGGCTCCCGAATATTAACAGAAACGAGTCTGGTGATAAGTTGAACTTCAGGATACAGTCATTCGCTCCCTTTACATTAGGAGACGACTTCTCAAGCGGGTTCTCATTCGATGATACACGGCCCACACCTATGGCTGATTCCAAGTCCGCTCCTAATCAAATATCTACACCAATTCCTCCCCCAACATCAGCTCCACCGTCAACAGCATTACCAGATATTCCAGTTGCCCCAGCCAAGGCTGAGCGAAGATCCCCCGCCGTCCCAGAGTCTATTCCGGAACATACACAAGCTCCAACGTCGTTACCCGAAGTTCCAAAGACAGTACAACGGGTACCTTCAAAGCCAGAACTGCGTGATAAACACCCTGCACCGCTTCAAACCGTCGCTCATAGATCAATCCTTTCATCGTCAATGCTAACCGGTAGAGAAAGCTCTGGATCTCCGTCGTTGCCTATGAAGGATATCCCAGAGGAAGGGCCATACCCTTCAACAAAATCGCCGCCGAGCGCAACGAGTGTACCGGGTCCGGCTCCTAACTCAACGGGTCCGGTGCCTCAAACCAATAAAGCTGGTTACGCCAGCGGTGTTTCCAGCGTGAGATCAAGCAGTGGTTATACAGAGTCTCCAAGCGCAACATCATCGAGGACATCTTTGTCTTCTGGAACCAACGGTCCGACAAACGGAGTGGCAACGCCTACACCTCGGATCCCAAGCGGCGAACAGGGACCATATCCAGCTAGAAACTCATCATCACAAGGACACCCCCAACGCCCGCCTTCCCAGGAAACGGTTGTAGACCGAAGAATCCAATCAGGTGCCCCTAATATGCCACCTTCCGCTCGCCCGCACAGTAATATGCACCCGTCCGGACCTCCCCATGGTATGCCACCACAAGGCATGCCGCCCCGCGGGCGAATGCCGGGTCCACCGCCACCAGGCGCCACACCAGAATTAAGAGGTAGGCCAGGGTTTCGCCCTCCTCCCGGCGGCGGTCCAATGGGTCCCGGTTATCCACCCCGTTCTGCATCTCCAGCCTTTAGCGAACGCTCCATGCGTCCCCCTCGAGGTCCTCCGCCACCTCGTTCCGCGTCACCCGCATTCTCGGAGCGAAGGGGTCCTCCACCACCCCGTAGCTCCTCGCCAGCATTCAGTATGCGCGGAGACCCACGTATGCGAGGTCCACCACCACCACATCACGGCCGTAAACGTTCAAATTCAATGGAAATCCTAGATTTCGCTGTAGATTTTGAGCTTCCAGGCTCAGCTCTTCGATTTGAGGCCAAAGAAGCAGATGCATCTCGTCGTGCAAGGAGTGAATCACAAGGATTCGGCGGTCGAGGTCCTCCACCTGGCTCATTCCGCGGACGAGCAGAATCACCTGGTCCGCGTGAGGGATTTAGAAGTGGAAGTAGGGCTGGGAGTCGTGGGCCACCGGGTGTGCCACCACATATGAATGGGGCTGGAAGTAGACCTGGTAGTCGGACACAATCACCGTTTAGACACCCTCCTGTCTCTCACAATTTCAACGGGATGCCACCTCGTAGACCGCCCGGTAGTAGAAGGAACTCTGGAGGAAGCAATGCTGGTGGCGGTAGACGACCGTCGATGTCGGAAGCAGAGTTGGATATTGCACTGGGTGTTGGACAGATCCCGGGCATGGAAAGGAAGTATAGACCTCCACCGCAGATGAGAGGTGGAAGGCCGCCACCAGGGCCCATGCCGCCACATATGCCGCAGGGCGGTGGTGGTGGAAGGGGGTTGAAGAGTTTAAATTCTAATGGCTCTGGGGTTACATATCCTGGTCTAGACGATGGATTCGGAATGATGGATGGAGGTGGAAGGATGCCTACACCTGCAATGCCACGACGAGAAGAGATGGCTTGATTATTTTTTTGATATTCGGTTTCAAATTTGGGGTTTTGCGTATATACTTTAATTCATCGTTCGTTTCTTCTTTTTTCCCGTGATTTCCGGTATTTTCATTTTATTTATACAGTTTATCAAGCCTAGCCTAGCACCTTTACACCACTCCAAAGCTCAGGTTCCTTCATGATGGGTTTTCTTTCGTTTTGATTTTATTTCCTCGTTTGATTCTTTGCGGATGTCCAGATGATTGGGTTTACTTCCTTTTTAATGTAAAATAGGCGCGCCTGGTGCTGTATCTAGAGATCATATCCATTCATTTCAATGAACGACCACTAAAATTTACCAGCGCAGACATTTCATTCTTGCAGAGGGATCGAGTGTATTAATTTAGGTAGCTCCTTGGTAATCCTACATGACGCTTGGCTAACTTTATACAGGCGGAAATAGAGGCCTCGGGGTTACTCTGGACCGCTGCGATATTTCCTTTTCCTCGCCTTCATCCCGCCATCGAAACCCCTCGTCTTCCAGTAATTCCACACAAGCAACCCAAAAAATATAACTCCCAAAAGAAATAAAACGAAGAGGACCAAAATCATACAAAAAACTGCAAACCAAAAGGATATAATCGCCATATCCCTCTGAATATCCTCACTTTGTTCGAACTCCATCCCCGCAAGACCAACTTGCATCGCAGAAAGAACAACAGATATATATAGAAATGATATCGCCACCCATTTGAAATTTGTGGAGAAGAAGGAACCGTATTTATCGTAACTGAGAAAAAAGCCCCGAAGGACACCTAGACGGAATCGAAAAATTATATTTAACCGGTCGAGTCGTAGATCGCCGTACCAAAACCGTCCTTCGAATTCTTCGACACATATCTTTTCGAGAATTTCGGATGCGAGGGCAACCCAATCTGGCCAAGATATTTCCCGTTCAATTTCCAACCCAGATAATAAACCGCTTTGTCGTGCTACCAGAAGGTCACTGGGATATCTAATAAGTTTTGCATAAGATAGTAACATCCATCGTGCAGCGCTATGGACTTCGGAAGGCGTAATGGCTTCGATGAAGAAATTGCGGTTGAGTAAGAAAGGTGGCAGCGGTTTGATATATACGGCACCGCCGCCCCAAACGAGATGGAGATCCGCCTGTTCGGTTGCAAGAATCTGTCTGCGCAAGGAGATATGTCGGTTTAGGGCAGACACATTACCTGGCAGACCCGCCCAGAATAATGATGTGGATATTTTGTGAAATCGAGAGAAGTTTAGTTCTTTTTTTACGTATTCTTCAAGACTTTGAGTGTGAAGAATTGCGGGAATGGGCAAATTGGAAGATCCAGTGCAGCTATTCTGGTTGAATATAGTTAGATCTAGAACTCAATACTTTTTTTTTGAAAAATAAAATCAATCAATCAATCATGAGGATATACTGAAGACGGGTTAAAGCATGGGTCGTTTAGCTGGGACGAACTTGTGGTAATATTCGCTGTGCGGTTTCTAAGCTATATGGTACTTCGAGCATCGCTGCTAGCGCTATAGCTTCAATTAGATCAAGAAAAACGGAGAATGAGTGCCGATAGTAGCGGTCAACTACTTAATTAATATTTGCATATCCACATGCTTTAAATTTCCAAGCCAACATGTGCTTTATGATTTGAGGATCCATGGATCAAAAATGCCTTGCTTGGCCAACCAGGCTAGCAGATGCATGATCGGGCTTGTGTAGTACTTAGTTTTTACCCCGCCGCTTAGCCTTACCTGCAACAGTCAGCCGCCATTCCTGTGCCACTCAACCGCTCGAGCTTTATCGTTTTTACGATCTTTATAGCTTTAGGATTTTGAATTCTACACCAGTTTTCAATTTGACAAGAAAGTCTCGAGATTTGTTTTATTCGCCTTCAAATTCAGAACTTGAAGATATATATTATAGAACTTTTCTTCTTATTCGTAGTTTCATAATATTTACTATTCAATATACATATCTACTCGATGTAACTTTTTTGCATGTTTAATTGACAATCAAAATGCCTCCGTTAGGCTCTCTCACAGTTCGCATATCCAACCTACCACCATCCATATCCCAAGAAAAGGTTGTCGCTACAGCAAGGTCAAAATTCTCCGAATATATTTCTGAGGGCGACTCTTTGAAATGTCTCAAGTCATTAATAACCCCCAATCCAAATGATGCTGGAAAGACGCAAGTCGCCGTTGTGACACTAGATAGGCCTCTCCCAACACTCTTCAGCGACAAGGGTGACGAAGAGACCTTATCTTTCGATTTTGACGGTGATTGTCATATTGTTACGATTGACCGACATTTTCGGGGACTCACTTGTCTTCATAATGGGGGCGCAATTGAAGCAGTCGAGTAAGTTCAAAGTCCCAAGTATTTTAAGCTCCTCCGAGCATGTTGATATGATATCGAACGCAGAGGTTAATAGTAGCTTGATAATGTTATAGCCTTATTTTCGTTACAGGTCTTGCGGGACATGCATATGGCTCTTGGAAGGCGTCTGGAAAGACTACTATGTGGATTGAAGATTTTCTGATTAAAGAGAATTTCAAAGATCAATTTCGAGTTCTCGTTTATGGCTATAATTCGATGCTAGTGAAGAGCACATCGGTAGCGGGAATATCGGATTTTGCACACACTTTCCTCGCAGTTGTTGCTAGGGCTCGGACACTGGACAAGAATGTATGAAGATATGGTTTGAGAAAGGCCTAGATCTAAAGTTTTAATTTGCCTTTTTTTTCTTTTCCTTCTAACTGAATAGCTGCTTTGTAGAGCCAGGGAAGGAAGATCATATTCTTTGGGCATAGTTTGGGCGGTCTCGTGGTGAAGGAGGTGAGTGATATCTACAGATTTAGCCCCCAGTATTTATCAATATATACTTGTAGTCGGTACTGATGCTTATAATTGGTCTAGGCTATATGCACAGCTGCCTCCGTGGGACCAGGGAATCCGGGTTACTATGATATTCTCCGAAGTACGTCTGCAGCATTTTTCTTTGGCGTCCCAAATAGTGGTATTCGGGTTGAAGAATGGAAGTATATGGTGCAAGGTCAACCGAACTGGGATCTTATTCACGATCTTCGTCCCGAATCTACATACTTACGCCTTCTACACGAACACTTCCGTGGGTTTGTAAGGGAGAAACTGGCCAGATTTCGGATTGTTACGATTCTGGAAACAAGGGAAACGGAAACTGTTAAGGTAATTGCTATGTCATTAAGTGCTTATCGCGCGTTGCAATGTTATCTCTTGAGTTAGAAGCTCACGAAAGATGGCCCTCCTAGGAAGTTAACGGGGTCTGGAAGCGAGCTGGTGAAACGAAGCTTATGGTTCCTCGCTCATCTGCTTTATCAAATATAAATGAAGCCCCGGACGACATACTACTGCGAGACGCTGACCACAGCGGCGTTGCCAAATTCAGCTCATCAAACGACCCAGAATACGAGCTCCTAAAGGAGAGGATAGAAAAATATGTTTACGAAGCTCAGCAGGTCATCGAGGAGACGAGCGAATCTGGGACAACAGATATCACTAAACTGGGTACGAGGCTCTCGCCGAAAAGAGTCATTTTCTCATGGTAGAAGTACAAGCTAACTAATTGTTTTATATATCTAGAAAAGAGATATTTTGATGTACCTTATTCGAGAAATCCCGGATATGTTCAAAGGAAGGACATTTCGCTCAAACTGGAAGAGCTTCTGTTACAAAAGAACGAAGACGAACAAATTAAAGTTGCAATATGTGCGCTTGGAGGGGCTGGGTACGATTCATGCAAAGTCAACTGCTGTAGCATATCTATTCCATGCACTAGAACTAACGCTTCTCAATTCCTTCAGAAAGACACAGGTTCTTTTAAACTTTGCCTACCAGAGCCGTGAAAACCATCATGTTTTCTGGCTGTACGGCTCATCACTTGAGCTCATCGAAGCCGGGCTTGTAAAGGTTGCGGCAACTGTTGGTTTGTCCAAGGGTGGCCTCGAAGCAGAAAAGATATGTCTTATGCTCAAGGATTGGTTGGATTCCGAGGTTTCTGGCAACTGGATTCTTCTGGTTGATGCTGTGGATTCCTTGGACGAAACCCTTACAGCAGGTATTCAAAAGTACCTACCGAGCAAGCGAGGCACGATTATCTTTACGACACGGAATAGGGATATCACCGGCAGGCTTGTTTATCCAGGATACTGTCTCGAACTAAGTGAAGGAATGACAACAGATGAGGCACTTGCGACATTCAGGCCTTACGGTGACCAAGACATCAATACCGACGACCAAGAATCTGTAATGATTTTACTAGAAGAGCTGGAGTTTTTCCCGTTGGCAATAGCTCAGGCAGCTGGATACCTACGCAAGACAGGAATACGGGTTAACGAGTATCGTGAAAGACTACGAAAACATGATTTCAAGCTATTATCACAACAGCCCACCGACCAAATCGGTGGACCAAGTCCCGAGGCGGTTATGAAAACCTGGGATATATCGTATCAGCATATAAAAGAACGAAATAGCTCCGCTACAAAACTTCTGGAGGTTCTATCACTCCTCGCTTACCAGGAAATATCAATGTCTCTTTTCATCTTTGAGACGGATAACCCCATGTCAACGCTCGATATTGAAGATGAAATTGACTTTGATAACGCTGTCTCAGAGTTATTATCGTTTAACCTCGTATATTCCTTTCGGTCAGCAACCGGTGAAAGTACATTCAAACTTCACCGTCTCGTCAGTCTCTGGACGAGACATCTCATAAAAGATCGACTCGACACAAAAACAGCGGCTCTTGATGTTGTTAGATTGAAGTTCCCAGACCCAGTACAGGCTACACTCCAGGAGTGCTCCAAACTTGCTTTACACGTGGAAACAATACTCAAAAACGTTGCGCAAGATTCAGAACTTGGGAAAACGCCACCGGGGTTGAAAAACCGTTATGCCGACTATCTTCACTACTCTTGCCAATTTTCGACTGCGGATACATTTTATCGGGAATCCTTTGAATACTACGAGAAGGCATTGGGCAAAGATCACTACGTTCCGAATCAAATCGCCACCAAACTCGCATGGAATCTCATGAAGCTGGGTAAACACGGCGAAGCACGAGAGTGGCTTCAGCGCGTTCTATCCAATCTGAAACCCTCAACTAAGCAAATGGCAGAAACACATGCCGATGCCCTCCAAAGGATGGGGTATAGTTACTGTAGTCAGGATCAAGATTTCAACAAGGGTCTCGAATATTATCATCAGGCTTTGAAAGAGTATACCAAAACCTTTGGCGAAAACTACCAAGCCACTCTCGAGGTAACCAGCTTGATAGGAAGCGCATACGGTGGACTCGGCCGGTTTGACGAAGCTCTACAGTTTTGTAAGCGTGCTCAATCTGGGCTGGAACTGCACCTAGGCAGCGACCATGAGAATACGATATTAAACTCTGCGCGCATGGCAGCGATCTACTACAAGCAAGGAAAATACAACGAAGCATTAGAGTGGCAGCAACAGTGTCTGGAGTACTACGAAAAAACATTTGGAAAAACCCACAATATCACATTATTGATGCTTGATAGCATTGGTCTAAGCTTGCAAAAGCTTGAGAGGTTTGAAGAGGCTCTAGAATCCCACCAGCGGGCTCTCACGGGTCAGATAGAAGTCCTAGGTCCATTACACCCGGAGACTCTTATTTCCACTTGCAACATAGGCTCTGTTTACTTCACACGAGAAGAATATAGGGAAGCTCTGGAAAAGTTTGAATATGTTGTTATAACGGGACAAACGGCGCTGCCTGCAGGCCACGGCTTGGTATATCATGCAGTCAGGATGGTAGCTCAGTCTTACGAAAAATTGAGCGAGGATGTACCTGAAAAGTTCAAGGAACTTCTAAATTTAGCTGGTGGCCCTTATGGCAATATGCCTGTCCAACCGCCACCAGAAATACGGTTGGACACAAATGAGCGGGTGCGACGGCGCGATAAGGTTACTGGTTATTTCAAACGGTGGAGGTAGAACTTAGCTTTTTCTTCGTTCGACTGACTATGCATTTGGCCTAGCTAAGCGCCGTTGAATTCCAGTATACTAATTGTGCTTCCGGCCTCTAATTACAAACCTCTATCATATAAGTCATGGTTAAGATTAGTTTGGTATTGCAGATGCGGTCCCAAAGTGTATTCATAGTAGTGTAGCATCAAGCCACCCTGGAATTCTCTTGGGTGGGACTCGGTGCGAGACAAAGTGTTAGGACCGATATGATATATATTCGTGATGTTCACGCACTAATGGTCCACTGGTCTCGAGTTTTAAGATCTAACAGACAGTGATAATATAATATCCAGGCTGCCAGAACATCTCAATTTTGTCACTCCATGAGCTAAATAATATATGTATATCAATCATAGAAGACGTGGTCAACAGCTCATGAGTGTGGACATAGCCTGGTACTTCGATTACTCGCCCAGGCCACAATAGGAGATTTCGAATTCATTTAAAGTAATTTTCTCTCAAGGGGGGCCTTTAACTCGATAGGATAACCGCTTGTTTCTTTCTTAACTTAAGGCCGGGATATAATTGTTGGTATGATCTTGCAGTCGCTTTGTGGAAGGCATTTGGCATCGAGGCATCGAGCTCGAGGCACCTGCAGCTGGGGCCCTTCGAATTCCCTCCGCATGCATGAGGCTAACTATTCGATGTTCGATGTTGCATTCTGATGGCTCATGTGTTGCAAGCTCTTGCCACCCATTGTCGCACAAAGACCTTCAAATAGCTCCCCAGATGATTCACAAATTTTTAACCTCATCATCAAAGCCCCACCATTCCATCGACCACTCCACGGACCCCGCCATTTCTCGAGCCATAACCCCCACCGAACTCCACCGTTCTCTTTAATAACTTCTGCTTTTACACTGAGCAACTGATACAAAATTTCCAAAAAAAAAATGGAGGAATCAATCTACGACGAAATTGAAATCGAGGACATGACCTACGACCCCACCCTCCAAATCTTCCACTACCCTTGTCCCTGTGGCGACCGTTTTGAAATCGCTATTGGAGATCTACGAGAAGGCGAGGATATTGCTGTTTGTCCTGGGTGTAGTTTGATGATTAGAGTTATCTTTGAAGTGGTGAGTACCTTTCCATCTCTTTTGCCTCGGTAGTGGGGATGTAGTGGCTAATCATTGTGGGTCACTTTAGGAGGATTTGGATAAGAATACTGGAGCTGGAGGGATGGGAGGGATGGTTGCTGTTAAGGCTTGAAGAGGAAAAGAAGGAGTTTGAGATCTAGAGGTGCAGATTGTTTGAAGAAGGAGTTTGGGAGTCGATGCTCGAGGCTCGATACTACAGGCATAAACGATATCGAACGGCTCGGCCTAGTAGCCGTATTCTACTAGAAGACACTAAGGACGTTAACGACCCAAATACTGGCGACCAGGCTTGGAGATTCTGGCCCGACTCGACTGTTGAGGGATTGAGAGACCGACGAATCAGCTATCCACGACACGGAGGGCTTGTTATATCTTCATAGAAACTCCCAAAGCTAGATACATCGACCCCGACCTCACCAGATCCCTATCGCTGAACCCATTGCTGGTGGCCACCTACCCAAATTACTATCCGAGAGCGGTGCTATGGCTCGAATTATTCTGAGGAACGATATTCGACATCTCAGCTATTGGTGGACGTTATCTATCACATAATAGGGCGTGGTATGGGCAGCGAGGGTCTCATTACCAGAGGAAGACCTTTCTACGGTTATAGAGGATAACTTAAAAAGGATTATACGGTTTCGGGGCAGGAAGGTTCTTCCACTAGTGTCTCACCTAGGTCTGTAGAGAAAGAGATATATCATCATACTCCTACCTATGTTTGGAGATATTTACTAGTAGTCGAAGTGTTCTACGGGACCGAAAATGGTTTACACAATTCAAGAGATCATGCTTTAATTTAAATTGCATTATCATATCCAATTAAATAGGTAGCACGATAGCATAATATAACAAAAAAATCTAGCGTCATACGTCCACACGCCTCCACCAGCCGATGAACCCTCAAGCCGTCAACTAAAAGTACCTTTATAACCCACAAACGTTAGCACAAACCCCTCGCAATGCCAAAGATGTGAATGAATATGTAATAAAATCGAAAGAATAGTTGTAAAATATCAGACTGTTGAGCTTGATCTTTTTAATTTCCCTTAACGTCATCTCAGAGTACTACCTCTGTTCAGGTTATGTGGGTGAAAATTTGTTCATCATGATAAAACCATCGAACTAGGATACATATATATATGCATGTGTGTATACGACAAAGCGTTAAAGAAAGCATTGAGTACTTACGATAGGTTTCTACTGGTGGTATGTAGAATTGAATAGTTTTTTTTGTTTCGCGATGCCAGATGGGATGAAGAGGAAGAGAAAGAGAGTGTGAAAGAGTGAACAGGAAAAAAAAAGTTCCTTCGCGAAATTTTAACGACAAAGCCACCCCTGTCACAAAAGCTCTTGGCATTCAGAACCCACTTTCCCATATCACCACTTTCTAATACTAGTCGGAAGGCCTCGTCATTGCATTCCAACTCGACATCCACAACTTCATCAAAATGGCCAGCGTAAGCTTCCTACTCTTCAAGCGATACTACCCACCTATATGACTAACGAATATAATACTACCAACAGCACGGCGTCCCCCGGTCCTCTACCACCGTTCGAACCCCTCAAGCCATCCAAGCCGATCTTCTCAAAATCGAAGCTTACAACAATTTAGTCTCCGAAGTCCAAGCTCTCGTATATATATCCCCCCATTTTCTATATATTCATCTATCTTTTTTTAACATCAGATAACTAATACAAGCGTTTTCCCTCAGTCCAGAAATCAAAGCACACTTATTCCCCCACTTCCTTATCGACCACATCATCCCTTCTGACCCAAAACCCGGAGTTTAACACAATATGGAACTTTCGACGACGGATAGTTTTACATTTACTACTACCCACTTCTTCGTCCTCTCCAACATTAAAAGATGATAACGATCAAGAAAACGACAAACTCTCCCTCCTATCCTCGGAACTAAACTTCCTCTTCCCGTTGCTCCAAAAATTCCCAAAATGCTATTGGATCTGGAACTACCGTGTCTTCATCCTACAAACCGCTTCGACGAATTTATCTTTACAAACGGCGTTGAAGCTGTGGAAATCGGAAATGGGGCTGGTTAATAAGATGCTTTCGAGGGATTCGAGAAATTTTCATGGGTGGGGGTATAGACGGTATATTGTCCAGAATATTGAGACATTGCAAAAGGATATAAACAAGGAAACGACGAAAGAAAAAGAAGAAGGGGAAGGAGAAGAAGGAGTAGATGGGGAAGAAGAGGAGGAAAGTCTGGCAGAACAGGAATTCGCGTATACGACTACAATGTACGGGAAGGATTTATCGAATTTCTCGGCATGGCACAATAGGAGTAAACTCATTCCAAGGGTATTGAGTGAACGTGGAGCTACTATTGAAGAAAGAAGGACGTTTTTGGATGGTGGTATGTTCTTTTCTCTCTCTCTGGTATATCCTTGATTCGAATTATTCCAAAAAAATACTAATACTTTAAGGATAAACCAAAAGAACTGGGAGAAATGCAAACAGCAGTCTACACAGACCCTTACGACCAAAGCATCCAACTCTACAACCACTGGCTCCTCCTCGAATCCTGTTCTTCAAAACAAACAACCTCAACAAGTCCAGTATTTTCACTTACTAACTCTCAAAAATTGGAAACTCTATCACGGACGTTGGAATGGATGAGGGAGTTATTAGATGAAGAACCGGATTGTAGGTTGTTACTCGAGGAAATGATTTTTGTCGGTAGTCTATTTCGAGACCTTGATGAAACAGAAGAAGAAGAAGACGTTGACAGGGAAGAGATCAAACGGGATATGCAGAGTTGGTTGGAGAAGCTGATGGAGGTTGATCCCATGAGAGGCGGGCGGTGGAGGGAAATGCAGGAAAAACTGTAGGTGTTATCTTTTACTATCAAGGTGTATATTAACCTACCAAGTACCAAAAGTAGGTATCTGTTCTAGTCTTAAGCCTATTTACCGATTACCTTAAATGTACATACTAGTACGCATCACAATTTGGATCATCGTAATACCCATAATCACAATTTAAAACCGCAACATTGGATCACACTGGAGGAATGTTTTGCGTAGTCTTATTATTCAAAGAGCTTTAGTGGTGTTTTTGTTTGTTTGTGGTCATTCATTAAGAGAGTAAGAAAAAATGTGAAAAAAAAGAGTCAAAAAAAAGCATTTCCCATATATAACACAGTAGGAACGTAACATGGTGAGGTTTTGTAGGGGGTGGGAGAGCGACCGGGAAACACGTAATAAAAACACCGTATATGCCCTATAAGAAGACTTGACACAAAAAGGAAGAAGGTTGGTAGTAGGTTTCGTAGCGGTAGTAGTACTAGTAGAAGTAGTAGCAGTAGATGTAGATGGAGCAGTAGTAGTAGTAGTAGTAATGGTACTAATAGTGTAATTTTGCGTGAGTGATGGATATGTAACACGCGGATTTTCGATGGGGGTGGGGTATAAGTCCCGTCGAAATGGTGATAATGATGAAGAAAGGGGAAGAAAAGAAGGCTTGACAAGAGAAAAAAATGAGGAAACAAAAAAGTTTATGCATTTTTTTGCTTTTATTCTTTTCTCATCGAGCTGGCTCTTCTCTTGCGGATATCGGCCTTCTTGGCCTTCTCTTCCTGGACACGCTTGGCGAGGAGGCCAGCGTATTCGCTCTGTGATATGCATATTAGTAACATATCTTTTTACAAAAAGAAAAAAGACACGAGTGGATGAACTTACGGCAGCCTCCTTCTGAGCCTCCGAGCGTCTTCTCTTGAGTGCGATTCTGTGACGCTTCCTCTGCAGAGTCTGAGGAGTAACGAGACGCTGAATCTTAGGAGCCTTGGAGTATGGCTTCTTTCCCTCACCCTTTGGCTGAACCTCACGGTGAATGACGAACTTGCGGACATCATCCTCCTTGGTCAATCCGTAGAACTTACGGATCTTGGATGCTCTCTTTGGACCGAGGCGCTTTGGGTGGGTGGTGTCGGTCAAGCCGGGGATCTCAGCATCACCTTGCTTAACGATAGTCAAGGACATGACAGCGAGGTCGGATCCGACGATGCAGCCTCTGACGGATTTACGCTTGCGTTCACCGGTACGACGGGGGCGGTAGCAAGAGTGGCCCTTGGCGAGGAGGAGACGGACACGGGTTGGGTGCATGATACCCTGCTTCATTGGGAAACCTTGCTTGTCGTTTCCTCCGGTGATTTTGAAGATGTAGCCCTTGAATTCGTCGCCGACGCTGTCACCGGGGACTTCTTGGCCCATACGCTTCTCCATGAAGACACGGAGACGACGGTCATCGTCGATTTCGATGAGCTTCTGGGAGCCATTGGCTGGGTATCTGTTTTGACTTTTGTTAGTCTTTCTTCTTTCCTCTCCTGTTTTCAATCTGATCCATCAAAAATGCGAGTTCTATGGTCTTGATGTCTGTCCCTCCGTCGTTGACTTGATGGCTTGTTGAGATATCTTTCCATTCCGTCTCTTGTCTCTTCTGACATCAATATGCAGAAGTAGCACCATCCTCCCAATTTGTCGTCTTCAATTCCCAATCGTAGTATCCCATCCATCCAATCCATTATTGCAATCGCACGATCTCCGAGTATTCCCATCGATATCTCAACCAGCCATCTCATCAAAAATGAAAGACCAGAACCACCAAGACCTTCCTTCAACTCGAGTCCACATACACACGCACACACAGACACGGACACACAACAGCAACAAAAAAAAGAGAAGTAAAATCAGGAACGTACGCAATATTCAGCTTCATGTTGGGCTAAGCTGTGTCAGAAATGGATACGACGGGAAGAGGGGGATGTATGTCGGGGGGGTAGATCGTGAGGTTGTCGATGGTGTCGTGTCGATTGTTGTCGTATGGTATTATTAAAATTGGAAATTGAAGCAAGCACAGCTCTGTTTCTTTTGCCAATCCACTAAAATTTCGAGGTTTGACAAACTTTTGCTGAGTTGGGAACTGCGTTGACAAGGCAAAGTGACTGCGTCTTTCGGAAAGGGCTTAGGGTACTCTCCCATTTTGGGTAATTTTAAATTTGACAAACAGATTCTGTTGACAACACGGCAACACACGGATTTCTTGGCGGTCTGGTGCAGAACTTGGAAGGACTTCGAAGTACAACTACACTGAATCCGTGATATCATGGCTATAGAGAGTGCATCATGATAAAAATACTTAAACAGTCTATAGGATGTCCAATCTATATATCTATATGATATCCTTAGAGTACTGTACTATCGTATAATAATATAATAAACTATCAAATCGCTTGAACCATATGAACTCCAGAACTTTCTTCTCTCCTCTTCTTAACTTAGAACCTCGAGTCATCTTCAACCTATCTACGTATATACTTCATATGAGGACAAAATGGACAAGGCCAAATCTTCCAAAGCTCTTCGCACCCTCTTAGAGTCCTATGCCTCTCTAAACTACCCTCCAACATCTATAGAATACCTAAACGTCCCACCAACCCCTCTCGCATTCCACCAAATCGTCTCGAGGAACCGTCCGGTCATAATCCGTAATGCCATGACCGATTGGCCGGCATATACAACCAACAAATGGACACCAGAATACTTATCTTCTACAATGGGGGAGATGGAGGTTATTGTCGCAGAGACACCGAAAGGGTTGGTATTTAACTTTAACTCTTTTATAACTCTTTGATATCTACTTTGTATCAATTCTGTAGTATGCAATACAATGCAATGCCATACTTTGCTTTGAAGTACTCGAACTGGAAGGAAATGGCGGCTAATAAGCGACTCAACCCCCCCAAAATACCACAGCAACGCAGATTCTATTGTCACCCATGAAGGAACTCGATACTTCGGTATGCATCCTCATACCCCCCTCTCATAACCCCCCTTTTCTCCTTATAATCCCATTATCAAAACCTAATAAAATACATTAAATACACCAGTAAAACCCCATACAACGTCCTACCCCCTCACAACCTTCCTCTCCCTCCTAAAATCCACAACCACAGACCCCAATCCATCCACAGTCCTCTACGCCCAATCCCAAGATTCAAACCTCGCATCCGAATACTTTCCAATATCCCAGGATATCCCACCAACAATACCCTGGGCATCAATAGCCCTTTCTCAACGGTTACCGGATGCGACAAATATCTGGATAGGTAATCATCATAGTGTAAGTTCTTTACACAAAGACCCTTATCAGAATTTATACGGGGTTTTGTTGGGGACGAAGATATTTTACTTGGTTAGTCCGCTGGGTGTTGCTGGTGTTAAGGAGGAGAAGGTTAGGAGTGCTACTTATGTTAGGAATAGGGAGGGGTTTGATATTATTCCTGATTCTGTATCTTCTTCGAATAACTCGGACAAGGGGGGAGAGGAAGAAGAAGAACAGGAGGAGGAAGAAGAGGGAATGATAACTTGGCCCTCTATTTCCCTCGATGACTACTTTTCACTCCCGGAATCAGAACGTTCAACCCAAGTCGAAGATGTTTCTGATACAGATCCCTGGAAATGGACTAAACTATCCGCACCGATAAGAGTGGAGGTTAAAGCCGGGGAAATGTTGTATTTACCGGCCTTATGGTATCATCAAGTTGCTCAAACGGTTGATGAAGATGAAGGGGTTTGTGTCGCGGTTAATTACTGGTATGTCCTCGGCTATTCTATTTATTCCCTTTTGGTTTATTACTAGTTATTAGGTAGAGACACTAATGGTAAATAGGTATGATATGGACTTTTCTGGCCCATTTGTTTCGATGGTGAATTATGTCCGGGATATGACGGAAGTTGTTACGAACTCGTAACCATCCTTCATTCATAATATGAACTCATGACTATGATTTACGTATTTGCTGCGGTGGATGTAATTTAATGAAGTATGATAATATGAATTCGTTTCAATTGCAATTGCATGGATATCTTTAATCTATTGTACAAAAAAAAAAACTCAAAACAAGGGTATCTCGAGGCTCTAAAGCTCATCATCTTCATTCTCACTCCCGGTATCTTTCCAAGAGTACTTTATTTTCCAGCACAAACAAACCAAACGCCAAACAGCAAAACCTTTTTTTTTTTGAAATTTGTAGTTTTCAATTATTTTTCTGTTTTCTATTTTCCTCCTTTTTTTTTCTTTTTTTCTTTTCTCTTTCATTTGCATTTGAGGAAAGAAGAGTACTTTAGAAATTAACCAAAATATCTCCCAAAGCCCCCTCAACTCCACCAACTTCTCCAACCCACTCCTCATTCCACTCAGCCCCATCGAATCCCATGCCTCCAAGGGCACCATCTCTCTTCCATTTAACATATCCACAAGCAAATTGCTTCCTAACTCCCACAACTTCAACCAAACACCTCTCCAACTTCCCAGCATCATAAACTCTTCCATTCATCTTTTCATACTCCTTCCCCATCTTCCTAGCTTGAATGATAACCTTATCATCATTTTCTCCAAAGTCTTTTTCACCGGACTCGGTCAACGGCAAAGAGGACGAAGAGGAGACTCTTTGGGTGAAAGTTAGGAGGTGGGTATGAGAGAAGATTTTGAGGATTCTGGGGGAGAAGAGAGTTGAGAGGAGGAGTTCGTCTTCTTGGGAAAGGAGGGAGGTTTTGGATTGGAGCTTCTTCGAGGGGGAAGTAAGCTTTGTGAAGAGAGTGGAGAGTTTGGTGGTGACTGGAGACATCTTGACTTTTCCTTTCGAAGAAATGATAGTTCTTCTTGAAAGTGAAAGAATGTCGTTACTCGACGAATATCTGGAAGAATTCGGAGTAGTTATTCAATCTCAACGAGAGAGAGAGAATGTGTGTAAAAGTGTACAAATGAACGAATACAAATGAATGTAATGTTCAAATGTAAGTCGTAAGTAAGTAACGAACGTTAGGTAACGAACGTAAAAGAGCTTGAATATAGAATCCTCTTTAGAAGAGTGTAATTAGTACTTGAAGAAAGTAATAATAAAAAAAGATAAGAATCACTTCAGTAGACCGAATGAAGGTTCTTGAATCCTTGTTTCTTTCAGACGTACGTAGACTTTGTGAACAGTATGTAGTTCCTTGACTATAGGGAATTCTATGAGGAAGGGAAAAGAGGGAAAGAAGGAGAGAATCAAAGGAAGACCGGGGGGGCGGGGGGCCTTTTATACCCCTCCTACTGGCCTAGACTATGGGCTTTGCAGACGGGGGCATTTGGAAAAATCAAAGATTGTCGGGAGTAGACAATGATGGTGTAGTGAATACTGATGATCTTTGGATATTTTGAATTGGTGTAGATTCACCGGTGGTGCTATTTAAAGCGGGTTTTGGGGGTCTGGAACAACGTGGGATGGATGGATTGGGCAGTGAGGATGAGGATCTTTATTTTCGACGTGACATTTTGTTACGGATTGCCCATGACTCTTCGAAATTCATGAGGATTCATATATTATAGCAGCCATAGTAGAAATAGAAATTAAAAGATATTCAGGATCTGTTTTCAAAAGATCCATCTTGACTGTTGTAGTTTTTGGGTGGTTTGAACATGATAGTTCTGGTGAATGCGACATGGAAAATGCTGATAGTCTGATATATACGACATTGAAATTCGAGAAATCTGCAGCTGACGACTTTTGGCGCCATAAACACCCCTTAAACTAAAAGATTTACACCATTTGAAAATTAATGATAGTCTAGATTCACTTCTAATTGGGCCTTCTTTCTTTCTCTTTCTTCCAAGGGTAATAATTTAGGTCGGGTTCACTTAATCAATTGATCAACGGCTATCAGTGCAGTATCATGGTAAAATATGTTGATAGACCTCGGATCATGATTAGTGACCACTACTATAATGCACGCCCTAATTACCAGCATAGCACATTAATTATAAAATAAACGATAACTAATGATCCTCAGATTACTGGGAGAGCCGCTATGTTTATCATACATCATTAATACATAGATTAAAACAATAATTCACGTTGTTATGACTGTTCTTTGGCCAAGGAGGTCACGTCAATTCTCAAACCGGCGCCGCTTCATTGAATTTTTCATCCGAACTAATTCCTCGGAAATGGAGTCACCTTAAAGACAAAAAGCTTCTACGAAAGGATAATTTATGGACGATATGTGTTTGTATGCGTATGTATGCGTATGTGTGTCAATTAAGTGTATTAAAAACCCCATTCGCCAGTTAAACCCCAATCCATAGTTTTTCTTACAAACTATCCGGTATACCAAATACCAAAAAAAGAAATTACCTAACTTTTCCCTTCTTGTTTGGTCTCTTCCTCTTCCTCCTCCTCCTCCTCCTCCTCCTTGCCGTTAGTTTTGTCTCCTTTTTTCCCATCATGCTGCTCCTGTTTATCTTCAGTTTCTTCTACAATGGTTTTCGGAAGTTCTAACGGCGTAATTGAATCCTTTCTTGTCGCTGTATTCACAAACTCTCCGTACTACGAAGGAGTATGGCTGAATAAGAAGGAGACGGATTCGCCGTTATGTGTTCGTCTGCATGCCTCAGCCAGCTATTTTCAACTTAATTAGCTATTTTCTTCTTACATTTTAAAACTGATTTTGTTGAAAAGAGGGGGGGAAACATACTGTTGGCGAAATATCAATCGTATCCAGCTTTGGACACATCCTCTTCTTCTCTTCATGTGGCACCGTATTCGTCACCACCACTTTTGTGAGCTTGCTACCATTGATACTCTCGATTGCCTTACCGCTCAAGATTCCATGTGTGACTATGGCAACTACACATGCCGCTCCGTTGTCGATAAGTGTGTCAGCGGCTTTAACCAGAGTACCGCAGGTATCAGCCATATCGTCAACTAAGATTGCCGTCTTGTCCTTGACGTCACCGACGAGGGTCATTCGTGAAACTTCATTAGGACGGGTACGTTCTTTGTGAATCAAAGCGAACGAGAGATCCAAGCGGTCTGCAATTGCAGTTGCACGTTTTGCGCCACCGGCGTCCGGGGAGACGATAACCGCATTTTGAACATCAAAGTTCTCGCGGATGTAATGAAGAACCGAAGGTTCAGCATATAAATTATCCACGGGGACGTTGAAAAACCCTTGGATCTGACTTGCGTGTAAATCCATTGTGATGACATGATTACAACCGGCGGTTTGTAACATGTTGGCTACTAGCTTCGCGGAGATTGGAGCACGGGATTTATCCTTTTTATCTTGGCGAGCGTAAGGGAAGTTTGGGATTACAGCGGTGATTCGTCGGGCTGAGGCGGTTTTGCAGGCGTTGATCATAATTAGGAGTTCCATTAGGCCGTCGTTGATTTCGCCGGGGGCGGTGGATTGGAGAATGAAGACGTCCTCGTCTCGGACGGATTCACCGATTGTGACGGAGGTTTCTTGGTTGGAGTATTGGAGGACCATGATCTTGGTGAGTTCAGTGCCGAGTCTATCATTCATCTTTGTGGTTAGTTATATGATACTTTCTGTTTTGAGAAATTGGATAGTGGGGGGGATGTACCTCTGCGCCACCAAGCTGGCCAGCTCCGGATGACTGTTCCCAGTCAACAGCTTGATACTATTCGTCGCCATTTTTGTAAGAGTCGATAAGAGGAATTAGATAGTGTAGTAGTTTCTTCAGCCGGGTTTTGAACGAAGAGAAGGATCCTCTTCGGATGATTTCTGCTCGATGAGGGGTATCATGGAGTAAGAGAAGGGGAAGAGGAAGAGGAAGAAGAAGAGGGAAAGAGGTTTGAAGTTTCGGAACCGAAATTTTTGGGTTGTTGGATTTCTGTTTTCGGTCGGCGGCATTGCCCGCAGTTTTCACTTGGCGTCGGTCGAATTCTGGGACTAACCGCGATTTGGTTAGCTGCATATCCTTGTTAGACTCGACGACATCTTCAATTCACCAATTTATCGCGATAACTTCCCCAGATAACTTCAAACCCAGCGGGGAATCTGTTAAACAGAATAAAGAGGAGTAAGCCATAATCATGGATAAACCAATAATACCAAGCATGTCGTCGTCATCATCAACTCCCTACCACCACCCCCTCCTCCGCCGTTCCTGGCCTCCAGATCTTTCCAAAATGAGTCCAAGCGACCGATACCGTCTTGAAAGAAAGTACAAACGAAGAGTTCGGATAAGAGGTCAACATCCTGTCAATTGGATGAGGTTTACGGGGACTTTACAGTTATTGACTATCACCGTTTTACCGGCTTATATGGTCTTGATTATGGATTGGCCGATGGAACATCCTTTTGGGCCGGTATGTTCAATTTTGGTGACTTATTTATGTGAAAATGGGAAATAGCTGACTCTTTGGGAATTAGGTGAGGGAATGGATGTGGAAGAAGCTTGATGGGTTTAGAGGGGGTACTTTTGGGGGTAATTTGGAGAGAGGGAAGGCGACGGAGGAGAAGAGTGTACCTGGATCGCGATGAATTTTGGTTGACGTCTGATTATCCATCGTTGAGATATGGTTCAATCAACCCGAATCTGTGAGGCAGGGAAGTTATGGATGTCTTTGCTACTGGCAGTTGGAGGTATAACTCGAGGTTCGGCTTTAGTACCAGAGACTAGTATGGGATATACCTCCATGACGGCTCATATCCGGATATCCCATATATCTACCAGGAGGACGGAAGCAGGCTATTCTATAGAAATTGCCTTATTAAACCCGAACTGGTTTGGATCTTTCACTGTACATATATATACTATACACAACATAGTGCTGTACAATATTGCAATGTATCATATTATCATCTTGAATAGACGTCGGATGCCACGTCTTTGAGCTCTCCATAACTTTCCTTGAAGGCTTCAATTCGAATGGAATTGCCATTTATGTTTTAGTGCCGTCCATGGCCCTTATTTCATGGTAGCTGTCTAGCGTGGGGCTTCTAGGCTTCGACATTTCTATCCATGCTGCTAATTATAAAACCAATAACCATTGCCGCTAAATACTTTACACGATATAAATATATCTCTGAGCTTAATGACACTTTATGGTGTATCGAGTAGGTGGGAATATGTATAATTATAATGCTACCACACAGCATGTAGATTGCACACAAATCATACATGACACGGTTTAGATGGTGTCATCTGGACATTGGTCACGTAAATGAATATTAATACCGAGCTGAGATGCATCATGTCCATATATCGAAGTTAAACCCACCTCGTTCGTGATACAATTAGTTTCTTCTCCACCCACGTATCTATCATAAAACATCTGAACTCTAACTTTCCCATCAACTTCAGAAGCATTTATCATTCACGCCAACTGCCCTAAATCTTGCCCTCAAAGATTAATTCGATTCATTGACATTTACCATTCCCGCGATTTAAAGATACACACCGTATCTCATCATCAATACTCCACACTGGTGCCACTTCTCATCATCATTTACCTTAAATCCTTACTGCCATCACCCTATACATATAGATCGAGATCGAAATACAGAGCCCCACCACTTCTAAAGCCTAGTAACGCGCCCCTGCTCAGCTAGACTCAAAAAATGCAGTCAATTCTTCTCACATTTGGCCTCATGGTTGCGATGGCCAATCTCTATCTTTTCATTCGCTCCATTTTGGAATTAATTCATTCTATTGGCAGTCTAGGTGAGTTCTCTTTCGATCTTTTCTATTGTTATATTACTATTCTTGCTATAGACCATATATAAATATACTATATGAAACTAACGAATGCATATTTATGGGCCTCTCTAGTCACTGAGATCGAACAAATGTCAAATCGCGTAGAGCAATTGGAACGCGGGGTTTCTCGGTTGGCATTTACCCAGCTAGATTCTAGCGTCGTGCTTAACAGACTTGTGTTCAGGGACAAAGACAGGGACAGGTTTGGGTATAGAACTACTCAGGATATGAATGGGCCTTTGCGTGTGGGGAGTGGGCACGAAGACAGCGATGATGATTCCGACGACAGTTATATCTATGAGGAGTCCGAGGAAGTAGAGGAAGAATTTGAGGAGGATGACGAAGAGGAGATTGAGATTTAGGACAGTGGGTTTTTGAAAACGACGACAAGAAAGCTAAAATGGATCCATCGATCGCGCGCGAAAACTGACTTGATTTTTTTTTCAGTATTTTGTCTCTTCCTTTTTTTTACACTTATAGATAGTGACTAGTGTATGTAATACTATCGTTACGGGGCGTGTTTAGGTTTCAAAAGACCGGTACCTTCTACTTTTAAGCCAACGAGACTGCATAGCTATCTACCTCCCTCCATCTCTCATATATTCCTATCCCTCGCCATCTACGTCCCATATTAATCCCATTTCAGCCTGTTAAAGGTAGACGCTTTCATTCTTTTGGCCACAATCTAAATAAATCGATCAATGATATCTTCTTTATCAAATCATTAACACCTGCCCTATCAACTCTCGTACCGACATAATCGAAACCAATCTACGTTTACGAGACCAATATACCTTAATTATACCAAGTTGTATTGGAAGCCCAGGAAGTCGCCCTCCACTATCATCTAACAAAGATGTCAACGTTACAAATCATCGATATGATAATCACCTACATTTTCTTTGGAATCGTATTTATCTTCGTCATGGGTGTCGTTTTCAAGGTCATGAGTGTCATTTTAAAGATCATGAGTGTCATTATCAAGTTGACGAACTTCATTATCAGCTTGGTATCCTATGGCATCAGATATTACAATCACATCAACCGTATGGGTAAGCTTCCCTCCCTTTACTTTCTTTCATTCATTAACTGTAAGATTGAATTCACTCCACCTATCCATGACGGCTAAAATTGTGCTGATGATTTTATTTATAAAACTTTAGTTCATGACCTTCAAATGTCATTGTTTAGTATTGCTCAACAATTAGAACAACTAGAGAAGGATATGGCCCAATTGAAGGAGTCACACCTCATTACCACTGCAGTCTTCAACAAGCTAGTTACCAAGGAGAGGGAAAGGGAAATCTACGGGTCCGGTGGTGGTGGTGATGCCAGTGGAAATGGGGTTTGGCGTGCATATGCACAATTGGAAGGGGAATATAGCCAGATTGATAGTGGTGATGATTCCACCGATGAGACCTATGTCTACCAATAGTCGGGGTGTGTGACACCTAAGTACTTAATTGATACTGAACAATATGAAGGATACGGAAACACAGGCATTAAGAACGAAGAAAACGAAACAATGGCAGGGTCGATTCTTAATCGACGATATTGCAATAGAAAAATTTAAATCTATTGATCAATGGGGTTTAATTTCAAAGCTCTGTCAAACAATGCTATTGTTCTTTTAACTTGGAATCTATTTAATTCTGGTATAGAATGCACTTCCACCCAGTGAAATCGATTATTTCATTTCGTCGATGTTCGAGTTCAAGTTCCATGCAATGACAACATACAGCGAACATGAACTCCCATGTTGCCCATGCATGTAATAACGGTGCCTCAACCCAACACAAAGTAACTCATGCAAAATACCACAAACTGCCTGGACCAGAATCAAGTTCCTGCCAAATCTGCAGCTAGCGGATAGTCTCGAATAAAAACAGGGCTGCATGCATTAATTCCAAAAAGTAGATCATAGTCCCTTTTGGACCCACTTATCTTTAATTATGAGGAAGTAGCTTCCCAATATATATCTAAAGCTAAACTACCATGACATCTACAACTTATTAGCACGGAGTATACCGGTAACAGGTTCGTGTTGGTCATTAGCTTCACGGCGGTCGAAGCCGTGAACCGGCAAGTTACGTCAATATCACACAATAGCACAAGACTATATGCTATAATTACATAAATTGTACCAAAGAATCATGAAACAATCCTCAACAAGTGTCATTGTCTCACATACGCGTAAAACGTCAGCTGCTTGTAATTAAATAGTCATAATATACGTACTGAAATGAAAGGTATAAATTGATCGCTTGGTCCGTTTAATTGATCAATCGGAAATACCAGAAATTTTATTCTACAGCTGCATAATATACGACAAGACCGGCGATTTTTCAAACTTTTTGTCATTTTGCAAATTATTCAGTGATCTAGAGAGTCATTGCTTCTGGAGCCTTCACAATGGGGCTCTTTGCATTTGTTTTAGGTTATGTGTCGACTATCCTAGATGAGTTTATGGGATATTGCAAGTTGGTACGTATTGTATTCCGGAGAATTGAATCGCTAGTAAATCAATAGTGGATCGGAATTCTGACGATATGGTGTAGATACAAAATCGGGAAGTAGGATGGCCTACGGTGGATCGAAAGGTATGATTTTCAACCTCACTTACTTACAATTGAGTTCACGTATAAGGGCTAGAACTAGAGCTAGAGCTAAAGCATTCACCCTAACTTTACATTATGAATAGACTGGCGAACTCAAACGCGAACAGCAGCCCATTTGGAAGAAAATCAAGTTAATCCTACTTTTCAATCCTATAACCGAGTGGAGTATGCCATAAGACCCGCGGCCGATTAACATAATATCAGACGGTTGGGGATGCTAATTTTTTTTCAACATAGTCGACCGGACCAAGTTGATGAGACTCTATCTTCATGATAACTCTTTAAAAGAAGGCAAAAAAGAGCGATCACCGCGGTCAAAATCCAAGATCAGACCATTTATCGATTTTTATCACATAAATATGAAAGAGTTTACCCCGAGCGACATCAAAGACTATGCTACTTTCGAGGACTTTTTTGTCCGAGAGCATGCTCGTGGGTCTCGTCCGATATATGAGGAGGGCGACGATGTAAGAAAGAACCCCGACAAATAATGCCATAATTTCGCTCTTGCGCTAACATCCTAAACTTTACTAGTCTTTCGCCATCGTGCCTTCTGATTGCCGTGTAGTAGTCTACCCCTCCGTCCATCTCGCACAAAAATTGTGGATTAAAGGTCAACACTTCTCAATCGCCAATCTATTGGGTGACCCTTCCATCGCAGAATCTTTTGCCGACGGACCCGTTGCATCGTTCCGCTTAAGCCCTCAAGATTATCACCGTTATCACGCCCCTGTCACTGGAACGGTGAAATGGTATAAACAATTTAGTGGGGAGTATTACAACGTTGATCCATGGAATTTAAGATCGCATATCGATGTATTGACATCCAATGCGAGATGCGCAGTCTGTTTTGAAACTGAGAAGTATGGGGATGTAATATTTGTGGCAATTGGGGCATCGGATGTGGGGACTGTTAAGTAAGTCTACACTTTGGCGGGTAATTTCTCAAAGGGCTTGTGGGCAGCTAAGACTGATAACAACGTGATTTACATAGGTTTAACGAGGACACGAGAATACCTGGGCGCAGAATCCGTAAAGGCCAAGAGATTGGGAGATTTGAATTCGGTGGATCGAGTATTTTGGTGGTCTTCCAGAAGGGGAGAATTTTGTTTGATGAGGATTTATTAAATTTGAGTAATGAGAGGATTATGGTAGATGTTGAGGTTGGAATGAGTCTAGGACGCTTGCAAGCTAAAGGGGGTGAGAAGCGTGGGAGCGTAGACGAGGGGAGTGGAAAGGTAAACGAGAAGCGTCAAAAAGTAAACGAGATGCATGAAAAGGTAGGCGAGACGGAGACGTATGCACAAGCGGTGTCGGAGGGCGGGAAAAAGTCGGATTCTGAGAAGGAAGATACACAAACGACAAAGAGGGCTGCGAAGGCTCTGCGCATTACCTAGGTTTTTGATAGAGGGGTCGACTCTATCAATTGTACCGAATGCATGTCTGGTATACCAAGCCCTTGTCGCTTGGGTTGAGTACCGTTGATGAGTGTGGGTCCCGGGAATTCCGAAAATGTAGACTCGAGTCGAGGTTTGATCATGAGACGTCTGGATACGAGATTTCAATTGATAGCGCAAAATCTTTTTTAATATTTTTAAACCTTAGCATTCGAATGTATGTTTATCTACAGTTACAACATGTTTCTTTTGAGTTCAAATGGGCATCTGCGCTTGCAATTGACACATAAAGCTCTTGGATTTCTTGACATTGCGCCACTGCGCATACTTTAAGGTCACACAAGCCCACCAGCAGCGGCTATGTGTAGAATTGAGTTCTAGTTTCTCGACTCATGATATGGACCTAGCCGATTGCATCTAATTCATTCAACTTCTGGCGTAATTGATTATGAAGCTCGCCACGCGGAGTTACGACATACGATAAGGCGCATCTCCCCACTTTTACGAAAAATTTCTATCTTATTCCAATCGGAACAGGATAGAGTCGACCTGCAAATCGATGCAAGGAAGAGCTCCCAAAATCTGCAAATCGTATCGATAGCATATGCAATCCCCCACTGTCAATCGAATTCAACTGTTTTTTTTCCTTATTCTAACCGCTACAAGCGAGTCCACGCCAGCTTCACCTTATATCATCCACTTCCAACAGCGCCAATCCCAGCCACACATGCGAGTCAGCCAATGGGCACTCTATCCGTCCAGTCCACCCCCTCCCGCACTTCTTTTTCTTTGGCACTAACCCAAAACCCACCCTGCTGGACCACCCGTTTTCTGGATCGGTAACATCTGTGCCTCGTAAGTGCGGGAGGGAGGGAAAGTCTGTGCTGGCAGAAGTCAATTTTGCCATGTGGGCGTTAAGGGCGTGAGTGTGGGGAATGAGATTAAAATGCTGGTCACAATTATGAGCATTTTGGGGGGAAATGAGCCGGCTTGTCCATGGCCCAGACTAGATCAAAGTTAAAGAGCCAACCCGTTCAGTAAACGTTCAACCGGCTTCTTTTCAGACTCGTATGCCAGAATCAACCTGACTTTCTCTTCAATTAATACACTTACCTTTTCTTGCCGAAGAAAAAAAAATCTACAGACATGTCGACATCAGGTCCAACATCGCCGCCGAAGTCCGTATCCCCTAAACCAGTATCCCCTAAACCAGTATCCCCTAAAGCCGCTTCACCGACAAGCGCAGCTGCTTCTCCCCCGCCAGCGGCACTGGATGTTACCGTTCAGGGCGATGTTACTACCACATTACACCCTGAACTGGAGGCCGAGGTATGTACTACCGCTTCATTTGGTTTCCAGGATTTCCCCTACAAACCGTTTCCCTTCAGAATAAAATGAAAAGGAAATGTGATATCATAAAAATAGATAAAGGTACTGTTACTAATAAGACATGCTAGACCTATACCGAGTCGGCGTACAGTGAATCTGAAGTGTTCGTTCCCTCCCCTACCCTCCCTCCTTCATGTTGTACAACATTACCTGCGCCTGGATGTGTGTGTATCCTATGCAAGGGCCAACATTTTTCTTTTCTCAAAAAAAAAATAAAAAAAGGAAATTAAGGATTACAAACTGACCGGCGATAAATACTTTCAACTCCTTGTATGGGCAAACAGAGGGAGTTATACGACCAGCTTGTCAAGTTCGGTCATGCACTATCGTTTTGAGAATGGCAGACGATATCATTCCCAGTCAATGACTGACACAAGTATGTTTTTCCAACACTTATTCCAGTTGAGATGATTTCAATTTGTTGCATTTTGTGGTTACAACGCAGAATCGAGTGTGTTGCTAATGTCAGTGGTTTGGATATCATTCAGACTACTTTTTACCGAACGACGAGGTAGATATGTTCTTGATAGTCTTTTATTGGGAGAATGGCAAATATTAATGAAGGCATAGGCGGAGAATGACCGGCTGGATCTGAATCATCATGTCATGTTTCTTATTCAGAAGGGAAAATTACACGCAGCGCCGCTTAAAGACCCCCAGAGGATTCTTGATGTTGGGACTGGAACTGGTGAGCATTTTCTTGTGGCGCATACATAGACCCCCCTTTCATGAAAATACTAATTATCACTGTGTTACAGGTATATGGGCAATCGAAATGGGTTAGTATTGTGTCGAAGTTTCGTCTGTCTTAATAATATATTAACTAAATTTATGTCTTAATAGCGGATGAATATCCTATGGCAAATGTACACAACTTGTCCCGTTCTGCGAGTATGTGATTCATAGTAACTAATATCGGTTCACTGCAGGTTGTTGGCAATGATTTGAGTCCTATTCAGCCGCGATGGTATGCATACACTTTTTCTTATATCGATCATCAGTTTTGTTCTATGGGATCGATTGCGCATACTAACTTCCTTCTTGATAGGGTTCCGCCAAAGTATGCTCTAATCACCAAAGTTGGATCACGAATCAATTGCTAAAGAATTAACACACAGTCTCACTTTTGAGGTCGACGATGTTGAGAAGGAATGGACACACAAACCAGACAGCTTCGATCTTGTCTATATCCGCTATATGGTCGGTTCAATTAAGGATTGGCCGAAGTTATTAAAGCAGGCGTATACGTAAGTTGCTAACCCCTTTGCACCAAGAGCTATAGTTTTAATAGAACACTAAGTTAATAACATGCCTCAAATTTTTACAGAGCCGTTAAGCCCGGTGGCTACGTTGAGCTTCTCGAACCCGACTCCACACTCCGTTCCGACGACGGGTCTTTCCCTGAAGATTCGGCCCTCGCTGAATGGGGAAGACTATTCACTGGTGGTGCCCGTGGCATCGGTGCACCCTTAGACGATACGCCGAAATTCTCGGACTACCTCCGCGACGCTGGATTCACCGATATTAGTCGAGAAATCTTCAAATTGCCGAATTCTCCATGGGCTAAGGATGCGCATATGAAAGAAGTCGGTGGATATCAAATGGCTGCCTTTATTGAAGGGTTGGAGGCGCTTAGTTTGTTCTTTTTTACGACGGTGCACGGGATGAGTGTACCAGAGATTGAGATTCTCTTGGCGCAGGTGAGGAAGGATATGAAGAATAAGGCTATCCATACATACTTTAACTTGTGAGTATTCTTGTCATCGGATTGTTAACATGTTAGGAGGTAGGGATAATGGGGCTAATAAGATATAGGTTCCGATACGTGGCGAGGAAACCTGAGACAGCTTGAGGATCTAGATTCAATCCTAGCGAATCGGAATGGAATATGAAACTGCGACTTTCAGGTGGTGATCTACTAAAAAGATGCTAGATAATGACCCCCTATCTGCCTCCACCGGACTTTTCTGAACCATGAATCTCATTACTTCCAATACTTCCAATATATTATCTCTCCGCACTGGTCTCAAGTCCGACTACTCAACATTACCATAGTCTACTTAATCCTTTTCATAATTTTGAAGTTAGTATAGCGTGCACGTGTAGTTAGTTTGAATGTTTGGGTTTGCATCGGGGCGGCGCATGTACAGTTGGTATGTCGACCCTGGTATTTCCTATTTATATTATCGGTCTGTTTTTTCTTAAATTTATTATTATACTCCCAATCAACCGTATTTAGACTTAGACAGGTATTCCATGGGTTCTTCGCAAAGATTCTATCTTGGTGTACAGGTTGCAGTATGGGATATTTGAGCAAAGCCGGACAGTCTCGGCCGGCAGCAGACAGCCTGTGTTGACAGCTGGGGAACCAAAACCGCAGAACTGGCTGTCTAAACGGTGAAACCACGTGTCGCGCGGTATCACGTACATCATTTTTGGACCCGACTGTAGACGGATATAATCATTACTAGCCTCTAGGTTAGTATGGCGGTCCAGGGTACTTTATTAGCGAACAGCTGGAGAAAACCTAGACGTTTAAGCCCTCAGTATACTAGTATCCGACAATGTCCCTCCTCTCCCTCCCCACAGAGTTACATTTTCAGATACTCTCCCACCTCGACACCATCCATGATCAGGATGCAGCGAGCCAATCCTTTCCACTATGGCACAAAATCCTCACCACAACCGACAGTTTTGTTCGTCAGCGTTATGCAACCAGTCTAAGAAAAAATCATAGACTAATAGTCCACCAATATCTTAACGTGGGCAGTCGTTTAGTCGTCACAGTCGATTCAGTAGAAAGCGGGGTCGTTAAAAATTGGCGGTGTATTCAACAAAATATACTGGGAGAGTTAGAATCGAGAAATATATCCTCGTCTAGGTTTCTGGAGGACCCATTCTTCGCACAATGGGATTTCGAGAAGGGACAAGTGAAATGCTTTCCTCGCACGAGCATCGATAAAGCTGAAAACCCGAGTGTGATACCAACGAAAAGGGATACAAAAGTTGTGTCGACACCAGAGTGCAATCCGTCTGAAATATATTTGTCTCCAGTTACAACAGATATTCAAGAAAAGTATGGCTACACCCTCAAATTCACAGCAGAATTGCAATTCTTTGACAACGAATATCAGATATTTGGGCGTCCAGGAGAATATTGGTGGGAGAGACTAGCACTGGGGAGTCAGACGACAGTGAAAGAAGTTATCACTGAGGTTATAAAGGATGTATTGCCAGCTTTAAAAGATTGGGTGAGAGGAGAAGAGGAGTTTAATATAAACTTTTCAGGTAAATGGCTCAGGATGGGATGGTGGAGGTTAGTGGTCAGCGTAAAGCTATATAAAGAAGACCCTTCCGATATCAAGGCAATTGGGCGTCTTGATAGCGTATTTCGACTCTATCACAGAGATTGAACTATCGAACTGCCAATGTCATTTTCAAGGCTGAGCTGGCATGCGCAAGGATACTAGTAACGTGTGCGACAAATGGCGGGGAGAATTGGCACTTTTTGTACTCTAGACGCGAAGCTAATGTAGATTGGATTGGCCTAATTGGGGCTTTTGGTACAATTTGTCGGGCCAGAGTAATGGACAACATAAAATTACAATCAGCCTAACGACTAAACCAAAAGGATTCATATAAAGATAAATATATATAGCCAATGGACATGTACCTTTATTATATTATCTATCTAGATATTTCGAAACTATTCTTCCAATTTCTTAACAGAATTGATCAATTGAATCCTATCCTATAGGCCGGATTGTTGAATACTAATTCGGAATCAGGCCGGCTGTTGTATTTTTTACTCCAACGCATTTGTCATAACTATAGGTTAGGCAAAGGATGTTAGACACCAACTCTAACGACAAGTACTCCTCGAACCGGTCTGTCAACATGGGGCTATTAAATTTTCCTGTTGAAATATTAGAACAAATAGCAATCTTCGTATGAGGCTCTCTATTCTTGCAATTCCTATAAAGTAGTGCTGACAAACTTTGGAAAGATCGAGTCACCCTTAGACCTTACAAGACTTGCTCTTGTGAACAAGCTATTCTCGAATATTGTCCGCCCGCATTTCTCTCAATTTCTGACATTGGGAATCCCTTCTGCTGGTGGTGGCTGGAGGATTCAAAGCCAACTCGATAAGATTACGGAGCGACAGTTACGAAATGTGCGGCATATTGAAGTTATGCACTCTTCCAAAGTCAAGAAATGGGGCTCAGGCGATGTTCGCGTGAGCTTTCCTGATGGCAAGGAATATGAAGAAGTAAAGAAAATCAACAGCCAACAAGAAGTAGAACGGATATACGGACCTTTTGAAGATTCTGAGATAGCACCTACAATTTTCAATGAGAGGGTTGCTGAGATTATCAACAATCTCAAGTCAGGGCAGTTACAATCTTTTAGGTAAATTATTATCTAGCACCACTTGCGACAATAGATCTATAGACGTGTTTGTGGACAACTAATCTCATTTTTCTATGTGGTAGATTCAATAGACATAGCTATAGTCGGGTTTTCTACCGCGTCGAAGTCGACAAACAAATACTATCGGCTTTAGCTAGCCCTCAGACGAGACTTACGAGGTTAACATTAGCTTTCGACCCCTGCCTTGGATATGATGACTGTAGCATCTTCAACTTTCCACACCTTCGCTACTTCAACTACAACTGCTATGATGTTTCTGGACGGTACCATCGGGTATTTAGTCTGCTTTCCAGTTGCCAGAATACCTTGGAGGAGTTGCACACTGCGAACTGGAAACCTCAGAATAGAGGCTTGGAGATGGACGACCGACAATCAAAGATTGCCATCGGGTTCGAAGCCTGGGAAGAGTGTTCCAAATGCGCAAAGATCTGCAAGAGGGACAAGCAGGCTGATGGAAAGAGGATACATTTAAAGAATTTAAAGACCTGGAAGTGTAGTGGGTATTCATCATATACCTACGATTTGGTCAAAATCTTCAGGCAAAAGAAGATTTTAGAGAAGGTTGCTCTGAGAAAGTACAGTGAGAGAACTTCTATTGGCTTTTCAAATTATAGTTCAAAATCGGGTGTGGACTGGGAGAAATACTTCTCTTACCCGGAATTTAACGGTAGTCCCGCATCGAACGAAGAACTGAACCACTTTTTGGAGGCCACAGCCGGATTTCAAAAAGTAACAGTTTCAGGAGTTCCCGGCATGAAGTCCCCTTGGGGTTGGGTTGAAGGATTAAAAAAGTGTCACCGAGAATCACTGCGGAAACTTAAGGTAGTGAGCTGGGCATTACATACAGATGAGGAGGATGTCGAATATATTGGGAACTCGCTACCCAGCCTAGAAGAATTGACCGTTGAGATGAAGGAGTCCATTTGGACAGAGTTTATGGTATGCTACCCTTCGAATTCTTTCTAATAAGAACCTCAGAGTGGGCAATTCAAGATATACCTGTATACATGAGTGTACTACATGAGTGTACTACTTTTATGGAGAGTTATCGCTAATTTGTCTATGTTTACTACCCCCTCGCAGCCAGATTGCATTTTCGACGAGTCGATTTTCCCCAAGCTGGAGGTTTTCAAGAGCATTGGTGTGCCATCCAGAAAAGACAATACATTTAGAGAAAAGCTTTGTCAGAAGGTATTGAGTAGCGTTCTTGAAGGGAAATTGTCGCCAAATCTTAAGAAAATATATGTTGGCAAGGCCAACTATGTCTTCATCATTGACAGAGAAAAAAGAGACCATGAAATTGCTAAAGTCATAGAAAAAACTGAAATAGAGGACATGGTTTTTGAAGAGCGAATGAAGATTGACGAAGCATTGGAAATTTATGGAATAAAGGTTACAGAGATCAAATACCAGAACCGTCGAACAGTCTGGCAAGGTAGAAAAGAAGTGTATGAATAATTGATGTCGATTAGGAGCAAGTGGTTTTAACATGTAAACGAGATTAAAATTAACACCATAGAAATATCTATACGCCTTGAATTTGAAGGATTTGGATAATCAAGCCCAAGGGCAAATCGCAACTGCTTCTTCGAAGCTCGAATCGAATCAAATCTACATTTGGAGAGCCTCGGCTCATCTTGACGCGCGTGTACTAAATATAGGCAAGTATAACCGAATAACAGCGGTTAAATATCCTAAAACAGCTGTGGGGTTTGCGTTGAGTCAAACCAACCTGGAAGATATTTTTGTGCCCCTCGCTGCCCCTCCCCTCGCTCAGTCCTTCACCAGAATATAATCCCATCGCTACCTTTTTCTGCCGAGCTTCATTGTCTGGTGGAATAATTAGTTTCCTAGACACTATTAGCTTCGTAGTCCTTTATAACTTAAAACGCATTCGACCGTATACTTCATATTCCATATTACCGTCTGCGATCTCGCGACCTTAATTGCCCAGTATGGCGTCTGTCGAAGATGCCTCGAAGAATACAATCAAGCTCGAAAATGTAAGGTTAAACACCAATTCCACATGCCAGTTCAGATCTGACATCCTTGAAACAAATGAAGACCGAAAAGAGAGATTCTCTCATCGAAATCGAGAAGCGCTACCAGAAGAAATGGCAGGAGGCCAAGATCTTTGAGATTGATGCTCCGACCCTCGCTGAAGACTCTACCACCGATCCGGATACCCTCCGTTCGAAACACCCTAAGTTCTTCGGAACTATGGCTTACCCTTATATGAACGGTGTTCTCCACGCAGGACACTCTTTCACCCTGTCTAAGATCGAGTTCAGTACAGGATTCGCAAGGATGGAAGGCAAACGAGCTTTGTTCCCTCTTGGATTTCACTGCACCGGTATGCCAATCAAGGCGTCAGCAGATAAGATCGTCCGAGAAATCGAGCGGTTCGGCGAGGATTTTAGTGGTGCAGATGCAGAATTGGCTGAAGATCAGACTGAGAATGCACCTCCACCCCCACCTGCTGCTACCAAAGAGAAGGAAGACCCGACAAAGTTCGCTGCTAAGAAGGGAAAAGCTGCAGCCAAGAAAGTCAACTTGAAATACCAATTCCAGATTATGAAGGCGATCGGTGTTCCTAAGGAGGAGATTCCTAAGTTCGCAGACCCGTACTACTGGTTGACTTATTTCCCACCACTTTGCCAAGAGCACTGCAACTCTTTTGGTGCAAGGATCGACTGGAGACGAAGTTTCTTGACCACAGATGCAAATCCTTATTACGATGCTTTCGTAAGATGGCAGATGAACCGCTTGAAGGAGTTGAAGAAAGTCAAGTATGGTGAGCGATACACAATTTACTCGCCAAAGGATAAGCAGCCATGTATGGACCACGACAGGAGTGAAGGTGAAGCCTTGAACCCCCAGGAGTATACTGGTGTCAAACTTGAGGTTTTGGAGTGGGGCAGCGATGTCAAAGAGCTCATCGCCTCAACGAAGGAGCTCGAGGGTGTGAAAGTGTATATGGTCGCTGCGACTCTGCGTCCGGAGACCATGTACGGTCAAACATGCTGCTTCGTTGGGCCTAAGGTTGACTACGGTATTTTCAAGGTCAACGATAAAGAAGCATATCTCTGCACACCCCGTGCCGCAAGGAATATGGCCTTCCAGCGTATATTCGAGGAAGAAGGCAAATTCCCTCAACTTGCAAGCTTCCAAGGCAGTGTTTTGATCGGAACCTTGGTAAACGCACCACTTTCGGTGCACAAAGACGGTGTCAGGATTCTCCCTATGGAAACTGTCCTGGCAACTAAGGGTACTGGTGTCGTTACTTGCGTGCCCTCTGACTCTCCGGACGATTATGCGACTATCACCGATCTCGCCAAGAAGCCTGAGTACTACAAAATTCAGAAAGAATGGGCGGAGTTTGAAATCGTCCCAATTATCAAAACCCCAAGCTACGGTGATATGTCTGCCCCATTCCTGATCAAGGAGCTTAAGATCGCTTCGCCAAAGGACAAGGATGCCCTAGCTAAGGCAAAAGAACTCGCCTACAAAGAAGGATTCTACCAGGGAATCATGTTGATTGGCAACTATAAGGACATGGAGGTCCAAAAAGCCAAGCCATTGGTTCGCGAGAAATTGATTGGCGAGGGTTTGGCCTTCGTCTACAACGAGCCCGAAGGGAAGGTTATCTCCCGATCTGGGGACGAGTGCGTCGTCGCTCTCTTGGATCAATGGTACCTCGACTACGGTGAAGAGCACTGGCGCAAGCAGGTTGAGGACCACCTCGAAAACACGGTCGAGACCTACCAACACGAAACCCTCAACGCCTTCAAGTCCGTTTTGGGATGGTTGAATCAATGGGCTTGTGCCAGAAGTTTTGGATTGGGTTCTCGTCTCCCATGGGATCCACAATTCCTTGTTGAATCTCTCAGTGACAGTACAATCTACATGGCCTATTACACAATCTGCCACTTCCTTCATTCGTCCCTTGACGGAAAGAAGGCTGGTCTCTTGCCAATTTCTGTTGAGCAAATGACGGATGAGGTCTGGGATTACGTCTTCACCCGCCGCGAGCTCTCCGATGAAGTTCTCGCTTCAGGTATTTCGAAAGAAAATTTGGAAACCATGAGACGTGAATTTGAATACTTCTACCCACTCGACTTCCGATGCTCTGGTAAAGATTTGATTCCAAACCACTTTACCTTCTTCCTGTACATTCATTGTGCTCTCTTCCCGCCTACATACTGGCCTCGTGGTGTCCGTGCCAATGGCCATCTCTTGCTTAATGGTAACAAGATGTCGAAGTCGACTGGTAACTTCTTGACTCTAGAAGAAACCATTGCCAAATTTGGTGCCGATGCCAGCAGAATCGCGTTGGCAGATGCTGGTGACAGCATTGAAGATGCCAATTTTGAGGAGTCGACCGCTAATGCTGCCATTCTTCGAAGCCATACTTTGAAGGAGTGGTGCGAGTCAGTTACTCTAGAAGCCAAGGAGGGTAAGCTGAGAGATGGTCCAAAGGATCAATGGTGGGATGCTGTCTTCGAAAATGAGATGAACGGTTTGATCGAGCAGGCAAGGGCCGCTTATTCTGCGTATGTACAATCAATATGATTTGCCTTATCAGAACTTTTGCTGACATAATACTTTAGAACTCATTTCAAGCAAGCCCTTAAGGCCGGATACTATGAATTCCAATCCGCAAGAGATACATACCGTGAAGGATGTCTCCAATCCAGCATTGGAATGCACAAAGATCTCATTCACCGCTGGATCGAAGTTCAGGCCTTGATGATCAGCCCCGTCGCTCCTCACTGGGCAGACTATATCTGGCAAGAAGTTCTAGAACACCCAACAACTATCCAGAATGAATTGTTCCCTACTCCAACAGCACCATTCGATAAATCTCTTGGCGCTGCTCTCGAATACGTCAGAGCTTTAAGCGGAAAGATCACCTCTATGGAGGCTGCCCAATTGAAGAAGATGAGCAAAGGAAAGAAGGGATTCTTTGACCCGAAGAAGCCGAAGAAGGTTTCCATCTTCGTGGCCAGGAATTATCCTGCATGGCAAGATCCTTATGTTGAGTTGGTCCGAAAACACTTCGATGCTGTCAAGATTAGCATCAACGATAAGGCTCTCAACTCTGAGATTCCAAAACAGGAGATGAAGAAGGCCATGCCTTTTATCCAACTGTTGAAGCAAAAGCTCGTGGGCGCTAAAGAGGACCCCGAGACAGTTTTGGATAGAAAATTGAGGTTTGACGAAGTCAAGACTCTCATGGCTGTTCTGACCGCCATGAAGAAGACAACCGGAAGTGCGGTCATGGAGGTTGTGGTTATGGACGACAGTGGGAAGGCCGGAAGCGTGGTACAAGCAGACGGAGAGTTGAAGGCTTTGGAGGGTGCTCTACCGCCTGCAGCTGAGGCGGCTGTCCCCGGTGTGCCGACATTCTCGTTTGAGAACGTTGAGGAGGAAGGTGCCGCTGGGCCAGCTTAGATCTGGGCTGGTGGGTTGCTCGGTTTTATTTTGTTGCATATTAGATTCCCATACATTTTCTTTAAGTGTTTTATTTACATGGTTGCTGGGGGTGGGAAACATTATTATCATTACTGCCATCGAAGGATGGGTATGGCTTAACTAACCAATTAGTTAGAAGTAGAAAAAGTAAACCAAACGGCATGGTGTGATTGAATATCATTACTTTCAGAAGCTAGACCCGTAGTTAAGCTATCATGAGATATATTCACTGAGTTAAACAAAAGTACGAGAGCTCGAGAGTTTGATTTGAAGAACAGTCACCAAGTCATCCGCGATAGGAGGAAGACCTTAAATGACAATAGAATTGCTATGATAGTATTGTGAGAATGAAAACCAAAGCCATAAGAGAAAAGATTTATGTATAACAGTAAGACTACGAAGAAACCTACCGCATTAGCCATTTTAGCAAGTTAAAATCCATCGCATATATATCCGGTTCGCTGAAAGCATGGAGGCGAAACGTTTAAACATGAGATAGGGGAGTTTAAAAGAAACTCGGAAAAACAGAAGGAAAGAAAATTATAAGGAGGCCGAAGGAGATAAGCTCAAGATGGGTCTTTGACTAGGCCGTAAGCATCTTCCCAGAATCTCTCGGGTGAAGGAGGCCCGGGGGCCAGTAAGTATGTTGAACACCCATTTTGCAGGCAAAGCTTTAGGGTCGTATTTAAATCAATGGGTTTGACGAGCGGCCTATAAAGGTCAACCTCATCGCTACCCTCATAAAATCGCTCCACGTATGCCCCCACTGCGAGATAGCACGGGTTAGGGTTTACAACCCGGCTACAGTAGTTATGACCGTAGTGTTTGTCGACGATAAGGAGCCTTACTGATGGCGGTGTAGTGGCCGGACCCTCGGCGAAATGAGCAAGTAGGCCGTTCACCTCCCGAGTGATTTCAACATCGCGACGCTGATGGGTTGAGTAGCGTCGAGCCTCTGGTGGTCTTGGTTTCCATTTGAGGAGACGAAGGACTCTCAAAGATTTCAAGAATAGAAGCTACAGGATTTAAGCGATTCTGTTAGTATGTAGGTAATATTGAATAACATAATCGATGTATTGGACTTACCTCACTAATAAGTGGCCCTGGGTGTGGAATGGCAAGCTCCCGGAGGAGCTGCCAGTTAGTGCTGGCGAAAATAACCGTCTCGGTGAGCTTTGTGTTCTTGAGAAGACCCCACGTCGAAGGACATTTCAGAGGATCCCGTTCAGGTAGTTGACACCCTACCCAGAGTCTTTGGATCTGTTTCTTATTGACAAATGAATACATTTCGGGTAGTTCATTGTCTGGGTGTGAGTAACCCGTCAACTGAAGTGTGTGAATGGTATCCATATATGGGAGAGTATACCCACGAGGAACGCACGATCTGGCATCCTCATCATCCGACCAATCATCGGGTTTGCTACCATCGGGGTCAGCATCTATTCTATTGCATTCACAGATTTGCAAAGATTCGATACGGGCCCCCGCGGCTTCCAAGAGGCGAACAAGTTTGGAAAAGCCAGTGCAGCCAGATAATCTCACGCGCGTTAATCTGACACATCCGGTGATCATATCAGCTAGGACACCTGCAAAGCTGGAGAATTGGCGGTCGTGAACAATATGCAGCTGCACGAGGGCTGCGAGTTGGATCACTCTAAAGGAAAGATTATCCAGTTTCCCCGAAAAGAAATCGTGTGTCGTCGCTTTCCATTCTGGGAAACGAGGCATACCCTGATGATTGGTATTGCCAAATCGCAGTTTTTTCAATGTGGCGGAGCCTTGATGGATGATTTTGAGGACTGTGGAGGCGGCTCCCTGGAGAATATTACCCATTTCCAGAACAGTGAGTCTGTTTTCGGTGGGTTTGAAGATTATGGCTGGGATGCAGTAGCCTTCAGAGAGGTCAGTGTAGGATCCGAGGTCGCCGAGAGAAAGCTCTTTGAGTCGACCCTGGCCGCTTAGAATGAAGATGAGAGTTCGAACAGATGTTGAATTTCCAAACCTGTATAAATAATTAGAAAACAATCAATAGCCAGAAGAATGACCGAAAACTAGGAGGCTTAATTAAGAGTTGATCCTAGTCATGCAATGAAACTTACTTAATGGTGAGTAGTTGATCCCTCTGGAGCCTCGCGAGAATGATTCTCAACATGATATCATCCATTGCGGTCATCAGCTTCCTAGTAGTGATGGTTCTGTAGTACACATTGTCTATACCCGGGCGTATACGACGGTGTGTCTCAAAAGTTGAGGTTGTTTTTATATGTCGATAGTAGCTCATGGTTTCTTTCGACAATACTGTAAGTATATACTCCACAAATTTCGGAGTCAGGCCACAGCTATTCTTGGTGATTGGCTCTTCGTGATGGAACTTCATTAACAAGGAGCGGTGAAGGATTGGGTATGCGATGTTGCGGGTTGCTGAGCTGCAGCAAGCAACTTTTTTGAGCCCATCTCTGTCGAGCTGGTAGATTTTGGGATTTTCATGTTAATAAAAGTCTTTTTAGGAATGCCATGGTGATAGGTGATGATGTGATGACTTACATATTTGAAAACTCTTTCTACGACTTCAACAGGCATGTCTAAAAGGAAAAGCCTTTGAGAAGGGGCATCCTGCGAGTTGGTTAACTCGACTGTTCTGGAAGAGCTCGAAGCCATTATGTAGACTTAGAATCAGTTTTCTATCGATAGTATTGAAGTATCTTTGATGGAAGAGTATGAGGAAGGGAAAAGTTAAGTTTGAGGTTGCTTTGAGTTTATCTCATTAGTTCGAGATCTTAAATGCAGTTGCGGAGGGTTGTTGAATGGAGGTGCTGAAACAGTGGGGGGGACTCTTTAAATAAGAGAGAGGCCCGCCGAGGGAAAGTGTTCATGACAAGCCCCTTCTTGAATTACCCTCGACACCCGCACATGTCGTGCATGATGAGGGTTAGTAGACGTGACACTGAGGTGCACGTTCGGGGTTGGCATGGGGTTTCAAAGTGTAAATCCAAAAAGTCTAGATATCTAGAAATATCAAAGGCAGCTCATGAGCTCATCATATTGGATTGTAGTCTCTTCAGAAACACTGATCACGAAGCCGGAGCTCAACTGCGAATGAATCGAGGCCAAATGCACTAAAGGTCGTAAAATAAATATATTCAATTTGTTATATAGCCCCCATCGAAGCCCAAAATCTATAACCGTAAAACCTGAAATTTCTACTTTGGGGCATTGAGAACTAACAGTCTAATAAGGCTTTGGTCGAAAACTATTAAATCGATACACTATAGATATACAAGGTTGCTCGTGGATGGGGAGATTGTTGCTCACTATCAAAACTGGCTATGACAAACCCGCCCTAGATATGTAATCAACCAATGCAATGGACTCTTTTCAACTTTATATTATAATTAGGTACAATGAAGAGGTTGATTTTCAAGAAGGATATTCGAAATAGGCCGCCGATAGAAGCTCGATCTGTGGTTCTCAACACAGCAGTGTACAAAATGCAACATTTTCTCATATGCGAAGGATAAACATGCACTTTCACATATTATTTGTTTGCAGACTATAAACAAGTGGAATTGTGCATCATATCGGTGGTAGATAATCAGCTTCGCTATAAATGTAATCTTTATCTTCATGCCCCCAAACCTGTTCTGGTGTTGGTAAACCACCAAGGACTAGGTACGGTGAACAGCCAGCCTCCTGACATCGTCTTAGAGCGCTCTTCCTGGACCTCAGCATAATGACCTTTCCATCTTCAACACTGTAGCATTGAGGAAAGTCAATGAGCGTCTTATATCTGTAACAGTCATTCGCATGATATTCTTCATCCATAATGATGAGCTTTAGCTCTGGCGGGCGATCATAGTTTACGTCCGAAAACTTGTACAGTCTCGTTACATATGCCTGCATTTTGGTAGTAGAGTCTAAGTGGCGATCGGAGCGCTCTATATAATCGTTGAGTTTAAGCCAGTCGAGGAGACGAAGAACCTTTAATGAAGGAAGGAGTGGTACCTAAATTATAAACAGTTTATATTTTAAGGCATTGTTAGCTAGCGTCCGTGATTCTTTACCTTTAAAGATGTTCTTTGTAGGAGAAAATATATTAACCTTAGACCAACCGGGGTGTGGAATCGCAAGCTCTTCGAGAACCGACCAGTTTTCGTGCAACATAGACATACGGCTTAGAGGGTCGCTATATTCGAAAACTCGTGATATAATTGGACATTCTAGTGGGTGACAGTGAGCGGGTAAACAATGCAACCAGAGCCTTCTGAGTTCCATAGGATGCTCAAAATTTGCGAATACGTCGCTGGTATGCGTGTCATTTGTGAGCTGTAAAGTTTTTAGTGACGGGATCCGCGGGAGAGGTTGGGGCACCCGTGGTGGGGAAGGGCTTGACGATGGCGTTCGATCCGTACACTGCCCGATTTGCAATGAATCTATACTTCGTGATCCAGTATTCACTAGATGCTGGATTAAGCTGCACGGATCATTCGAACTATATATCCTAACGATTTTCAAATGATGGCAATTGGAAACCATTCGAATGACGAATCGCATGAATTTTGCAAACTGGGAATCATGGACGATATACAGTTGTTCTAACAATGGGAGGTTGATTTCACCAAACTCTAGTTGAGACTGCAAGGCAGCAAAATGCCTCTCCTCTCTTCTAACAAATGGCTCTCCGTAGCTATCGGCGGGCATAGATCCCATCTCAGAATCGGGTTCAATGGTCTCTTCCCAAATTGGAAGACGGGGTGCGTCGTGGTGCCGTGGATCGCCAAATCGTAATTTTCTCAGAGTAGACGCGCTTTGATAAATAATTTTAAGAACTGTCAATGCTGTCCATTGCAGAATTTCTCCTACTGAGAAAGACGTGAGTCTTAACGGTTGGGTGAAAAGCGAGGGCGGGAAGATATATGGGTCATAGAGCTCTCTCATAGCCCCTAGATCGCTGATTTCCAGCACATTTAAATTTGGCTGTCGCTCGAGGATAAGAGCTAACGTGCGAGATGAGATGTTATTCTCGAACCTATGCAGGCCAGTGATCTATTATTAGCATTTTAAAATGATAGGATCCGATCTAGAGAGGGTGCGAGTCCTGAAATAAGAATTACAGATTTTCAACTCACCTTATCGTTCCCAGCTGTCCATTGCCAAACCTTTTAAGTATTAACCTCAGGATCACGTCGTCCATATCGGAGATACTAGGTCGCAAAGGTCGCGGTTCTAAGGATCCGATTTTTGATACATAAAGTTTTTTGAAACTACCAATCGTCAAATCCGATAGATCAATTATTGTCTCCAAATCTGCCGGGGATACTATGGGCTCGGCTGTGGGCTCGGCGAAATATATGCAAAAACTACGATACAATATCGGTATCGTGATCTTGAACAGCGTAGAGCTGCAGCATGCGAAGTTTCTAAGGTCTTTCAAGGAGAGCTTTTGATTTAATAGGAAATTCGGTTAATTAATTTAGTTTCGAGGTTTCGAGGGATCGCAAAGAATTGATCACTTACATATGGGAAGACCCTTTGGATAACCTCGACGGGTAACTGGAGGAGACCCATTGCTTTTTGCCCCTGGGTATATCTGCCAGACCTTGGCTTTCAACCTCAAGGTAGGTGGTGATATTTTGATCTCCAGTATTAATTGGGCCCTGCAGTTTCAATTATCAAATTGAGGTTGGGCGGCGGGAATATTCCTTTTGGAGTACGGCTATAACCAGCGCGTCTTCTCCTATGCTAGAAAAAGATGAAGTATATGTATCAGAGTCTGGGTATGGGACAAGTCAAGGTGTGGTGGGAGTAATAACTACGGGTGCGCGGTTCACTTTTTGTGCACCGCATCTGCGCTTTGGTAAAGCCTTGTGCTGTCAGTTGGGCCGAAGCCTTGGCATACGGCACGAGATTGAAGGCTGTTTGATTAGGTACAGTCCCCATGTTTGTGATATCGAGATTCAAAGGCGCAGGGGGAATATGGGAGTGGCCTTCGTGGACCCAAGTAATACCTATTCCTGTCCTATTCAAAAAAATTCGGTTCTCATTCGAGTAGAAATATCAGTTGCCAAAATTCCATGCAAAAAAATTGATTTTTTGGACATTGAGCTAGGGAAAACGGTTTACTAGTTGAATCTACACGCTCGGGATCTCGTGCTCAGGGCTAAATCCATAATATTATGATAGGAGGTTACGTTAGGCCTTTAGGATCGAACAAGATGCCCCGAAATCTTAAATTATGCTTTAGATAGACTACCTGCCTGTGAGTAACTGGGATCGTAGGAAATGATATTAAAATATCAACTTGACTCCAACGACCCATGTGATAGCATGCGCATGCAGTAGCAGGCACTTTAGTCACAAAAACAAAATTTCCCCATGTGTACAACTCGAACTATGTAGATATATCTGGTGATATCCTGACACTAGAAGATGGAATCGCGGCATCCGAAAATTTTAAGTATTAAGAAGTTAATTTTGTCCCTTCTCAATTTAGCTTCCCAGCTAGATTGGTTGCCTGGAGCGGATAAATAGCTACAAGCCCATCTCGGATCGCGATCGACATCTTTGTGTAACGTGGGCTAGTCGTGCCTGAGAACAGGCAACCCCCTGCATTAAAAACAGACCACACAACCCTTCGCGGCGTGAGGCCGTCGGCTGTGATGCAGCATGCAATGGCCCTGTTCATTCACTTCGACTTAAATTTGGAAATTTGGATACCTAGTTCTAGGGTCGGATAGAAAAAAAAGGTCTGTGATTGTCAGCGAGATTTCCTCGGCCTCGCGGGGAAAATATATGCATCCTGGGCTGAGGAGAGGTTTTAGATCGTTGTATTCCACAAGACCTATCCATGATCCAGCTATCCCGTGATAGATACAGACAAGAAGAGACAAGTCACAGTTGAGTAGTTTGACGACGAGACAAGACGAGTCCTTAATTAAGCTCAAGAGAAGTGTGTACGTACCTATCCAACATTCGAATTATTCAAACCTATAAGCTTGACTTCAAGCCTTCGACTATCTCCAAATCCCCTAATATTAATATATTGTCTCTTTTTTTCCCTCTAGCCTTCAAAAATGACCTGACTGTTTCAATCTTGATGTCAACCTCGACCGACTCCGGACCCTTCAAGGTAGTCCAAGATCGATAGGTATCGCGATACCGATATTTAGCGAGGCGTAGAAATATAAAATGAAGCCTATATATGCACCTATCAATTTCGATTTTAGTTATACCCCTGCTGATAGTTTGTACAATCGTTTCAGTTACAGCCACCTTCTGGGATACTTTCCAGGCCCCGGAAGATATCTTTCAGCCTTGTACAACAAAACATCTACATAGTATATAGCTGTGATTTGCAATATGCGCAATGCTTGTATACCAGGCCAGGCCACAGAGCCTAACAAAGTCTCCTATATATACTAATACTAGATGATCAACAGCTTCGAATCCAACAAAGTCTAGATATCTACAAGCTCTTCTCTAATCAGATTCTTGAATTCAAGCGCTATAGCGGACTGCAGAAGCGCCGAATTTCTTCGTTTGTTTCACGCCTTCACCTTGGCGCCCTAGCTTTTCGCGTTCTATGGACTCGGAAACTTGGCAATGCAATGCAACCTGGCTCCTGATCAAGATCGATCCCGTACCTCCTGCATGATCGAATATTAATATCACAGAAGTGTGCAGACAATATATATATATCGGGTAATTGCGCAACTGCGGCCGCGGGAAACTCCGTATCAGCGAAATAAAATAGCCCGGATATTGTCCTGTTATACGCTACGACCGCACTTTTCTTTGAAGATATTTAAGCCCGCTAGCACTAGTTATATAGATATATCTGCGCTTAGATGATTTAAACTTGGTCCATTCCTGAATATTATAAAAAATTAGTACCGGCATAGAAATCGTTAACCCCCCAAAAATGTCAGCATCAGAAAATCCATATACGTTAGATCCCTTCGATAACTTTTGCGCCATCAGTGGGCACCAAAGTAAGTCAGAATTTCCGAAATATATGAATAACTTGACGTCACCCAGAATCGACAGGACTAATACTTTTGTTGTACTCTTTTTCTTCAGCACTTTTCCTCGATGGGAAGCTCTATATAACTCCGGGATTTGCCCGTGTGTACATTTCTCCTGGTGTCAATCGCACGGCTTCAAGTGGGTAGCTTTAATCATAATTATGTCCATCTTAACTATAATTCGTATGAGCTCATTTAATATTTACTGACAAATATAATTTGTATATTACTAGGTCCCTGGATTCGAGTGATTGACCTTTCAAGCTCCTTCTCCTTGGACCAAACTAGATCAGTCAGCAGCGTACTTCCCACGAGCATTATTCCTGTCGACATCCCCAATGTCCAAGTTCCTGCCTTTTGGTTCGATTCTTTTTCTTCTTCTATTATCTACGCCCAAGGAGTCCCCACGGTCGAAGGAGGCGTTATACGTGACCCCTCCCTCCGCTCATTCGGCTCCCGTGGAAAATCATGGATAGGCAACTATGATTCGCGAAATCAATCTTTTGCACCATGGGAAGAGGTGGACACACCGTTCAATGGGCAAAGAGGACTAGCGTCCTCATTTCGAAAAGTGTTTGACCCAGTAAAAAGAAAAGGATATATCTACGGCGGGTCTGTTCAGCCCGATGATGGGTCCACACGTACCCCTAACCGTCAGCTGTTAACATATGATGCTGCAACAATGATCTGGACAAATGGTACAACCGAACCTAGTGTTTTTGATACCCTTGGTACAGCTATTCCGTATCGGGCTCCACGAGGTGAGCTTCTCAGCTTGATATTCGGGGGCCGCCTCAACGACACACAACTTGATATGGATACCATATATATCCACGATACTAAATCAAATACTTGGCATCGACAGCGTACTAACGGGCCAATGCCAAACGGCCGCCAACATTTCTGTGCCACGCCAATAACCTCTGCAGATAACAGCAGTACACAGGTTCTTGTCTACGGCGGTTTTGCATCTGGCTCTAGAGCCTATACCGATATCTTTGCTCTTTCACTCCCTTCATTTACGTGGACAAGAATTGAAGCTTCATCACCGGATTCCCTCCCCGGCCCTAGTTCCAGGCTACAACCAACTTGCAATATCATAAATAATCATATACTGGCAGTATTTGGAGGGAGAAACCTCGCTGGTGGAGATACTGCCCGCTGCGACAATAATCAGAATGCCCTTTTTATGTATGACCTTAATGAAAGAGAATGGATTATGAATTATAATGCCAGCAATAAGGCGGTCTACAGGGTACCCGAAGATGTCTATAAAACTATTGGTGGAAAGTAAGTTATATATCTCTACTACTCGAACCTCTACACTTTCCCTTCCATATCTGGCCATTGACACAGAATTAACTTGAAATATTAAATAGTGAGTTTGGAGGTGCCACCCTAAACGCTCCTCCCAACGGCTTTGATACTCCACAATTGGCAGAGTTGTTTGGCGCTGAGGCCTCACCAACACCCCCAGTCGAATCTGGTACGCCCGAAACAGGTTCCTCCAAAACGAATCGGCGTTCTCTAAATATCGGTGCTATAGCGGGTGGTATCGTTGGTGGCATAATAATAATCGCTGCTATCGTTATTGTATACTTATGGAGACGTAGAAGGTCAAACCTTCAGCTATACGATTCCTCGTCTGATGGGCTACCGCCTAGACCTGGGATTCAAGAAGAGCCTCATAATGGAGTTGAAGATGAACCCTTACCAATAGCAGAAGGAAATCAGCAGCGCTCTACAATTATTTAGTAGAGGCTAAGATATTTAATTTCAAATTCCATAGCTAGCTGAGGCTTAGCAAAGTCAAGGATTAATAGTTACATCTTTTGAATCAGGGAACCTGACTATTTTTGCGAAGGATCCTGTATATAATAATGATAATCCCGACTTAATCCCGACTTTCCGAGGCAAACTTTAGTTTATTAAGATCACAGGACCAGACTAGTCTGAATGCTACGGGGCTAGCCGGTGAAAGCCAGACCCGAGTCAGCCCACTTGGGATATTCTGAATCCTGGAAATATCTCGATAGGCAATTTTTCTAGATAATATTCTCTGTATTGAAAGTCTCGGGGTGCTAAGTCAGGGAAGAATATTGAGAAATTCTAAACTAAGTGCGACAGAATGATAAGACTGACTCTGCTCGCTACCGGCGGCTCCTTAGATGAATAATAATTTGCACAATAGTAAAGGGAAAGTAGCCAAAATTCCACAGTCCTATTCAACCAAGCCTCGGAATAACAAAGAACCCACAGTGTGACCAAAAATAATACTGAATTCATGAAGTCACAATTTCGTATTCCCAAAATGATATTCAGTAGCCAAATCGCTATCCCATCGCTAAATTTAATGTCTCCTACGATATTAGTTGCCAAGAGGCTGAAAATAACCAATTATTTGCTATCCCAAAGCCCCTCAGGGATTGGAGGTCCAAACTGAAGCAAATAAGTAGAGCAATTGATTTCTTTGCAAACTCTCATGGCGGTTTCGTAGTTCTCGTTGAAAACGAGTGGTGAACTAATTCCGTCCTCTTGTACAAAATCGTCAAAGTGATAGATGACGAAGTATAGAGGAGCCTGGACAGCTGTTCCGGGACAGCCACTACCGATATCTGTATCCACAACAATAATTCTAAGACTTGGTGGTTCTCCGAAGGCGATACCTGACCAGCAGTAGAGCAGGTTGACATAAGCTTCAACCCGCGGCAGTATTTTTTCGACCGTCTGTGAATTTCTTTGTTGCTGCGTGCTGGTCTGCCATTGTAATAGCCGCAATACCTTGAGAGATCTGAGCATTGGAAGCTAATGGAATTCAACTCGCAGAATTAGCCTGAATACACTAGTTTAAAACGTATTGAATGGCTCAATACCTCTAACCAGCTTTCGTTTGAGGCTGGTCCGGAATTCTTCCACTGTGGTGCCCCGATTGCAAGTTCCTCTAGTACTGGCCACTTATCTGATGAAAGTGATACATTTGTGGCATAATCCAGCAACCCAGACATAGACCGACAGGTCTTTGGATCACAATTAGCTGAGCATTGTAACCATAACCTCCTTAATGTCGCGCGGCTAGTGTATGCAGCTTGGAACTCTCCGTCATCATGTGTGCACATTTGCAATTGCAACGTCTCTAATGCTCTCATCTGTGGTAGTTGGTTATGCAGAGGTGATTGAAAAGCGCTATGGTTACGACGGCGGCAATTATTGATTTGAATGAATTTGATCCCATCGGCGCCTTTGGCAACCAACCTTTGGATCAGTACATATGGGTCGGTAAAGCAAGAAATCCTAATACGAGAGAGGTTTTTCCCGCAGTGCACGACCTCTTGAAATGCATCCCAAAACCTCTCAGCAAAATGGTCGTGTATTATGGATATTTGCTCCAATACTGGAAAGTAGATTCTTGTGAATGGTAGCTTGGTCTTAGAGCGCGGCCGGCGAGCCCATGAGCTCGCAGTGAGTCGCGGTTTTCTCGGGTGCGTCGGATCTCCTATTCGCAGTCTTTGCAATGTTGCTGAGTTCTGGTTGAGGATTTTGATAAAAGTAGTTAAACAGGTTACTCGTTCATCAATTTCACTGATTTCCAAGGATTGGAGCGTAAGCGATCCAGGTGCTAATGTGTGATTTGGGATTGTCGATCGATGGCCTCCCGGTTTGAACTCTCCAAGGTCCAAACTTCGAAGCTTTTGTTGGTCTTCGCAAATTATTTTTAGCGTCTTGTAAGTTGTCTGATGCCCGAACCTACCAATCTATATTAGCATGGCGGACTACTATTCTCGGGCTCCTTGAGTAATATATAATAGTTCTTAGATGTATATGTACTACATATATCACCCTGATCGTTTTGCATACTTAATGCTCTCCAGTTGCCCTTTATTAAAGCGCCTCAAGATCAACTCTATTGCCTTATCCGACGCCTCTGTGAGGTCCGTTTGCTCCTTTCTAGAAATCCACAAATTTCGTTTCGAATTAGACGCGTTCAGGCCGGAATCTTTCTTTTCGATGCAAAGACTTTTTGCATATCCCAAAGGAAATCGCGGCGAGGATACGAGATGCTCGATATCATTGAGCCGTGGTAGTCCACTAAGTTTGCTATCCTTTTCGGACCCGTCGTAATATAGCCGTACTGTGCGATATAATGTCGGCGCGACAATATTTAGAACAGCTGAGGAAGTCAGAGCCAAACTTTTTTGATCTTGCCCCGGTAACTAATGTATGCCCATAACTGCCGGTTAGTTATATTGTTATCAAAGATCTATTATATAAATCATAAATCTTCAGATCGATTCAAGAAAGAATCTTATATCCTTCGAAAACGTGATTTACGATCAACTGCGATAGTCACGAATATTCGGATACGACCTACAAATTGAAATATATTAGTAACGACCTCGAGCGGCATGTCCAGCAGCTCTAATCTAGTCATCGTAAAGGTTCCTCCGAATAGATCTCCAATCACTAAATTAATCGTATTCTATGTAGAAAACATTATCCCAAGGAACATCGAACGCGTAATTCCCAGCTTACGCGAGAATGTGAGATATTGAAGGTGGATGTTGAGAAGTAGTTAAATAGTTAGTAGGCGGGGTGCTATCAGCCTATTAAATACTTCTTTCGACAAAGCATGCCCGAATATAAAAATTCTAAAGCCTTGCGCTGGTGTAACATGTTTGCCCACAACTGACTGTATACATGGAGCGAATGGTTCTGCCTTAGTAATGTATCTCCCACAAGTACTATGCAAGTCCAATACGAGACTAATGCACGAGTCTAGAGTAACGTTGCTCTTTAGATATGGTTATACACGACGAGAATACATTCCACAGGCTTGGTTCAGGGAGTGATTGCCGTCGGATCCTCAAGTGCATATTATCCTAATTTTCTACAGCATATCTTGTAATATGTATCACAAAAGATACGACTTACTTTCATCAGAGTTGAAGGATTTTGATTGGATCCTGATACCAAGCTCTGCTAGCCAACAGGCTTGGATTCGAAAGTTATGTTAGGTTTGTATATGTAGACATGTGTTGGAAAAATATGCCTTGGCAAAATGGCCAGTTGCATTGCGAGATGCATGTCGGCTTTGCATGCGGTATGGCGACACGAGGCTTGAAAGCGCTCTTGTGTCTCATGATTATGAGCTTATCAACATCGGGATGCTATGGTGCTGCGATAGTAGGTTTTCAGGCTTACTAATTTATGACGTGCGTTTGACTAGACAGTGATATATTGACATCAGTATATTACTCAGATATTAATATATTCTATCGAGGCCAGTTTCTTCAAGAGATCGATTGGGGGGCGCATTTATCTGCAGCTCCTAGGCCCTGAAAATATCGGCCTTTGCCATTTTAGCGACATAAATATCTGCTAGAGGAGGAGCTAAATGCCGTTGTAGTTTCAATTCACTTTTCCAGGGCGGCCTCAGCAAATTTTTTGCGGATTAGCATATGCATGTAAATACGCCATGCATTGCAGACCTAAACTTCGAATCCTCCCTAGGATAGACACTTCGATAAACACCCAAGCCGCTTCAACCCCACCCACACTTGCGCATTCGCGCAAAGCTACCCAACTCTCGAATAAGAAATAACAATCCTTCTTATTGTCTCTAGATCTCTCTCTTTTTACTTGCTGCAAATTCAAATTCGCCGCACCCTTGTGGGTATGTTGGACAACAACTTTTCGTAAAATTCTACAGACGAGTAGCTTACTAACCTGTACTATTGGACGTCATGGAAGCTAACACTAAAATGGGAGGCTAAATACATGTGTCATGCTTCTTATAATCTACAGTGAGTGATGTATATACTAAAAAGAACGACAGAGGTCTTCGTCGAAAATCATGCACATACATGTACAACCTTCATATTTATCCTGCCGTTAACGCGTTGTAACTCCACATCTTTGAAGTGCCCACGTGTAATTCTAATCGTAATCTCTATTTCCATTACTTCTCATGATACCGGCGACCATGATTATAGGCTTATCAGTAGTAGGATATCCAATTAACGTTATAGCAAACACTACTTTAAGGTATTGAGGGGGTCGATTAAGAATGATGAGCTAGAGAGCTCCAGGAGTTTAAGTAATATAACGTTCTATAGATCTAGCTCCTCGGTCAAATCCACGCCTAACCCCTACAAACTTTTGTAGTAGTGCTTTCCGACATGGTAGGTATTGTAATTAGGCCCGAGACTAAATAAATATGAATTCCTCATTCATTTAATCCTATCGATGTACACAAGTCTAATTACATATATTATAGTATACAAAGTTGTGAATTTTACTACCCGTAAAACTATCAAGTTTACTTATATTTGCGAATTATCAAAATATAGATGAATATGGTTCCTTATATTCACATCAATCCTCAAAAAAAAGTCTAGACGACTACCAAATACTCTTAGTTTGTTAAAAGGAAACGAGCCGTATACGCACCAACATTCGTAGCCTTCCTTATCCCTGTCGAAATTATAAATATATATACTCATCTAGCGTAGCGCCTGTAAGGAGGTGGAATACTAGTCATTCAAAAAAAAAAAAAATTTTTTTGAGTTCCTAGGTAGTCATCGGTAACATGGCGCTCTGGAGCCCGAGAGAAACGGGTCTAAAAGTTTGAGCCTCGTTCCTCCGAGAATAAGTCTAAGTGGATATTTGATGTTAGGAACGAAACTTAACATAGCTAGATCTTGCTAGCATTTAACTTTGTGGCATAGCAAGAGCACCGTTAGCGTGATACTCACCTATTTATACCGCACACTAGCTTTGCTATTGCATACATTGATCCTGTCGGAACCTACAAAAATTGGGACCATATGGACACCAGGCAAAAATCTCGATACCCCTGCAAGTTCGCCGTAGCTACCTTGCTGGAGTTGGACGGCGCTCCAAATGGCCGGGTCGGACGACCATGTCGACCAACCGGGCACTTAAAAGTCGGCCAATCCCAAAACTTCCAAACCTTATCACCTAAAACTCTGAGCCACCCTTGCGTCCTCGAGCATGTGGGCTCCGCGACTGGCGGATATCGATCCATTTTGAGATCGGTGGGCCCATGGGATGGGATCTGGGATGGGATGGGATGGGATGGCGAGCGAGAAACGTTAACTACCTTCTGAAAACTTATCGCCCCTCATTGATAACCCTATCGAAGACTTTGTACCCCTCAGATAACGGTTTAAACCACTGCATTGGGTATCTATGGCTTCCAATTTAATTCTTTGAATCCCGCCGAAAATTCGTACGCAACTTTCTTGCGACCGACTGTGGTATTTTGGAGTCCAACACGTTTACAAACATCCAAATTTCGCGCAGACTTCTCTTACAAACTTCACCTGTGCATGCAAGATATTAGTCGAATCGGATCTCGATATCCTTAGTCAACTACCTCGTCGAGGTCAATTCAGATCATAAAACTCTCCCAAAATGCCGTTCTCTCACCATTCTCACTCCGGCCAATTCTGCGCCCACGCCAAAGACTCTCTTGAATCATGCATTCTGCAAGCAATTTCCAAGAATCTCCGAGTCTTCTGCCTCACAGAACACATGCCTCGCTCCGACCCGCGTGATTTCTACCCAGAGGAAGTAGAAATGGGTATCACGCCTCAACATCTAACAGATAGCTTCGCCGAGTTCTACGAGACAGCTGTTGCGCTTCGCGACAAGTACAAAGAAGAAATCACGCTTCTTATCGGATTCGAGGTGGACTACATACGTCCTTCAATGCTGGCGGAAATCAAGCAACTTCAAGAAACGTACAGTTTCGATATGTTCATCGGATCGGTTCATCATGTCGACGAAATAGCCATTGACTTCTCAGAGGAGCTTTTCCACAGGGCTATCTCGGCCGTTGAAGCTGTCGATAGTGGCGCCGATATCGCAGAAGCCTACAATCAGGGCACAAAAATTGAACGATTCCCCGAAATCCAGAGGACAACGTCAAAGGGCGAGGAAAGACTGTTCGAAGTATACTTCGATACACAATACATGATGCTTACGGCCCTAAAACCGCCTGTTATTGGCCATTTCGACTTAATTCGGTTAAAATGCAACGATTATAAAGCTGATTTTAGAGCCATGAAAAGCGTTTGGGAGAAGATTGTTCGGAACGTCAAGTTTATTAGCGAGTACGGCGGCATGGTGGAAATAAACTCGGCAGCAACACGAAAGGGATGGGAGTACCCTTACCCCGGACCGGATATCTTACAACTGATGAAAGAAGCAGGAGTAAGATTTGTCCTCAGCGACGACAGTCATGGAACTGCGCAGGTCGCTTTCGGGTATGAAAAATCTCTGGCTTACCTTGAAAAGCAAGGTGTTGAGGAGGTTTGGTATTATGAATGGATTGGTTGGGAAAGAGGTATCAAAGACGGTATCTTAAGGCCCGAGGACAGATACCTGCCTAAAATCTCACCGTTGTGTGTCGAAGCCAAGAGCGCTGTGGTGAAGGATCTGAGGGGAATTGTGCCTGCATAGAACCTCAAAGATGGTTTAGAAGGGCCACAACGACTCATTTCCAATAGTCTGGGGTAAGCGAACGGGGCACACCTAGTTAGGCCTAGCCCACCGCGCCCGCACCAGACCGCGGTGGCCCCGCCTTGTCTATAATTTAAACCATCGGCATGCGCATTCAGTATAGAAATATCTAAATCTATAGAGGGTCGATTCAAGAATACCAGTATGTAAAGACCTCCAAAGGCATTTATACATATACATATACATCCCAACAGAATTCATTGGAATCCTTTTTACATGCAAAAGCATTAAAACCAATCTCCACCAGCGCTACAGCATGCCAACCCTGGATTCGCTACCTATCGATATCAAATTCATCATACTCAGCGTTCTCCCCACCGCACGCTGTCTGAAATCACTTTGCTATGCATGTGCAAGCTATCACTCGGTATATCAAAGCTACCGTGGGCTCATCGAGTCGGCCGTAATTTACACCGAATGTGTGGAAAGGTACACACGAGATAGTGTATGGCTTGCGCGGTATCATACTTACATGAACCGTTCCCATTACCTTCTCACACGGAGCCGGTCAAACCAACTTGCAAAATTAGAATATATTTTATTTCCTCACGCTGTTCCCGTCAGCCCCGATGACGATGACGATACCATTTACAGAATATCAAAGCTGCAGGAAATGGTGAAACAAATACCCAAAGATGCCATAGAATATGGAAGCCCCCTGGTTTTCTCACAACAAAAAGAGGGCAAAAAGAAGATAGTAAAAAATCACAAAACTGTTTTGCAAATCTCTCGACGATTGGCACAATCAACATTACCAAAGCGGGTACAAATCAAACCCTGCTGGGCGAAGGAACAGGAATCTGTTAATGAAGCAGATGAGTTGCTCGATAATTGCCTTTCTATAAGCGACGCAGAAGAGAGGCGGATAATCCAGGCCATATATCGATTTCTCGTTGGAATCAATGTTACAGATGTATTTTATGACGAATGGGACTACGAAACGGGCTTTAGGCTGGGCTTGAAAAGTTGGGGATCGCGAGGAATAGCGGCAGTAAGGGTTGTTCGAGACTTCTTCTTAGACAAACTAGGTCAAATTGAAGGTTCCTCGTCGTATCTGCGAGAGTGGGAACTTGGAATAGATTTAGACGGCGGAAGACCTAAACCCGTGTTACCTTGTAAGTTCATATCATTATAACCAGAGTTCTAACATGATAGCTAAAAGATACGATATTTCTGTACAGCACGCATAATACTGCTCCACGAGTTTCCAGACAGCATCATATCCTGGATCGATGGATATTACTTCCAAGACCCCAAACATTTCCACGACAAACTCCAAGAAGTACAAAAGTCTGCAAGCGAATCACTGGGCTATCTCATCAACTTCGAAAGTTGGGGCGCAGAAAGTCTATTCTTCGCTGATACATACGTGCAGCACTCTGAAGAAGAGGATGACTTTAGATACCACCAACAGTGGTCTCGTGGTGAACCACGGAATAGAAATGGACTCCCACACCACCGTTCATTTGCAAGGAGTGGCTATCGCGCTTTTGATGAAGATGTATATGCCTCACGTTATGAGCGGCTAAGGAATGGTTTGAGGCACCCGCATGGACATACCCCACTTTTCGACCCAGAGACGTCTATCTGGGACTTCGATACTTTAGGTGAGCTAGGGTATTGCTTTTGCAATTGGCGACTATCGAGATCTGAACGGTACCAGTTGTTGTATGACGAAGAGAACCCCGAGAACATGTTTGAAGCGCTCGGAGCCGGCTGTATAATGGTTTGTGAACCATATGAAACCGATATTCACGCAGATGAACACTTTCTATACACAGATCATGATGACTGGGATACATTCAGACGGATTACCAGATATAAAGCGAATTCGAGGTGGAAGAGCAGGGAAATGCGTAGGGGAGAGGGTTTAATTGCAAAACATAGCGCCCGCTTTAGGTCACACCGGCAAGCGAAACGGAGATCCATTGTAGAAGCCGAGCTTGATTAAACTGACTATTGGATTTTAATCAGCTATACTGATAAGAAGACTTAGAACATAAAGCTATGGATTTAGGCCTAGATTATACTAAGTTGAGACTATTAGTTTAATATAGTTGAATTGAAGGTATACTTGGCCGTAGGTTTCTATGTTATTCCGTTGAACTGCTAGGAGCGCTCAACCACATTCTGGCTCTTCCCTTCCCCATTTGTCTCGTACCCAGACCTGGAAGTTTCCCCATACTCATCTTCATCATTGCTTTCATTCACATCCTCATCTTCTTCGTCGATGATAGTAATAATGTCAAAGCTTCTATTGTAATCCCAACGTATTGTAGACTACACCTCAGTTAGCCCCCATCCAGACCAAAACCGCCGACTTATCGTCAAATTAATTTTAATAAATGCCAAAACTTACGTTACGCCGTAGCTCCCATTCCTTCTCCGGGGTAGTTTTAGAAACATCACTTTCTGCCGTCCCCCAAAGCGTGGACCTGCCGTCGGATGTCTGTATCCTCAAACCATACACAGAAGAAAGATTTCGATGACCTCCCGATTCCGGATGTCGAAGGTAAACTATTATGCGGGAAATAAATACGCTCCCATCTTCCGGCAGCTCTAGGGCTGCCGGCTCCTCAACCGCATCCGAAATACGCCCAAGTATTCGAGGATTTCCACATTCCCTGATTTCGTCTTTGTAATAGAGCTTCATCCCCACGATTCTTCGGTGAGGATTCTCTTGTCCGTAAAATATGATTCGACGGCAGCCTTTGAGAGGCGCTTTGTTTGCGTATTGCCCCGCATTACCAAAATGAAGCGATTGAGTCAGATAGTGGTATTCGCCAATTAATCGAACTCGATTTTCTTGTTGGATCCGGTCCCGGCTAACATGTTCGACATAGATCGCACTTTCTGCACTTAGATCACTGATGTCAAATGGAGGAGCAGGAGGAGGGTGGGAATTTGTATCATCACCCCGGCGCGTTATCACACCGATAGAAGTGAGACCATGCGTAGATAACCGAAACTATAATCCAAATCCACATATTTTAGTCAAATACTGGCTCTAGGACCCGTATAATATAGGCTGCGAACTGAATAGTTATATAGGCGAACTGGAAACTCACCTCTACATTAATACCGTAGAGACCCTGTAGTCTTGGACCTTGTGCTGGTAGAATGCAACGACTATAGCAATGGCCAGCCTTTACCACACCAAATAGGGCCCTTCTTCTTGTGTTCGTTTCAAACTAATATATACAAAACCAAGAGAATTTAAGTTCGTTAGTACAATATCTCCGCATCGACGAAGTTGATGAAAGGACTCATTACCATCAAACCACAAATAGAATCACGAGAGTCTTTGTGTAGCAGTACATGTATTGTAGCTATCTCTTCTCCTGATTCGCCGTTGATAGGAAAATCCACAAGCTCACCACAACGTTTGCCTAGAAAAACTGGCGGATGATCTTTATAATGGAATACGAGGGCAGAAATTCGACCACCAGTTGACCAAGAGCTAATCATCGTCAGGCACGAAGCGTGGTGGAAGACAATATATCGCATAGGGCAATATCTGGTGGCTCCTTGCCACATATAAGGAGCTCCTGCGTAAGACCGAGGGTTAACGTCTAATTCCAGCGGTGGAATTCCGGGTATTGAAGCCCAGGCATGTTGCTGTAAAAAGGTTTCCGTTTCATTGTTTAAACATTGGTCGTCCATAATTTGAGATGTGGTCAGACATATTTCGGTCATTTTTGAAGCCTAAAGACATATTTTTATAGAAATCAGTCTTATTGCAGTAATATATTCGGATCCATTGAGTGAGAAAAGAACAGGAATTCATCTATCCTAGAGAGCGAACTTACATCCCATCTCCCTTGAACTTTCACCGGATCAACGGTATCTGCAAGGAGTCTGTACTTCACCGCTATGTCGTTCTTTCGAAGGTCTTTGTCCACAGGCATCCAATTCGGTTCATAAACTGAATCAGAGAGTGAAATATCTACAATCCCATATATTGAGACTGCAACTGACAGAACAGTCTTTGAAACCCAAGGAACAAGGCGCGTTCTATTAGTGATATACCCAATTTGCTTTCCACTAGGGAGGACAGTAATGCCCGACAGAAATGACATGCTACCGGTCCCAGTATACGATAAAAGCAAGGCTTCAATCGATTCTACGTCGATTTCACCTTCATAAATTGCTTTAGAACCCCGGAATACCCGACCATAATCCTCTCTGCCATCATAAAAAAACCCATCACATTGTGCCCAGCAACTTGGTTTTGGAGGGAAGGGCTCCATAATAGTACCAAAGTAATCAGACGGATCTAAAGGATCTAGTCCTTGTATCTGGCAGCCAGATACATCAATAATCTGGTCCGCAAGATCTTTACAGATCTGCCAGATTCTACGACGGTTTTTGAGGGCATCTGACTGCTCAACCTGTTGCGCCCTGGCTGCACAAAATTTCTGAAATGGGGAAAGAGCCTGGTTTGTCTCGACGCTCTCGTCAAGGTGAAAGTAGCCAAACTCGGCTCTAGGCTGAAATAACGACCTCCAATAGTTAGCCGGAATTTCGACATTCACTGCAGTTTTGACCAGCAGTAAACTCCCAATGTCGGACCAACTCAGGTAGCCGTAAACCTTCTGTACGAGCTCCACAGGTAGCGGTAAAATGCGTGGCACGCATAAGAATTGTTGGGTTTGGCGCTTTATCGAAGCGATTTTGAGTAGAGCGGTAGTATCATCAAGCGTCCAGGGGTTTAACTCAGTATACTTGACATTTGGTGTGGGGTTCCAATTTATTTCCCCTTGAGCTCTGGTTTCTGATAATCCATGATACCCGTGCGGCCAAAGGAGCTTTCGTCCGGTTATAACGAATGAAGTATTTGCTAGAATTTTGAAAAATGCCGACATTTTGTCGTAGAGGTGCACATCCGATTCATTTAGTAGAGTGTTTAAGATTCTCCAGCACCCTTCATGTATTGGATAACCTCCTCGTCCATCAGGACTAGTTTCGGGCCAATTCTGAAAAAAGGGGAAGATGTATCTTCGGAACGGCGATCTCAAAAGTCGAGAAATTGAAGATTCATCGTCAGTAGCTTTCCGCTCCATGACTGGAGTTAAAAACGGTATACTGGAAGGTAATTGTCTCCAACTTTCATCCACACCTTCCAGGTGGGCCTCGGTGATTACTAGGTCCGTCTATTAGAACATAGTCAAGCTAGCTTGGGACCACGACTGGGAAAATGTTCGATAGAGCTTACCGTATCTCAATACTGAGATCCACGAATCCATTCCTCCTCTGAAAAGATCGTAGGCTGGCGCCCCGCAAATACAACAGTAATTACGGGAGTAACGCATTTTGTCAGGTATTCGCTTTTGTTTATTTTTAATTACTTTTTAATTATTTTTTTAATTATTTTTTTAATTTATTTTTCGCGCAGAGCTCTACAACCACCGTTAACGTTATGTATCAAAGTATGTCAGAATATATCGAGTGAGTATGTTAATAGTGGGCCGGAATGATATGTCTAGAAACAAACTATCAGGATCCAAAATCCTAAATGGCGTTGGCAATGTTGCATTTAAATTCCCCGACGCCAAAGTTTTGACTTAGCGGACCAGTCTCGGTACGACCCGGACGTGTACCTGTCAGCCCCAAACATCAAAACAGATATCAGATCGTGATATCAGCAGCCACGTAACAACATACCTGGACTTTTAGGATCCAATGTACTGTGTAATATACCCGCCTCGAATCTATAATCCCAAATTGATATTATATCGATCAGAAAGTTAAGTTGCACAATCGCTTCCAAGAATACGGTTGATTAGGCCCCCATGCTAACCCAAGACTAGGCAATATGCAGAGCTAGAGGCCGTCTTGCAGCCTGAACAGCTCACCCGCACTCGAGAGTGAATGCCTGTGCCACAAGAGACCCTTCCAAGATCCTAAATCGTGAGAAACCCTTGCGTGCGCAGACCATTCCCTGGACATGCAACGTGATAAACCGCCCATTTCAGCCGGTGCGGCGCACGTACCCGCCTCAGGACGGAAAAGGTGCACTTATGGACAAGCAGCCGCCAGATTACCAGAGTTCTCGCAATCTATTTTTTTGTTTGAATGAATTAAGTCCGGAGATATTTAACCAGCCATGGGCCGGCGAGGTTTTTTCCCCTTCCAGCCGCAACCAGCACCGCCGCCCTTTTTTTTATGTTTCGCCATACGGCATTCGCATTTAGGTTCACGGATTACCCGAATGCGAAACCTATCGTCGACGTCTACTCGAAATATTTATAATATTTAAATATATATTTATATATACGAGTTTATTTCAATATTTTTTGCGACAATGAGAGCGACTTTAGAATCCCTTCCCGTCGACGTGAAACTCTTAATCCTTCTAAACATCCCGGATTATTTATCCCTCCAGGCCTTAACTTCAGTTTCCAATGGCTTCGCAACAACATACAAACACTACGAATCCCTAGTCTCCACAGAACCTCTATACGCCGACGCAACAATCTACGAAAAGGAATCCTTCTTCCTTGCCTGCTATTCCGAACTTCTAAACCGTCCGGCAGGAAGCAACCCCATAAAATGGCAAAAATTCCGAAAAATCGTCAGTTCCTACGTCGACGCCGAAAAAACCTTTTGGTATTCGGATTACATATACAGAACCTACCGACAAGAGTTTCTCGACCGAGGGGAGGAAACCAAAAAACGATTGGTGGAGAACCATAAAGCAATTTTACAACATTGCGAATATTTTATAAAAACGGAGAGATATCCTAGGTTATTCAGAGATAGAGATGCAACTACAGACCGAAAGTTCGATAGGTGCAAAGGAGAAAGATCCGTTACATTAGAAGAAAGGAGTCGTATTGTGCGCGCATTTTACAGACTTTGGGTATTGATTGTTATATACACTTCTGAAACCGATGGAGGGTTCGGCGATACCCCGTGGTATACCTACGACGACAGTTTACATGCGCTATTAGCGCATTGGGGGTTTTGGAGGGTGAAGCATATCCAGATAGTCGCTATGCATCTACGAGAGCAGATGAGGCCTATCTTTAAACAGTTTCAATCAGATAACAAAGAATTACTCGAAAAATTCTCGGGTAATTATCTTTGGGAGGGACGATCGTATCCAGATGGGAGACCATATGGAACTGACGAGGTTCGAAAAGCTGAATGTAAGATCGATTAAATGCGCAAGCTCCCTTCCCAAGACACTTATAACTAACATGTTTCTATAAACCTCAGACTTCTACCAAAAATTCCACTTCTCCGCCTTCCTCCTCAACTCCTTCCCCCGCTCTTCCCTCCCCTTTCTACAACCCCACACCCCCACTACCCTCTCCACAATCTTCACCCCTCTCTCATCACTCGTCTGCGACGCCACAGAATCAGTAACCCGCAGAAATACAACCGAAAACACCAATCGCCTCTACAACTGTCTCTTCTTCGCAGACCGAGTCTTCGATGAATTCCGGCTAACAGCAATAAACACCCTCTCCAACATCTCAAAAATAAAGAGAGAAGACACATATCTAGTTTCAAACTCATTCTCCGACCCAGCAACGCCCAGCTCCAGAAAACGAGTTTGTAGACCCCAAAGACATGGCGCTTACCATAAATACTATATAAAACGAGGGCCAGAGGCCGCATTAATCGCTTGGCAAGGGTTGGAGTTAAGTAATCCCAACTCCGAGGACTCCGATTATTATGCAGCGGTCTGGGATGATTCGCGATTGAAAGAATGGGGGTATGGGCTTCCGGTTTTTGAAAGGCGCCCGTGGGATATACGGCGCATGACCGATAGGATGGTTCAGAAATTTGATGCAATGACTACAATGGATGAGAGTATACCACGGTCCCCACTGCCGGGGAAGGAGACGTTCAGTATCCCCCAAACCCGTTATCGGTGGAGATCCTGATAACGCAGGATGTAATGTTTAATAGTTTGACGTATTAATGATCTGGCCTTAGTCCAAGGGACAGGCCAGCTAACGAAGGATTCGACCACGACTAGAGTTCATGAGCAGAAGACCAGGAATATGTACAGTACCCAAGTAAAGAGTAATATAATGTGGAGCGCTAGACTATATCCTCTATTTTCTATGGGATCGAGCAGTCCATCGCTAGTTACAGAATCAACAAGGGAATATCATCCCATAGGATTTGTGTAAGTACAGAGGCCGCCAGCGCTATAGCTCGGATCATATCATTCCTCCACCTACCATTTCTAAAGCCCCTACAGAGCATGACCACGGGTAAAAACAAAAAAAAGAATAAGGAATAAAGAAACCCGGCCTGCTCAAACCATATATATACCTAGTTTCTGTAAAGCTCATAAAATGCTTCCACAGAATCATAGGACGTAGAAAAAAAGTACGTGTTTAAAAAGGCGATCCTTGGAGGCTCTGATCCCAATTCAGAAGCACTAAGTCTCATTGACCGCGCCTCCAAGGGTGCTCGTAAGCCCTTCCATCCTTCTCCCGACAAGATCTTCGTCACTAGCCAAACTCCTCTGGCTCTTGCTTCGATGATCCTCACTAATCATCCTTCCTGGAGCTACAACATTACTGTCATTGGTAGGGTCCATGCGATATCCACCGTTCCCGTTGACATGCCCCGTGTCCCCACCCTTCAATGTAGCATCCGACTGACCCGCCTTCTCCGCCTTCGCCTTCTTCTCTTTCTTCAACAAAGATGCCATTCCGATCTCCAATGGCCTTTCATCCTCACTCATACTTCCAGTCCTACTCTTCGATCCATCAATGCTTCCTCCAAAGCCCCCGAAACCATCACTCTTCTTGCTACCCATCGAAAAGTAATCCTCAGGGCTGGTTAGCCCACCATCGTCAAGCCTCTCATCTTCCAAAATATCAGTCATCCACTTGGCACATTTATCAATTTGTGCCCAGGCGGGTGGGAAGATGGAACACATTTGTAAGAAACCATGCGAGATCCCTGGAATCAACGAGACTTCAAGGTGCTTCTTCTCATCGAAAGACCCTCTCTCCAATCCCAATTCTTTTCGTCGCTTCCACAGGTCAAACTTCGCACGTCGCAATCTACCAGCGAAGATAACTGTATCATCAACTAGAGGATCACGTTCGCCCGTCAAAAAGTAGGATTTAGGGAACATCTCAAGTAATGACACCGGTGCAACGACAGGTGAAAGCAAGAAATCAGTCGTAAAGTCAGGTCGGTTATCAGGCCCGACATATAAGATAACCATCGCTCGCATCATCTCAGGTGTCAGAATACGATCATTAAAGTAGCTGATCCTGCTGGTGGTCGCTAGGCGTGTCTGGACGACTTTACGATCTGTAGATTCGGCAGCTGGGCCTGTGACGGCTGACTTTGTCTCCTCCGACCGAGTGGCCGCTACATTGGGTGGATTCGAAGTAGGCTTGATAGTAGCGGTGGATTTCGCAACAGAGTTCGCATTCTCGGAATCAGAGTCTTCCGTGGCAACACCATGGATACCAGATGTCTGTTCAAAATACTCTGACTTGCGACGAATGTAAGATCGATTGATCTTGCGGGTTTGGCGGTCACGGATAAGTGACATTTGCTCTTCAGACATCCAGGATCTAATCGCCATTCCAATTCTAGTCAATTTAAAGCCTTTCTATCGTTATTAAGAAAATTGGAGAATAACGTACCCGATGTTCATGTCCAAGCTTGGATATATAAGCACCAACCCATCAGGCAAAGGAAGACTCTTAAACTCCTGTTGCCTATACCTCGCATTCGTGCCCACAGTATTCAAAATCATCAGCGTAACACCGACCGCAAAGTTGCCGCCAGCCGAATCGCCCACGAGCACAATTCTCGGCTTCTTCTCTCCACTCAAGCCAACACACTTGCCATTAGTATAAACGATCGAATGATAAACATCGTAGCACTCGTTAAGTGCGTACGGATACGGATATTCTGGAGCCTTCTTGTAGTCGACAGAGATGATGGGGTACGGCAGCTTCCTGGCCCACGCACAGAGCTTATCGTCATGGCAGCGGGGAGACATAGCCACAAACCCACCACCAGGGAAGTCGAGAACAACTTTGGAGCAGCGGTAGAGATCCGTACGAGAACCGTTGAAGTAGAGCACAGCATTAATGGGCTCTTTGTTCGGAGACTCCTTCGGTCGGGCAATCTTTATATGGCGTGGGGTGACACCAAGAGGTGGACTGACCAGCTTCTGGGCTGCCAGAAGATATGGATTGCGCATTTTATTCCAGCTGACTCGCATATGCTCGGTGGTGATGGTAGCACGACACTTTCGCTGCTTTTCATCGGCTAGACGAGTAGCAAAGAGATAAAATACCGAAAAGAGAGGACCACAGAGATCCCTAAGCCACTTCCATCTAATCGGCATAGCTGTCCAAAACCCAGCATCTAAGGCAGTCGTGACCCAAGTGGCACGGAAGTATGCCTTTGTGTAGAGATTCGCAAGTGGCTCTGGAGACTCGAGGCCCATGATCTTGCTGAAGTTTTGAGAAACGTATAGACATAACATTGTAGTAATAAATGTTTGCCATGGAGTAAGACGGGTCGACAGAGCCCTGAAGTATTTGCGTAGAAACGGTGGACCATGTTTATTACCTCTAAATGAATAATCAGATTAGCAATCTATCGAGGAAGAAGCTTGAAATGACATTTAGAAGAGACCTACGCTCCCAGGATGCCTGTCCAGAAGACAACCACACAGAACACTTCGAACTTCCTGTATTTGTTGGACGGCCGTCCAAGCACATGATCTATCATCGACGGCATTATTAGCGGCTGTATAAACTGATATAGGTAAAATAAATAAGTCCAAGGTGTCTAATTTGGTGATGTTGGAGTAAAGTCTATGCCAATGCTGATATCGATGGTGTAGAACAGGGTAGCTATAGCTGGAGAGATGAAAAGATGGTAAGGGAGAGAGAGACAGAAGACAGCGGAGCATACCAATCATCCTGAACTACCAGGGAGCAACCGTCTCCCAGATAGACCGATAGACGTTGCCGTTGACGTATAACCAAATTGGGAAATCTAACAATTCAGAAACGTTTTTATGGGCTTGATGGTGCGCCGAGAATGTCGAGTAGCTCGAGATCCGTGTAACCAGTTTGGGACCGCAACAGGTTCAACACGAAATATTCGAACCTTATACGGAAGTCTAGAAGGAGGAAAAGAAATAAGTATTGGATAGGGCAGCGACAAAAGGAAGAGATGAGAAAAGTCGTGAGAGTGAATAAAAAGACGTGAGCCGAGACGTAATATAAAGAGGATATGGAGGGGGGTCGTAGTTGTAGTCGTAGTTGTAGTCGTAGTAGCTGTAGTAAGCAATGCTAACAAAAAACGCCTGCACAATGCAACCACATCTAAGCCAAGCACAGATAAAAGCTTGAGCACCTTAAAGCTAGCTAGAAGAGCAATAAAGATCAGGGACAGAAAGGGGGTATATAGACGTTAGGAAAGTCGTTAGAGAGAAGAAGAAACCGAAGAAGAAAGAAACGAAGAAAAGGGGTGCGGTGAAAGGAAGTAAAAGTGAGGATATCGGATGGGGAGAAGAGATGGGGGAGGTTAAGTTAAGAGGAAGATGCAGGTGATGGTGATGGTGATGGTGATGGTGATGATGATGGAGGAAAGAATGCAATGCTTGTATGCTTAGCATTAAGAAAGTGAACAGCTGCGCGATGAGAAGGAATCAAACGTTGCAAACACAGTTGACAGTTAACTTGGTAGAATTACCACTGTTATTATGTGTTTTAGCGTTGATCATGAGGTCAACCTCTCTCAACCTCACGCCTCGATTCATGACATCTATCTACCCGGAAGAACTCCGACAACGTTAACCCTAAAGGATTAGAACTCGAGAATGATCAAATATTGGTAACAGGATACATCTCTCTTAGATCACGAGCAGCTATCTGCGGCCAGGGTCTTCCAATTCTGCGCGATTTCGTCTGTTCTTTTTGGAGCTCTGCTGCAGCTACTGGCAGTCCTTCGCGCCTGGAGTTACCTCATAACGAAGCATGTGAAGGCGCCCTCCGCACTAGAAAATTGAACGTGGGGAATTATCGATCGATATCGAGAGTAATGACATGTGAAATCCTGCATGCCTGTTCAATTGTGGAGCCTCCCAGCCCCGAATCATGCATCATCTCATTGGCTCCGGGTTGAATCCGGTTAGCTTCGGCGAACTACCCCGGACTATTTTTTACAATCCAACCATTGGCTCCGCAGGCCACAGGCATGGATCAATATACCACACAACGCGGAAAGCGTGGCGAAAGTCGTCTGTATTCTGTAAGTATAGTATCAGCACATGTAACGTTCGATCTAGCCTCGACCAGCTGGGATAAAAATGTTATCAACTGATTCCGGCTATTTTCCGGTAGAACGGAACCAAAGTGGTCCGGTCGCTATAAGGAAAAAACCACACAGACAACGCGAAAAGACAGGTTCAATAAAAGTCATGAAAATACTGCGAGATCATCCGAGGGTCTCCAAGGCAGTTTTAAAGCAGTTTAGCGTCCTCGGAGAATTAGTCGCATGCTTATTTGAAGATTTAAGTTACAATAGGAGGCAACATATCATGAGTAGTATGAATGAGCTAAGTAGAGAGGAGTTCAAGTCTCCTAGCGAATGAGATGGCTGGTAGCTTACTAGGCCTTATATATAATTATACAAATTAAGCCCATCCTCAGGTTTCATAAACAAAATTCTACTATCTAAGGCAGTAGCCAGAGCTTTTATGTGATTTTTAAGAACCTCTCATATATGCTGGGGCTTACTTACTCTACAAGTTCCATATCTTGAGAAACTTAAGCATTCTCTTGACACCATGGCCTCGCTTGAGATATTTTCTTTTGATTTGTTCCATGTTGATACATTTATTCTCTGACTATTTATTCCGTCAGAGATTCTTGTAGGTATTATATTTGCATACTTCGGCGCCAATACAATGTATAATTGTCAGCCTCATAAGTTAACCAAACAGGCACATTCACCGTGATACAATAGATGAAATAGTTAACGCTAGTGCGTTGTGGTACTTCGTTAATACTTAAACTGAAATGAATAACTTTTAAATTTTATAGCTATAGAGGTCTTTCCTATGATTGAAAACTCTCTAGCACTATCATGGAAAGAAAAATTATACTAACCTATAGAATATGACTCCACTTTACTCCTCAACATATTTCGCTGATAATAGTAATGGTCACATATGTACATACGCACATATTGGCTACGTTTGTCCAAGTCGGCATCGGGTGCATGCCAGAAGTGCAGCTTTTGACTGCGAATCCTTATAGCATGTAAATACGTACCTAGCTATATATCTACCGCAGCAAAGCTTCATTTTACCCCTCTTCTCTCTAGGGATCCTTATCTTTAATTGCCATAGTCCAAGAGCCTCACAATGTCAGAACTAGAAAGTCCCCCGAAACCGAAGCCAGGTGGCGATCAACGATCGAGCAAGCCCCGCTTGAGCGATGAAGAGAGAGCCGAACTCACCAAAAAGTTCCTCGCAAGTATTCGTGTGCCCCAGCGGCCACCGCCAAACCTCGATCCACTCCGTGCAATTGCAGCGGAGTTGAAAACCTACGGCCTCCCTCCACGGCCTAAAGACGCCAAGCGTCTGACTGAATGGGAGCAACAAATGTCCAAACAAAAGAATGCCACTTTCATCAGTAATCCAACATTCAAGCCTCACCAACGGCGCCAAGGTTCCGTCAAAAAGGCAGTTAACTCCTTCAAAAATAAATCCGGCCCCTACAAAAAAGCCAAGCCCCTAATAGGCCAAATCAAAGACACCAACGATGCAGATGAAGTAGATGAATGGGATACCGTCGATTGGTCGGGCGCTGTAATCTCCAATAGCGATTATTTCTGGACCATCAAAGCCAAGTGGACAGTACCCACACCAGATCCTGGCCGTAGCGATGAAGATGCCTGGTGCGTTTCCGCATGGGTTGGCATTGACGGCTGGGAAGGTGACGACGGTTTCTCGGAAACTACATGGTTTTCGGACGATCTCCCAATTCTTGCCGGCGGGACATCTCACGAGGTATACGAGGATAATGACGATGGAAGCATCGACCGTTATATATATGCCTGGTACCGTTGGTATCCATCCGACGAGATTGAAATTGACCTTACGGTGAACTCTGGCGATGTCGTATACTGCCACATTTGGGCCACGGATACCAGCACAGGTCACTTTTATATACACAACGAGTCGACGGATGAATATTCAAGTTTCGAGTTCACGGCTCCGGACGGTTATTCACTCCAAGGTGACTCGGCAGAGTGGATTGTACAGGACTATTGGGAGAATAGCTTGGCAAGGTTTGGGTCGATCGAATTCACAGATTGCTCAGCTGGCGAGGCGAGTTTTCTGCCTGGTGATGACCCTAAACTTGAGGATGATACTGTTTGGGTGGACCTCAACGCAGCGAACAATATCGGTACTATGGAAGAAGGTGATGGTGCCTCTTGTACGTTGGAAATTGACGGTGATTCTGATCTGAAGGTTATACGTGATGATGACGGGGAGGATTGATATATATAAACACAGCAATGGGTGCATATATATGCATATTTCCTTCATATAGCCTGTCACGCTCGAGTAAAGTTCAATAAGTTTTGTGACAGCTAAACTTTTAGCAAACCTATAACTATAAAAATATAGAGAGTTCTACAATTCAATCAATCGTGTCTGCTTTTGCTCGTGCTAGCAGCTCAAAAACCCATCATCATTTGATTTGGTAAGATATATCTTCTCAGGATAGGACCAGAACTCTTATGTACAAACTCAAGAAGTGATGCATCTTAAGCTTCAAGCCGGCGGCGGCAACCTCGAGGCTACTAGTCATCCATATCGAACACCTCAGTCTCAACTTCATGAAACCCTCCCTCGAGCTCTCTCTCCCCAATCCCCAATAACTCATCAGCCCATCTACAAATGGGCTTTCTCACTTCCACTACATTCCCCTCAACTTCCCTTACAACCCCTCCGCATACACCCACACCAACCAGCTGCATGACTTTCTCAATCCTCCCTAATAATCTTTCCTTCGATTCCGCCAGCCCCATCCCAGAAATTAGATGATCCCACTCAACTTCCTTCCTCACAGCAGCCCTCTTCACAAATAACTCTCTACCCTCAACCCTCCATTTCTCTATCTCTACATTATATTCAGTATCAAATCTCCTCCGTTCAGCTTGAAACGGCAAATTCGGCTCAAACATCACCATATCCAGCTGTTCCGGTACGACCCGCCCGGTCATGCAAGCCTTAAACCTTGAGAGGCCTCTCACTGCAATCTTCAACAGATCTTGTGCCAGCTCCTCTGAGACATGATTATCTCTCAGATGCAGCAGATTGACCATGTAATCACAGGCCCCGACTACTCTAGCAAGCAATTCAACAACATGCAGCGCTAGAGGCTCATTCAGCACCCTGTCATCCATACTGATAGCAGCCTCAATCGCCACTCTAACTGGTTCCAAAATTGCTACCAACAGTCCTGAGATTCGCCCATCAACCTCTTTTTCCTCTTCCAAAGCATCAAACTCCAACTCCAACCCCAGGGCAACTTTCTCCAGAACCCCCAAGATCGGGACTGCAACCACAAGATTCCCAATCCCTTCCATACACCTTCTGGTATAAGCACCAAACATAGCGATGACGCAGAACTCCCTGGACGTCCTGCCACCTCCGCCTTGCTCAACCATATATCTTTCTCCAATATCAAACGCCCCCAAGGTCTGCTCGACAAAGTACTCCTGCTGCTTGTCAACCGCTACCCTCCCCACGGTATTATTCCAAAACTGTAAAAATTGAACAAACCACCCTCTTCGTTCCGTTTTCAACTTTAAGAAGTATCCCTTGAGTTTCGAAGTAACATAAGTCGGATCATTCTTCGGCAACGGGAAGATCACTGAGTCAACAAAGAACTTGTCGATAGCGCATATATCAGTTGTATATTTTTGTAGATGCTCTACAATCTGTTGACAAAAGGTGACATAGTCGCTCGTCGTCTTTTCGTCAAGTTGTTGTTGTAGGAGAGTCGTATTGAGAGACTTGTTGGAGGAGTTCTTCGATGCATGGATTGCCATGTAATTATCTTTCATAGCTTTCATAAGTCCCTGGAGTATTAAGACATACTCCGTCTTTAGCGTCTTCGCTTTGCCCTGGTCCCTTTCGTCGGTCACCTTCACCATCTCCCGCTGCATATTATCTAATAACATCCCTAACAAAGATAATCGCCGCTCCTTAAAGGTGACCGCACTGATGCGATATTGTTCAGTTTCTTCATCGACTTCAAACGGCATATTAGAGAACAATGTGTTTCCAAGATCGTGGTTGAACAAGACTGCAGTGAGCTCGTGCTGGAACTTCAAAAGTGAAGCACGTTCCACCAAAGATTGAGCCCATAGCTCGAGTATTTGTGTCTTGTGTGTATCATAGACACCTGGGTCGATCTGTATGATATTTGTCACGTAGAAGACCGAGTATACCTTCTTCGTATCCGTGTCCACCATAGAAAACCATGATTTTTGATAACGGTTGAAATAGTCGTCCCAAGTCTGCAACGCAGCTGTTGTTAGTATAGTGTATAAACTAAGGGTAGTTGCTCGAGGGTCACACGAACCTTGAGCCCATATTGCACTAGAAAGGCTCCCAACTCAACCCAAGTTTTGATGCAAGGTCCCAGAACATTATCCAGATTTTTTCCTCGGCCTGCAAAGTAGGTATTGAGAAGTCGAAACATCGGATCGTACAGTTCATCCAGTAGCCTCTAAAAACACATAATTTGTTAAATGACTTCGAAGCTCTAGAAATCAAAAGGATTTCATTGCTTACCTTTGCCGCGGTTTTCTTGAACCCTTCACTCTCTATATCATTGAAGCCTGCCCAACTCTCCTGGCTATCATCCTTTGCAGACGAAATACCAAAGTCCCTGCAAACTTTAATATGAAAAGAGAGAATCTGAACCGCATTAGCGACCAAAGCCTGGGGTAGATTACTGGCCAGCGCATAAATAGTCTTTAGAGAATCCGCGCCTAGCACGAACTCCGCAGAATAAAAGTCGCATATTTCCTTTCTAAACACCATCTTCAGCAAATCCATTGCACTGGCGAGCACACTCTCGACATTTTTTCTATTATCAATGGCATCTTTTTCGAGCTTCGATATCACTTGTGGATCGAATAGTTTCTTTCTCTCTTCCTCGAGCCAAGAATCATTCTCCCTGTGAAGCCGGACTGTGGTTTGGACGATGCTAGAATGCCACTTCATCAAATCTTTCAGAATTTCTTCTCTCTTCCCATCTGCCAATTCGCAAATCAAGATGTTCGCCCAAGCTCGTAGATTGAGAGCGCAGACTTTGGCGTGAGATTTTTCAGGATCAACTAGTCGCCTAACAATCCCAGCGATCCTCCTCTTTAAGTCATGACTTGCACCGTAATATAAAGCTGTAAGCAAATAATGGTGATTTGCCAGCATATCGACGTTTGCCCAGTCATTGTTATTTTCCTTCAGAAACACTCTTCCATGGTTAGGTATAATCCTGATCACAAGATCACCTAGGCCCTTTGAATTGTGTAGCTGCATCCGCTTGGTTCCAAGAGCCACTATTTTCGAAAATATAGAAAAACACATTTCGGATGGCGTAGATGAAAAAGAGGGTCCATCTAGGTGCTCTAAAAAGCTAGGGTCTCTAGGGTTGTTCTCTCCCGCCAAATTCTGCAACCTTTTCCCATATGTATCAAAAAGCGGTACTATAATAACATCTGGTCGCCCCCACTTCCAGTCTCTTAGCAAGACCAAACATCGAGCGAAAAGAGCCCAGATATAATTCTTAGCCTTAAGCCGGCCCTCTAAGCCCGAGGAGTTGTAAATTGTGAGTGACTGAACCATCAACTCTTTGACGAACCCCCAGTTATCTAGTTTGATATTGTCAACGTCGAGTGCTTCCATGTTGCCCTTAGCATCTATTGCCGACAGAGGAAGTAGACGGAATATCTCCCTCCACAAGGAATCAAGAATTTCAACATCCCTTAATGTATTGATGGCATTTGGACATATGAAAGTGTTAAAATGTTCCCAGAATGAAGGTTTGCGCAGTGGCATGTCGGACTTGGCTACCAGAGAAACTTGGTATGCAATTATCCAGGATTCTAAGCAAATCGCTTCTTCGTTTAGCTTGTCAGCAGCGAAAATGTTTTGGAAAGCTCGTGAAAATCCTTTCTGTAGCCTGTAGGTCCCGTAAGATGCTAGAACAGATATTAGAGATTCCGATAGCTCGCCGCAGAAATTCTGAAGCCCGACTTGGTCACTACCTCCATCAGCAATGCAGGATATTTGATGGACCAAAATAGATGTATAAGCATAGAACTGCATCTGGATTATCGCCGAGAGCCCCCCAATTGCAACCACTCTGAGCGATCCAACTTTCGAGGTGAAGTCTGAAAAAATATCCAAAAATCGTACAGCAAATGTACTAATGTCGATAAGGTCTGAAAAGAAAATCTTTGTAGATAAATAATCGATCACATATCGAAAAAACTGTCTTATCGCCAAAATAGTTGGAATGGCCCCGGACCCAAGGGAACCTTCTACGCCTAGAAGCTGCTCTGCTCCATCGAGGACAGAAGCCAACCCGATTTCCAGCTCTGCAGCAACAGCTTCTTCGTAAACCTCCCAGTTGAACAATCTTCCTAAGATCTCGACACCTTGAGCCCTGATTCCGGACCGATAGGTCCTCCCACTATTGGTTTGCAATGCCCTAGCTAGTGTCCCGCTGCCCAGAAAGGTTGATGCTTGGAATAAGCTCTTCTGACACTGCGGAATTGTAATATCGAAGTTGATAGAGTAGGTTGTTCCAACTGCTTTCATATTTTGAAACCAGAGAGCTTTCCCATCGCTCATGTCAATCTCCATTGACTCGGGCAGCTCTCGTAGCTGTCTTTCTGGTGGCTGAAACGCAATAGGCAGTGCATTCCGCTCTATTCGTTTCGGGGCATTCAATTTCCTCCGCTGCCTGTGGCGCCGCTTTGGTAACGCTGATTGTCCATTCTTTGACCCTCTAGCACCACCAACGCCTCCGGTATTTTGCACAGCCGGCTTCGACGAGTATAGACGCGGCTGAGTGATATCAGGAGGGTGTTGCGGAATTGTAGGCTGCGGGGTCCGAAAATCATCATCTTCTATGGGGTCTACGATTTTTGGCCTTGAGCTAAGACGCTGAAGAAGAAAATCATCAAGGCCTATTCTTCGTTGGTGGATTGACGACGGAATCAATGCAATTGGCTTGGCAATGACATGGGATTTCAGTCGCGATTTTTGATTCTGCCGCCGTATGGGTTCCTGCTCAAGGCGATAAGATGCAAGTTTAGTTTGTAGATACGTGGGCTGTCGCTCGTAAATCGATGGAAGGGCGCTAAAATTAGATCGGGCTTGTTGCGGTCTGGCGCTTGATGGCACAGTTTTATCTCGATGAGAAGATGAAGAAAGAGGAGAGTCATCTTTCGCTTTGGTCTTTTTCCATTTCATTAGTGTATCCTCCCTGTCGGTTTCATCTTCTAGGAAACGGTCAATCTCGACAACTTTGCGATCAGGTAAATGCCTTCCAAGATTCCTTCGTTTTTTGGCGAGTCTCTCTGCAATGCGCATGAACTGTGGAGGGCTCGCTTTTTTGTTTTTTCGATAGCGCTCGCATGCGTCGACGACGCTGAGAGCGACGGATCTCTGTCGAGGTTTTGAAGGCACATGTTGATTTCTAGACGGCGTCCCGCTATAGGTATTGGATTGCTCACGGAATAATTTCGATTGTCGTAGGTTTCGCGGCTTTGAGGGTTTCTTTTTGCTAGTCCCGGAATTCGATGCGCGAGACCGATTCAGCATTCTGTCAAAACCATTATCTTCGAAGGCATATTGCCTTCCAGCAGAGGTGCCTGTTATTGAGTCCAAAGTGAGCGAACGTGCAGATGAAGCAATGAAGACATCTTTCGAATGCTGCTCCACTATCTCAGCACCATCACCGTCGTCATCAGAACTTTCAGACGAGCTTAGGTTCAATGGATTAGTCATAGAACCAGCAGGTGGGCTGTTTAAAGTTCTAATTCTCATCTGCGCCATCCCTTTGACCACTGGTCGCGCCTGTGGGGAATGGTGTAGGTTCGCAGGGTTTTTGTTCTCCTGTTCTTTAGACTGATTAAATCTTATCCAGGACGCGGGTAAAACACCACGAACTCTCCTCTGGTACATTTGGATCTCATTTTCTCGTGCCTCGGGGTCGTTCGGAGATTCTTCTTCATCTTCAGATGCAGATGAGCTTGAGACCGACAGCCTGCGTCGAGTCGGTGAGCCAGCTCGGGGTGTCGTATCTCCTCCATCACTTTCATCGGAGTCGAGAATAACTTGCCTCCTTGAAGTTGATGCAGGTGGCTTATTAGCTATCGAATCAGAATCTGAGCCTGACGAGTTCAAATCAAATATATCAAATTTGTCGCGAGTCTTCTTAGTCCCTGCAGTCGGGGTTTTGGGAACGAGGGTGGGGGACGCAAGGTCTCGTGATAGATACGGCTCTGTTTCTCCAGACACGGCGGTCAGGTTTCTGCCTCGTGCTACACTGGCCTTTGATGTCTCTAGAATCCTCCTAGCATCCAAACTCGGATCAGAAGGGTGACTTGTTTTTCGCCTTTTACCCCCCTTAGCTGTTCTTTTCTGGCCTGGGCTGGAAGGTCTCTCCTTAGCAGACCGTCGAAAGAGTTCGTCCAGCACTAGAAGCTCCTCATCATTGTCATGTAAACCCCGATGACCTTCAACATCAATAGAGTCCTGATCCACAGACTGGAAGCTCTGTGTCTGTCGCAAAGTTGAAGCCCGAGTCTCTTCTTCATCACCTTCCGGTATAATCCACTCATCCTCTTGCGAATCCTTTTCCGGCACTTTCTTATTCGGCGGCGGGATCGAGTTGTCGTAGATATATCTAACAGGTTTCAAGCCTCTTGATTTCCAGTCGCTGTTATACCTCTCTAATTCAAGTTGGTAGGGATTCATTTGAATTGGCTTTCTAGTCCGGAGATTACGTGCAACCCCGGAGGTGAAGTCATCTGCTGGAATGGGCTCGTCGGAATTCGTGGTGGTGGAGTCGAGGTTGATTCGTGTTGCAGGATCAGTGAGGCCGCTGTGGGAAAATGGTATCCGTACTTCAAGGTTGGAAAATACAGACACAGGTGTAGGCGGTGCTGGATAGTGTGTGTATGACTCGATGAGGAGATTTCGTGAAGGTAGTGCGGGAGAGTTGGTGGCCGACTCCAAAGAAAATATCCGGGGTGGAACAGGAGGAGAACTGGGAGGTATCACTGCCGGTAGAATAGGCTGCACAGGAGCATCTTCAATATCTGAATCCGGACCATGTTCCTAAATCACCATAAGTATATACAACCCAAGCTCTTAAATATTTATTACATACATCAATTAGGTCCACTTCTTCGATATCGTGCTCGTCAAGGCCCTTAATATCTCCCCGGTTCGGACTAGTTACTCCAGAATTTGTATCAAGGGTCTACGATCCGCCGTATCACCGTTAGTGTAGATTCCACAACAAGCACAGCGAGTCTGCAGTTACATACCATATCCCCATCCCCAATTGAAAATAGGTTCAGGATAGATTTATTCCCAGACGACGGGTACGGCGAAGACGTTTCCCTCGTTCCACCAATTCGGCTTTTTGGAGTGCTAGGAATATCTGCCATAACATTCCCAGACGGCTCTTCAATTCTCGCCTGCTTCTTCGGCCTCTGGCTCCCACCGACACTCAATCGTTTCGCCCCTCTTCCTCTTTTAGGAGGCCTCCCTCTCCCTCTCCTTTGACCTTCAGAAGGTCCTTCATTTTCTATACTTGATGGTGGTAAATCAAAGATACCCAGGTCATCCCTCTTTTCTCCCTTGTTCGTCCTTTCATTCGTTATAGCGCTTGAGAGTCGGGTACCTGCTGCAGCAGTCGCTTCGACTATTTTGGGTGTAGAAAGGGTTAAATCGTAATCGTCTTCACCTTCGCTGTCCGGGACATACCCCAGAGCTCTCCAATCGTTCATTTGCGCTTCATTTGGGTCACTATATCGTGGTGGTTTCCTTGGTGTAGACGGAAGGTTGAATGTTTGTTTGGGAATGGGAAGACGTGGATTCGGGCAACAAATTCCACTTTACGCGCGAAATCGCATGGTGAGAGGCGTGGCAATACGCATGAGTCACGTGGCAGCTAGATCCACCCAACGCAAAAATATTGTTGCACTTTTTCCGCGAAATTGAGCAGGCTTTGGGCTCAGTGTTGTCTGGTTTACGAGACCAGCTCAGTCTCGACACCAAACTTGCACTTGTGCTCAGTGGACTACCAGTGGCCTCGTTGGCACCAGACAACACGAAGTACAGCTACCAGCGTACGAGACGACTTTGTGCTACATTAATTAATACTAGATCTAGACCAATATCGACCGATCGCGATCTCAAGTATTCTGCGAATATAAGGCTTTCGACCTTTCCCAAATGTACCTAGAAATTTTGCTTGCTTGCTTTAAAATTCCAAATACTCAACTATCACGGTTAAGTTCGCTCAAAGTTTTAGTGTAGTGATATTACTACTGATATAATATATTGTATTACAAAGCTAAGCTATGACCTAAAAATGCTATATCCAACCATGTATGCTTATTTAACAGCCGAAACAATGCAATGTTCAAAACAATATGAGCTGATCATGAACCAGTTCCAGCCATACACACATGGGGTAAGAAAAGAATGTTCGTTTCAATGGCGAAATAAAAATGCTTTCTAGAAAACGAGAGAATTCAACCGCTCCAAAGAAGACACTTGAATGAAAGTCCGCTCTCCAAAGCTACTTTGGAGTAGGCTTTGGCTTCGACGTGCAAAGAGTTGGAGACTTCTTAGCAGTGGTAGTCTTCGACTTTGTCCTTGTAGTTGTCTTGCGAGTCGTCGGAGTTGTCGACTTACGAGTAGTTGTCTTTTTCTTCGTAGTAGTCGGACGGGTTGTGGTCTTCTTTGAAGTTGTAGTAGTCTTCTTTGAAGTTGTAGTAGCCTTCTTTGAAGTCGTAGCAGCAGCAGTAGTCTTCTTCGAAGTAGTGGTTGTCTTCTGTGACGAAGTGGTCTTCTTAGTCGTCGCCGGAGTTGTCGTAGGAGACGAAATCACAGTCGTAGTCTTCGTTGAAGCAGCAGTCGTCTTAGTGCTACTAGTAGTTGTCTGACTGGTAGAGGTTGTCGTTGTAGTCGTGGTAGTAGTTGAACTCGTTGAAGGCACAGTAGTCGTACTACTGCTGGTAGGAGGGGTACACAGATCTGAAACCCCTCAAAGAACAAAAAATAATTCCAGAAAGCACCCAATTAGCAATCCACCGCAAACAAAAAAATTCCCTTCCCACCCGCGTGCGAAGAACCAGAACTTGGTATATCTAAACATCATTAAAGAAAGTCCACTTTTGCTTCCCCTCTCGCTCCCTTCTCTTTATTATTGTTACATCGTATTTTATCATGACAGAGTCTCACGTAACATACTTGTCAATGGTACTCTAAACCAGCATACAAGCAGTTGGAGGACAGTAGCCGTGATTACAAGCAAAGCTGCAAAGTCCCGAGTACCCATCTCCCAACCCAGGCAATGGGACTCCGTTCTGGCCAGTCGTTGGTGGTGGGGTATTTGGCGCTCCCCAGGAAGTGCATCGGCAGACTCCAGATGGGCAGTACCCGAAGTAGCACGAGAAATCACAGAGGCCCGCGAAATTCCCATCGCCTTCGCCGTGGTTGCAGACGCTAGCTGGAGTAGGAGTTGGGCTTGCGGTAGTGGTAGTGGTGGAGCGGGTAGTGGTGGTTGTGGAGCGAGTAGTGGTAGTAGTCGTACACGTACCAGTTGATGGTGTGAATTCGCCCACGTAGGCGTTGAAGTTGTAACGGGCACAGGTGGAAGCGACCTGGATACCACCGTTGCCGGAGATAATGTCGCAGTTGTTACGGCGGAGCTTGAAGCTCTGAGTACCAGTGGCCATGTCGACAGACGAGAGAACGATACCGGCACCAACGTTGATTGTAACCTCGGAATTGCCACCAGATTTAACAATCAATTGAGCGGGTGAGGTGAGCAATGTGGCGACAAAGATCTTGTCCTGAGCGAAGTCCCAGCCAGTAGGTTTGGCAAGGGGATCAGAGCAAGTAAGTCCCTTAGGGTGTGGGCGATACCAGTAGACGAGTTTTTCTTCGGTAACAGTAGGGCTGCTAGCACCGGCCTTATAAGCAGTGATGTAAGGTTTGCTCAAAGTACGCCAGGCATCATGTGGGAACCCAGCGGCCCATTGACTAGAGCCATCATCGCTATGTCCAGCGTTGTATGGTCCAATGTAAGAAGATTCACCGAAATCTATAAAATATCAGAATGAGACCCCTCGTTTCCACACTGTCAGTAGGTCGGTAAACTTACCATTCCAGGTAACAATTTGGATCAAAGGCGGGGCGATAGACAGAATCTGGTTCCAGCGAGTCACATAGAGGTCATCACTGGCGAAAATCCAGTTCTTTTGCCAAGAGCTGAAGTCGAAGTGGGTAAAGAACCATGGAGAGACAGCTACGACAATGTTAATTTTCACTACCCGAACTCAACCATGGACGAGAAAAATTATGAACTTACGGGCCATGTAGACCTTTCCGGCCAAAGCAGATAGATAAGCAGTATCCGAAGCGGTAGTCATGGGACCAGCAATAGGATTGTTGTTGCTGTTTGGCCAAGCGACCCAAGAGAAGGCACCGTCGACAGCAGCATTGTTCTGAACATTTGGCGGTTGCCAATTTGGAAGAATCTCCAAAGATGTAGAGACTTGGCTTCTGACGGTATTCCAGTTATTGCCGAAACCATCGCCAATGAAAGTAGTAACGACAGCCTTGTTGTTATGCTTGAGAGCAGCTGGGTGAGCAGCGTAAGTCTGCAAAATTCCGACGATTTCCGACACAGAGCTGCTATCCGGTGCAAACCAAGCAAAGTCGAAAGAGATATATAACTTGAAGTTCAAGCTTTGAGCCTCACTATAAGCAAGAGCCAACTGGGTTGGGGTGAAAGCATCAACGGCTACTCGAGCAATATTCAATGCAAAGGCATCGATTCCAATGGCCTTGGCAGCATTGATATCCTCTTGCCAGTTGGCGGCGGTATAGCCACCAGTAATACCCAACTAAAAGCGAAGTTCTTAGAATCATATTCAAATTGATATATATATATTCGTTGAAATTTTAGAAGAATCAATCATACCATAAAGTGAGCAGTTGCAATCTTCGATCCAGACTGGCGTTCAACCAACCCAGTGTTGGTTGGAAGGGAATGAGTGCCATAGGCACAGAGCAGCACGGCTGCAACTCGTAGAAGCTTCATATTGAATTCTCTTCACCAATATTAATATGGGGTAGATATTGTTAATGAAGTTTGAATTTGCCTCTCCTTTAGGATCAATTGGCGACTGGAGACCCTGTGTTGTCGATGTTGGAAAAAGGAGTCGTCTCAGAGCAGGGACACCGATGCTTTATATATACAGTCGACTCCTTTTTACCGCCCCAAGTAAGATTCCCATAATCTAAAACTTCACAACTGTCGGGTATCATGTTTATTCGAACGGTGACCAGGCTCCGTCTCTCAAAATGCGAATGGCTCGTTAGATTCATTATACCGTACCGGAATACCCCTGTTTAGCGCTAACTATTGTTACCCAGCTGCCCTGTCAATCCGGCTGCAGTTACTTTACGGCCCCGGGTTTCATCATTAGGGCTATGTCAGCCCGCTGGCTAGGCCTAACCTAAGGTTTAGTAATTATAGAAAATCTGCAGAAGAGCCCCTGCCCAGATGCGGGTCACCCTATATCGACCGATTGAGGCTTTTCCCGTTGGCGTTCCACCGACATGTCGGTTGGAAAAATCGTCGATGGGTGCAGATTTGGGCGGAGCCGTGGTGCAAGAAACCTAGGAAACCTAGTTCTACGAGCTCATCTACCAGGACGTGCGTCAAGAAGTGATGAAGTGGAATATTCGAATTGGAAAGAATACACGGATTCACGGTTAAATATCGTATTCATGTATGTGATCCTTTGTAATTATACTCGCCCTTTGCGGTCCTAACCCGAGAGGCGAATGGATCCTGGGCCTATAGGGCGAATATATGGAGCCGAAGAGCTCATACCACTTTCCCGCTGTATCGATAGGCAAGATTGTGGAGATAGTGGGGCCGGCTTGAAATTTCTCCGTTCGCTGTTTCTATAACGATTTCAATGTTATGCATATAGAAACGTTCACTAATCACTAGCCCAGATTTTTGTAGCTTCGGAGGCGTTCAGTATATGTATGTAAATACATAGAATACTACCCGCTGTCGCAGGTGTGGGGATTTGGCATCGAAGTCTGGAATGGGAGTTGAAATGTTTGACAACTTGCAGCCGACCTGGGCATCCAAGCCTCTTTGTATGTTGAGTAATCTTACACCATGGGGAAAGATGACAGCATTAGGTCCCCAGCACCGCAAATGCAAGCAGCATCAATTGGGCGGGTTTGTGCGACGGGAAGCTTATGGAATTCTGCAGGGGCCCCCCAAAGTATTTAAATATATTTGGTGGCTTCGGAGCTCCTCGGCCTTCGGTCGGGGACAATTATCCAGGAGGCCAACTTACTAAGCACCCTTCAGAAGTCAGAATGGGATTTCACATTATAAATGATAGAGAGTACCGAGGATTCGAAGACATATTTTATTATTACTATGTAAGCAGTTATTGCCAAACTTTCAGGGGATATTTCTTTGAAACGTTTTTTGACATTCAAAACGGCCGTTTCATTTACGAGATAAGCTTATCGGAGCTGTCTACAGCTATAGAGCCGAGGTCAGCAATCTCTAACGAGAGGCTATTTATACCCTTCCGAATTCCCCTCCCAAGAATTTTGGCAAACTTAGATATTTATTTCAACCTAAACCATAACTAAATATTATAACGATAAAAATTTTTAAAAAAAAACTCTAAGATCGATCGTAGTATTGATGTGTGTTGTGGGGATATTAAGCTGCGTAAATTTTTGACGCAACAGAATCTGTAAATTTTCTAGCTCGTCGAATTTACACAACTTCGCTAGAGACTTCAAATAGTGTATATCTAAGAAAGTGGGTGTGCGGTATGGGGATATGTATGTACAGGCGCACAATTAAAAAAAAATACTATATGAAAGATCTTAAGATCATGCATAAGAACCAAGTGGCATCCAAACACCGTAGTCTCATACGTATGTAGCATTTTGAATTGTAAAGCTCGAGTCGACTAGTCCTGTAAAGCCGTAGACCACGCTTGATCGTGATCGGGTATCCGCGAAATTCGAACGTATGCATGCACGTACCAATTGCATCCAACAATTTATAAATTTAGCTAGTGTTTTCTCTAGAGTGGGTACCTAAGTAGTCAATTAATACATGACGTCGATGGGCGTCTGAAGTTGCGAACGGAATTAGTTCCCAGCAAATAATTTATTCTAGAGAATATCAATTAACTTTAATACATCCACGTATACGTGTATACGCGCGGATGCCAAGCCGACAGTAGTGGACCCATCGACCTGGAAAATAATATTAACCAGCTCGAACGTTCGAAATTTCGGCCAACAGTTTAAAGTTCAAGGAGGTTAGGCGTCGTGTTAGCAGCCGACTGGTTTACAGGCCACTGCCATGCAAGTATATCTGCCACGATGTTTCCCAACCAACTTCAAGGGTATAATATTGATATCCAATCCAAAGAAACTATTTCAAACAAACGCTCGTAATATTGCGTCGTAGAAACACCAAGAATATCAATCACAACCTTGGCACTAAAGCGCCCAAAATATGTACGCCAATGAAGCTAGCTCTTGCGCCTATTTTGGCATTCCGAGAGATTCAGCGGCGCCCAAAATCATGGCGTCCCGCCGTCTCGGAACCATAATCGAGTGCCGCGACGAAATACAACACCAACACCGTACGTATATAATGATTGAACCGAAAGAAGTACTTCTTCGTAATAAAAATGAGTTTTGACTTTCGGAACAATCAGGATATTAGATAAGCAATAAAGCAATTTAGGGAAACAGGTGTCCCATTTCCATATCCCTTGGATTTAGAGTGGGGCCGGATTCGCAATTGTCACTCAAGAATGCATCCCAGGTCACATTGTCACAATGGTTTGTTTCCAGATCAGCTTTTACTAATGTAGTGTGGTTTGGGGATAGTATTCCTGAAAACCTTTTCTAAAATGGGGATAGTGCGCATGCGAAACCTCGGGACTGGGAACAGCTCCGGTTCGATCTTTCAAGGGAGCTTGAGCAAGCGCGATATATAATCGACACCCCCATGTTTTAATTGCTATCAACCTGAACATTAGCTATTTTTGCACGCGGAGTATACTATTGCACAAGCTTAGAAATAATTTTCCCTTTTATTCTGGTACTGTAGAGCCAAATTGTTACGTTCATTCCAATCCCATCCCGCCTGGTTGCCGGCGTATATTTCAGAATATGTTAAACGCATCAGCCATTGGATGCATATTTATTATTTTCTTTTAAATCCCGGATTGAGATTACAAACCGAGGAATGGAGCAGACTGCCTTGATTTCAATACGCATTAGTCTTCGATCCCCACCGTACACGTGTACAAATATGCAAATCAGCTATTCTAGACTATAAAGCGGCTCGCACCGCGGACCGCGGTGGAGCCTAATCAACCTAGCGCGGCTGGACCGTCCGCAAGATGTAATTCCTCTTGCTAATCCGCTTTCCCCAATCTCACTTTAGCTTGATATTATCGTGATATCAACAGCGGGGTAGCTGCTCGATTTACCAGTATATCCCAGCCATAACAGCGGAGTAAACTGCAGGCCACGTATGTATTTCGAATTTTTCTCCACTTGAGGACCCTTAATCCAATAAGAAGGACCCTGTTAATCATACCAAACCGCGGATTTGTCCAGAGTGATAGAAGACGTCATTTTCTAGAGGTACTTCTTAAACGTAAGAAATCCCGTATAGACTCGTAAAAGTAAACCACCCGGCCGTCCCAAAGACCAAACTGTCGGATCCAAATTTTTATTCCATCCAGGACGTCTGGTAATTCTTGTACCACCTCCAAAATATGCGCTCACAATTCATGCTCCCAATCAGCGGGCCGATTGCGCCTACTGTCGTATTATACGGTGGCGTATTTTGCGCCATCGTCTATGTCATCCGAAAAACATTCTTTTCCGCGAAGAAATTACCGCTGCCGCCGGGTCCGAAGGGTGTACCGATTCTGGGGAACGTAACCGACCTTCCGCCTAAAGGACTGCCAGAATGGGAACACTGGGCGAAGCACAAGGATATTTATGGGCCTATAAGCTCCATAACTGTTTTCGGACAGACGATTATTTTACTACATGACGTAGATATGGCAGTAGAGCTATTAGATAAGAGATCGGCGAAGTTTTCTTCGAGGCCGTCTATGGTATTTCCCAAAATGTATGGTCTTATACACAATATACAAAATATGGCAAGAAATATGTGGTTAACATGTCCGATGCTGGTATTGTAGGTGTGGCTATGAACACGAAATGGGTATCTTAGGTTATGATAGATATCACCGCAAGACACGGAAGCTAGCCGCCGGGCAGATAGGATCAACAGCATCAATAAAACAATTCCATGATCTTATCGACCTTCAAACTCGACGGTTTTTGTTACAGACACTGGAAAATCCAGATAACCTTCTTGAAAACTTGCAAATGTAAGCTTCAAAAGCCATACAATACTATATGACCATAAATATTACAGTAGAGGCTAACGATATGGTGGTGTGTATACAGTCAAGCAGCCTCCATTATTCTAGAAATTCTATTCGGATACAATGTCAACCCTAACGGTCGTGATCCCCTTGTCACCCTCGCCAACAAATTCATGGCTGAATTCGGCGAAGCCATTGTCGCAGGCGCCTGGCTTGTTGATATGATTCCATGGCTTCGATTCCTCCCAGACTGCATGCCAGGAGCAGGCTTTAAGAAAATTGCCCGCGAATACACCCAAACATACCAAGACTGCATGAACATCCCATACGCCTTCACCGAAAACCACCGGAGATACAAAACATCATACATCTCAAAACTTCTAGACACAAACCCCGATGAAGCAGAAATCGAGCTCATCAAAAACAGCGCTGCTTCGCTATATGGTGGCGGAGCTGATACAACCGTTGCATCAATGGGTTTCTTTTTCCTTGCTATGTCACTGTTCCCTGATATTCAGATCAAGGCAAGAGAAGAGATTGATCGTGTGACTGGAGGATTTGCTTCAAGGTTACCTACATTGCAAGATCGTCCAAACCTGCCATATGTTGAAGCTGTGGTAAAGGAAACAATGCGATGGGTACCCATTGCACCGCTTTGCGTGCCTCACACTAGTGACGAAGAAGATGAATTCCGTGGATATCGAATCCCGAGGGGTACACTAGTGATCCCATCCATTGCATGGTTCTCCCAAGATCCGAATACATACAGCGAACCGCATTTATTCAAGCCCGAACGATTCCTTGGCCCAGGTCCAGTTGAGAGAGATCCTTACACTTTTGTTTTTGGATTCGGTAGAAGGATATGCCCTGGACGTCGTCTAGCAGATGCCAGTGTGTTCATTGCTCTCGCACAATCTTTGGCAGTTTTCGATATCAAGAAGCCGATTGATCCAAAGACTGGCATGCCAATTGAACGAATAGTAGGTGCTACACCTGGACTGGTAACCCACCCGACTACTTACCACTTTAATATAACACCAAGGAGTGAGGCGCATGCAGCTTTGGTTAAGGCTGTTGAGACAGAACACCCTTATGGAGACCTTGAAGATGCTTCGTTACTTCGGGGTAACATCAAAGCATATATGTCGGCTGAACACCGAGCTTCTACTGAGGGTGTAAAGGGAGCTTAGATTTCCGCAGCTTCAATGTAGATTGATATTCTTTCGTATCTTTCTTTCTCTTCCTTTGTATTCCAGTATCGATACCTATCTTTCTAGTTTTTGTATATCCTTCCTCGTGTAGTTAGCAAGCGTTTGAGTTGTTTTTGTTTTAATAGTATCATGATTTGACTAAAATTCTTTAGATACGCCTATATAGGCTCGGCCGTTATGATGTGTATTAACCAGAGCTGAATTTATAGAATATTGAATTCGAACGTTACCATTTTTAGATTTGCCAATTTGGCGTTCCCATGATTCGGGTGGATTAATTATTAGTAGTTAAAGCATACTCCGCAGGAAACTTCCTAGGTTGTATGCCTGTATGAAACAACTTCTATCCGCAGTTTTCGTATTACAATATTAGCTTTGTAGAATTCAAGGTTGCAATTGATAAACTCGCAAATTGTGATATGGTTTGCACCCGTCGCGGCGTAGTGCGGTTCAAATCGACGTCACGAAGGGTTCAAACAAGCGAACACACGCGACCAAACCAAACCGTCGCCCCAATGCATTCAACCACATCAAAGCTCCGCGAGACCCTCGCCCGGGCACCGCGCAATTCCGCCTATGCCCGTCACATCCAAAAATGTCTACAGTACGTAGACTTCTACGGCGGATCGGTGCCCACCGCTCCAAAGGGCAAAACCGAACGCGATCTGTTAGAACAAGAATTCGAGTTCCTGCGTGATGACTCGAACGACAACGGTACTGGTAACAACGACACAGCCAAAGAAATAGCAAAAAAATATTATGAAAATTTATTCCGAGAATTCGCTTTGATTGATTTATCAAGATGGCGAGAAGGGCAGGTATGTTAAGACTCCGCCCCCTGCGGTTTTATTTTTTATCTTTTAAGTTATAGTATAATATATAATAATATTATGTATCGATACTACTACTATAACGTCGTACAAACCAGTCGGAGCAATTTACTAATCAAAAATATAATAATGTAGGTTGCATTACGTTGGCGGACAAAGCAAGAAGTTCTGCAGGGTCTGGGGCAATTCACATGCGCCTCGTTAACATGTCCCCGACATGCTGCAGCGCCAACTGAGGAATCTATAGACGAGTTTAGGCTCGATGATACCAGTACCAGGGACAACAACAAGAGCGAAACAGGCGAAGGTGTTGGACTTGAGACCTTCGAAATGAACTTTGGGTATATGGAAAAAGGGGTAAAAAAGAATGCTTTGGTGAAAGTCTGCGTATGCGAAAAATGCGCTGGGAAATTAAGGAGGGTAAAGGAAGGGCGAAAAGATGATGACAGGCGAGAGCGAAGGAGAAGCAGGGATCGGAGAGATTCTAAAGACAGGCGGCATAGACGACATAGGGATGAAAGTGAAGAACATGCATCAAGGACAAGGCGCAGGAAAGATGATGAAAAAGAAAGAATATCCGATCATGGTGGTGTCGAAGATTCTGGGGAAAGTAGTCGACGTCATAAAAGTAGGGACCGTCACCACAGAAGTGACCGACGCAGCAGCCGCAAGGATGAGAGCGAACGATACCACCGATCTAACCATAAGAGGACCTCTCGATCTCGGTCCCCAAGCCATGGTCCCACTTGAACGTACATATATCATTATATGATTTGTTATATGTATTGGTTTCTTTTTCCCTTTCCCTCTTCTCATTCAAAGTCGCCTCCAACAGCTCAAATTGTCGACAACATCCATAAAAGTCCAGCTCATACCATATCCTGGCAAACCAATAACATGCCATTATCATCTCAAACGGCTGTCCTCCAGAATCTTCGCTTTGCATTGCCACGAACCTCATAATCCTCTTCAATACCCCTGTTGGCAAATTCATAATCCCAACCCTGCTCTTCTCCGCCACGTCGATCAACTTTCCTCCCCTAACAATCTCTAATTGCTTCGCCCTCTTTTCTGGATTAATTGGTTCCAATCTCCCTCCTACCCCTTCTTTCCACTCCGTCGCAACCGCCAATTTCCTATCATCACCCCCAAAGGCATCCACAACCTCAAACTTTACACTAGCCAACCCACATCTCCTACACCCTCCCAACCAAAGATCATCAGTATGCCCATAACACCTACAGACCTTTTCAAACACCGTACTCCCCATCCTAGAATCCTTACAAACCAACTTACAATGTCTACAGAACGTTTCATAAAACCCATACTCATAAACCGGCTTCTTGCTATACACTGCGCCTCCTCTGATCGGTTGCATCATCAACTCGTACCCCACGAGATCCTTTGCCCATGTTAACCATCTTATTTTCGAATATGGTGATTTAAGTCGTATTAAGAATCGAAGTTCACCCCATCGCTCCATATACTCTTCTAAAAACAATTTAGCACCGGAACTTCGACGTTTGGATTTCGAATACGGGATTAAGAGACCCCGTGGGCAGCGGTGGTGGTCGCACCATATTGTAGAATATGTGAACGGCCTGGCGGATTGCTGGGGATTGTAATGGCCGTTCTTTGAAAGTATTTTATGGATTGGCGGGATTTGTTTATGGGGATTGGTAGAGGAGTATTCTGGGGAATATTGAAAAGTAGCTTGAGGTAGATTGTACAGAGAACGAGGGAAGAATATACCAGTTGTCGTATCCAAAAACAGAGCGGAAGTACAACCTGGAGAGCAGAGAGGGTGGGAACAATATGGGCATTTAGGTCGCTTTGATAAACTAGCCCATGAAGAGATGGAATATCGAGTACTTTTCTCTCTGTCCTGTAAGGGAGCTACAGGAGGAAGAAAGCGAAGATGGATACGAGAGAAACATTCTGCTTCGGCCTTTGTATCCGGTCCGAATGCATGTATCCTTGGTTTTGGACAAATGCGTCGAAGGGATTTCGTCGTAAGAGATAAGGATATTAGGTCGGCAATGCGAAGATATTTGGTGATTAAGTACAATATATCGATTGGAAGGTTTAAGAACGGTGAATTTGGGGTTTCAGCCGTTGAGGGGACCTGAGAATCAATACATGTAGAAGAATGATCATCCAAGGACTTCGACTTGCGGGACGAAGATTGCTTCGAAGTCTCTGAATGTGGCTTTGAGAGTCTCTTCTTTACCAGCTGTAACATCTTTGCAAAATTGATACCGGCGCTCAATCTTTAGATGTAGATATCTGTGATGTACGTTAAGGTCAAAGACATGAATCCCCGCCCCCCTCCTGTCGAAATTCAATATGCGTTGGTTCTGTGGTATATCGGACCGGGAAAATAGTAGCTTGCTCAGGAACCCTCGAGCAAATTTCAGTACCAATAATCTTGCTTAGACCCAGGGGTATGTATAAATGTTGAAAGTTCGGTATTACCTAGGGTTATATATCGACAGCCAAGTGGATGTCTACAATTTGAGAGGGTAGTATGGATGTTGAACCCGACCAGGACGGTCGAACCCGCACATGTCTGATGGTGAACTGGAACTGCAGTTTGGTTCTCTGCCCCGTCCAAATTCTGTCCCAAATAAATACTTAATTAGGTAAATAGCCGAAGTTGATGCCATTTTGGCATATTCAGGGTGCACCAAGAACATGTAAAACAATATGAAGTCGAATTTCAGCAGATCGATACTAGTAGAACTCATTGCTTCCTTGCACCTGACTTTGAGATTGGGGCTATGGTAAATTAAACGGGAAAAAGATAAATATAAACAACATGATTAGGATAGTAAATCTAGGACATCAAGTCGAAGTCTCTGCAGCATCCTGCGACCAGGTCTGGTTGCGGGAGTGGCAATCGTAGAATTCTTCTTCATCCGAGCTATCTTCAAGGTCAGAAGCCCAATCACTATCTTCTTCCTCTTCACTTGCGCTGCTCGATATATCATCCACCAAAGACACTCTGGCTGACCCACGAATGCGATCCAGGAGCTGCATAAAACCGGTCTGCCATTCTTCTTCATTTGATTCCGGGATACGATCCATATTCTGTTTGTTCTCGAATCTCCAATCCATAACTTCTATAGGCGTACCCCCGTAGAGACCCTCTTTACAATCCACGATCTCGAGACTGACCTCTACATCTATTGCCGAAAAATCAACAGTTCTGAATAGCTCGAGTACTTCAAAGCTTCCATACCGTGCCAGATAATGAAGGAAATTCCAGCCGTATTTATCTTTGAGTCCGAAATTGATATTCCTCGCCTCCCTCAGAATTACGGACAACGATGCAACCTTATTTCCCCGAATGGTGTCCATGATCACCGTACTAACATTAATTCCATTGCATCTATTAACATCAGCCCCATGATCCAAAAGAAATTTTGTTGTCCGGGGGTAGTTAAGCCCCGCCATATACGTAAGTGGGCTGATGCCGGATGCCGTTCCCAGGTTAACGTCTGCGCCAGCATCGATCAATAGCGCAGCAAGTCGAAGATTTTCATTTTCTTGAGACTCGCTGATTCCGTCTGGGTAGCTTATCTCAAAATTGCAATAATATAACAGGGGTGTGACCGGCGTCGCTGTGGAGAAGGAGTTGATGAACTGCGGTGGGCAATATTTTAGGCAAAGTGCCAAGCTTTCGACTGAACGCGAACGAATCAAGATACTTTTGCCTTCTTTGCAGCATTTTGTTACGTCTGCACCATTTTTGAGCAATATTTCAATCGTCTCAAGATCGTTCCTTATAACTGCCCACATAAGAGGAGTTCTACCCATCTTATCACTTTTGTCGATTAAGCTCAGCCCAAGGTACCCCTTCAGCTCCTCTCTAAGGTCGCCAGTCTCAATCCCAATAATTATCTTGTGAAGCTTCGTCATCTCGAGTGCGTCAAAGTCAATTTCGGATTCTGGGAGATATATATTAGGATCGTTGAGAATCCTGTTAAGCGCACTATCGACTGAAGCTAACTGATATTCCTTTTTGATGAGGCACGCATAGGAATATGGAGAGCTTTAGAATAAATTATCAGTCATGTTTGACGAGTTCTCCATGCTTATCTACCTATATACTAGAGTTATTTAGGATCTCAACGAACTTACTTGCCATAATAATTTTCCACGGTTGAGTCAACCCCTTGCGAGAGAAGAAACTCGATCATCCGGAGGTAGGCATCCAGTCTATCTTCCGCCCCCAGAATACCATTGATGGCCCACTCACGGAAACCCCTGTAGTTAGTTTAAGTTATCGTGCTTTTAGGTTTAACCAAAAATATTAATATTTGGAAGGGAGGAGGTTACATGAATCAAACTGTGCCCTGCGTTGCTGTCGATATCCTTCGACGAAGCTTTCCCCTCCTGAAAAAGCCTGCTCAACCCCTCCAAATCTGCCCTCCCGACCATATAAAAGGGGTTTTCCCAAGACTTTAGGTCATTATAACACCGGACATTCCAAGTTTTTATGAGAACCTCCGGGCACTGGGATACCCGAACGTGCACCGAGAGCATCTTTGTTAGGAGCCATTTTGGGAAAGCATACTGCACTCTCATGTTTCCACTCCTATCTCGACTACAATTTCGAATAGTGCAAGAAGGCGAAATAGATGGGATCCCGTTATATCCGATAAAAAGATCTCCAACTAACTTTGAGAGAATGGAAGGACTTTGTATATTCCTTCGGCGGTGGCATACACATTTGCACAAGGGGTCGCAAAGACCACCTGATGAAATGCTAAGCGGCAAAATCACACTATCTCGCTGGTAGTTTGTGATGGATTTATTATAAGAATAAGTAATTTGAGGAGAAGATGTTGGAGGTATAGTAGCGCTAGCGTGTGGTATACCACCAATCGCAGGGACGGTCTGTGTCGGGATTAGTTGAAGCTGATTTCCCGTATTCTGTTGAAAGCCATCGACTCTCTTGTGCAGGGAATTTTGCGAGGAAATTATTTGCGAAATTCCATTCCTGTTCTCAAGTGCAAGGTATTGGAGGCTCTGTTGTAAAGAGATTTCCAATTGTTCAACGCGAGCTTCGATGCGAAATGAAGATGCTCTAATTAATTATCTATCGTTAGTAATTTCCTAGGCCCATTTGAACGAGTAAACTACCCAAATAGACTATCAAAGTGTGGACTGCGTCTTGCAATACGAGACTAATATAAGAGGTACACAGCCTTAAATTTAAGTTTTCACTTACGAATTCATCAACCCTATTCCATTAGCAATCTCCATCCTAATATCCCTCAGTCCATCCTTGGCCTTTATCAACTTCGATTGTTCTTTCATATAACCAATCTTGCTGAACTTTCCTTTGCTGTCCACCAATTTCGTCTCCACCACTTGGCATATATCCTTCAGCTCGTTTGTAGCCCGATCTAGGAGGTTCTTAACACCAATGAGTTCAGGCGGTAAGCCCCAGACGTTCCCTTGCTGACCGCCCAGAGTAACATGCTTGTTCAGTATACTCTCACAAGAGTGTACTACTAAGCGAAGGTCGCTAACTTCGTTCTGAAGCGCCATGACGATCTCTGGTGCACCCCGGAGTGCGATTAACTTAGCCAAGCCATTGCTGACTTGAACTGCCGCGGTGACTATCGCGATGATGGATGCTGTAACGGATAGCGGGTCCATTTTTCAATTTGTGTGACGTCGCGTCGTTCCAAACCGATTGAAGCTGAAGGCAAGCCCAAAATTTGACGAGGATAACTATTATATCGATGAAACTGGGAGCTACTCGAGAAGAAGACGGAAATTCGAGTCTAAGAATGAGAGAAATAAAAAGACGCTGAGAAAGGTGCCAATCGATATATTTCTGCTAGCCTCGAGACCAGCCGCAGGAAAGGGCGAGGTACTTCCGCATCAGGCTGTATAATTGGAACTGTATATATATATATATGCAAGGCTGATTGAATACACGTCGTTTACCCCGCCCGATCCTTAACGCATTCATGCAGGCCAAGCCAAGTCATGGTGACTGGTTATCATCCGATTACCAGTAGCCTTGCTGCACCTCTATGGCGCTCTACGTATGAAGACCAGATAGTTTTTGTGTCGATATCTCCATCTGTATGGATGTGCCTCTGCTTCACGGTCGAAAAAAAAGCATTCAACACATCAGCCTTGTTGTATTTAAGCTTGTAGTTAGTCTCGTTCTTAGATTCAAAATCGGGAACAGCTTATCTCGTGAATTAAATTAAAGGCAAAAAACTAAACTTCATAAGAGATACCGCCTAGGATCGATACGCTACCGTGCTTAGTCTTGCTTTCGTCAAACTCAACAATCGATCATAATAAAATCCCTGGTGTTAAGTTCAATCATCATGCATCATTCCATTCCCATACCAAACATAGCCTCGTTTGTTTCTATCGTTTGTCCGCCAATCGAAGATCCGCCCAGAGAAACAAAAAAAAAGAATCCAGAGGATCCTGAACGAAAAAAAGAGGTCGAACTGGGATTCGAACCCGGGTCCCCGGAAAGCTTTCGACGAATTCAGAGAATTCTGGTCAAAATCCGATGTGATAACCAACTACACTATTCAACCGTAATCGACGGAGATCGGCTTCTTCTTCTACATATATGATCCTCATCCCAAAACCGACGGAATTGGGGAATAATCGTTATTAACCAGAAATCAAAGCTGATATGTCTCTTCTTAGGTCTACGATATGATCCCAATACCTTATCCCATGATCGATCGAATATCGAGTCGGATATCTATCCTACACTCGAAACAAAATACCCACGTCAAAAACAACCCAAAATCGCTATTTGTTGTATTTTGCAACCTATCGAAAATGTTCATACAATCAAATTGAACTTCACACTCGTGACATGCATCATTAACATCCCAACCCCACTTCAAAGCCCACCAAAGTAAGAGTATGAACCATCAAAAAACCAGGTTCCACGGGCTATCTAACCTCACGGTGCGCTAGTAATCTCGTATACGCAGTCCCGCCATATGCTAGCACTACGATGCAGCAACCGCAGGCCAAGACCGTCGCAATGCATCATCCGGCATGCAGTGGGTTGGCCCCGTTTTTTAACCCAAGTCAATCCACCAAGATCGCTGGGAGCCGACCATGATAAATCAGCTCTGAATAGATATCTACTACGTTCTAGAGATGTTTATCCAGACATCCGACAAAAACTGGTTGAAATCACAGCCAATTTACCGTTGTTTTCTCCAGATAGACCGTTACCAATTTCATACCTTCCGGGGAGGATGAAGCCTTCGCAGTTCGCTTCGATATTGCAAAATGACTTTGATGTCGGGTATTGGGATATGAAGGGCGCGTGGTCGGTTGCGGAAGAAAATATCATTAGGAGACAAGCAGAATATAAAGCACACGGTGATATGTTTCTACAAAATGTCATGGTATTGATGCTTCAGAAATATCTACCAGATAGTTTACCACCGGGGTGTTTCGCGGTATGTATTATATAAACCACCCTTCTCTAATGCATATATATTGCTTATGAAAAAATTCCTAACCACTCAAAAATAATCTAAAAAAACCATAGTAGAATTTCTACAAATTCATCAACAGCCATTCACTTTTCCGCCTCATCCTGGCATTCAGACTCCAACTCTACTGCCGTCGAGAATTCCGTCTTTTCCCACCAGATCCACGCTTCTACCGAAAGCAGATGATAACCCTCCAACGCTGGGCTACCAGTCGGATTCCAGTGACCTCAGAGGATGAATTCAACAAAGCAACCCAACTTCTAGACAATCTAGAAAGAAATCTGGTCGACATCGCAGACGATGACCCAGATCTTGAAGCCGCGATTAGAAGGGTTAATCCCGTTCTAGGCGCCCGGGTCCTTAATAGACACATCTCACATCTTGAAATGGGCCCCGGTCTTTCTGCAGCTGCAGTAATATCTGAAGATATCGAGTGGCTTACGGATGTCTGTGGAGATATCATGTTTTTGATATTACACCGGGGTATCAAACAGGCGGAAACGGATTTTAAAATCAACGAGGGGGTGGTAGATACGCCTGATAATACTACTGCGGAAGAGTATAATAAATGGCATTTATATTTAGACCAAGTTACCGAGGAAGGAACGAAAAGACTTACTCTCGAAGATATTCATAATAAATTCCTTCAAATGGAAGATCAAGACAGTCAAGATATGAACGATGCTTCATCATCAAAAATCGAAGAAACTCCAGATATCCCTCCATATCTGAGAAGAGTCTTCCAAGGTATCTACGGCAGAATAGCAAGATCAACAGCTTCCAACACCACCCGCCGGCACCACCGCGACGAAGACAATACCACAGGAAAAGGCTGGGACTTCATCACGGAAGACGATACAGCCCCAGAAATACCACCTGAAGACCAACTCCCCGGTATTAGGCTACCATTCGGCGCAAAACCAGGCAGAAGAAACAGAGTACCCTCAAGATCAAACCTATCGCCGATAAACATCCGCAACCGCCTCCTCAAACGAAACTCAAGAACCAAATCCATAGATATATTCACAAATGACACCGACACCATCGACACCCTCAGTCCCACATATCAATCCCTAACACTCCCAGACCCCTCCGGGAGAATATATTCAACCCCAAACGGCCAAAAAGACACACTGGACAATCACCGCTTTATGTCCCTCTTAAAATTACTTAACTCCAACTCAGAAGACTCAACAGAACCTTTAAACCAAGAACCCCCCGACCTCCCATCAAAAGAACCATCCTCCAAAAAACCAATCTTCTTCGGCCCAGCCCTCTGGAAAGCACCCCAGAAACCTCCCCCTCCAACCTCACCCACCTCAACCCCGCAAGAACCACCCACATCAACCCCAAAAAAAGGTTCCTTGGCCCCTCAAACCCCCTTCCCAATCCGCCGTGTAGACTCCAGCCCAATAAAAACCCCACCCCCTCTCCCCAAATCCTCACACTCCCCTTTCAACCTCTCCACCATTCAAAACCTCGATTCAATCCTTCACAACCTCGCCGCTGCCAAAAAAACCGATCGAGCCGCCATCAAACAATATCTAAAATTCAACCCAATTCCTCCATTAGGAAGCGAAGACGAACAAATTGAAGAAGAAGAAGAGGGGGGAGAAGAAGAACAGGAACAACAAGAAAGAGAACCCCAACCCTCAAAAATCTTAACCCTCCACAAAAAAAACCTCTACCAACCTTCAACGATAGATATAGATATCCAAAAACTAAAAGAAGAACTCGAAGAACCACCAAAAACTCAAATCGAGAATTTAAAGTCTCAAATGCAGGATTTATTCTCATCTATCAAAATCAAACAATGAAATCTTCCGAGATACCTACTTACTTATATATTCTACCGAATGTACAAAATATACCAATACATATATATCCACCATGTATCACAAGCATTTGTACATGTGTACTACACAATGCACCATCACAAAACATCATGCACATGTACTTCTATAACAAAATTTAAAGCGAGTATCAGAATATATATGTCGACGAATTCCCAATCAATAGAATCTACTTATTAATCCCACTACCCACTAGCTAGAATCCCAATACCCTTTCCATTGGACCATAGTAAACAAAACAAAGTCCCATGCATGCATGGTGCCCAAACCAGACCCGACTAAAAACATAATCTCAGTCCCATCCCATGCATACAGAATCCCAATACCATATACCCAATAACCCAAATTTGCAAAAGAGCAATACAGAAAAACCAGCCACAGTAGTCTATCATGCATCATGACTTCCAAAAAAAAAGGTCCTTACTCAAAAACCCTCCTAAACCTCTCCTTCCCCCAAACTTCATCATCCCAACAATCCGAACTTTCAAACCCCAAAACCCCAACTGCCTTAATCCTCATCCTCTCCCTCTTCTCCACAAACCCCCCTCCCTTCTTACCACCAAATACCCCCCGGCCAAACCTTAAACTTTTAAATTTATTCGACCGGCCCCCAGAATTAATAAAATTAAAATCAAAATCAAAATTCCCATACCAACCCGCACCCCTCTTCTTCTTCAACCCCTTCAACTTCCTTCCCCCAGTTTTATCCCCCCACAATCCCTTAATCATACTCTCCCTATCCCTCTCAACTTTCCTCAACAGAACCTGTTTCCACATCGGCGTGACCATTTTAGCAACTTCTTCAATATTCCGCGTTATAGCAATCTCACTGTCCATATCCTGAATTTCCCTATACGCTGCTTCCCACGGTAAAGCTATATGCCCTTGTTGCCAATTACTGGGAAGTCCAAAATCAATCCATCGAGGATCCTGCGGCGCCAATGCCGATTCCAAAAAATCTAACGTCTTGGGTTCCGTTTCGTACTTGACGTCGAATACTCGGTATCCAAAGTATGACCATACTCCATCCGACTTTAAAATCCCCAAAACCATATGCATCAGCATCACATCTACATATAAAGAAAGAATAGAACATGAAAACTTACCACCTGCTTATTAAACCCCGACATCCTAATCTCCGCCGGCGTCATCTCCGAAAGCCTCGGCCTCCCAGGCTCAATATTAAACCCCCCAGCTCTAGCTTCATCCGTAAACTCCCCGCTAAACCCTCTAAAAACACTATCCTCCTCACCTCGATCAGGAAGCCCATCAACAACCTCAGAAACTCCCAACCAAGCTCCCTGTCGTGTAGTATAAGCCATTTCAATCCCCGCCTCCAAACATGCATATAAAAACCTAACTTCGCCACTTAACCTACAATTCCTCACCATCCTTCCAACTTCCCCAACTTTCCATTTTACCCTCCTCTGCCCTTCATCCTCCCATGCATCTCCAACTCTAAAAAACTCCATCAAATCCTTATTATTCACTCTCGTGGGCCTAGGCTCATCCATCCGTCTAGTGGACCACCTGAAATACTGATACTCTTCGTCCTCGGGTTCTTCAAAAACCCTATAAATCGCAAACTCCGCTCTTCCAAGTTGTATCATCACAATCCTTGCTCCCGAATCAACTTTGGGTGTTCCCTCTCCACCAAGTGTTCCCACGTCCGGTTCGTCGAAATCAAGGCTTAGTTTAGTCTGGTATTCATCCGGATCTCGTACAGCTGGTAAGGCGTTTGATACATTAACAAGCCAAAGCAAGGGTGCGATCCTTTCCCAACGGCCCGGCTCGAATAATTGATTAAGGTACCTGCGTATTTGATTTCGAACGGTCTTTCGTTCTGTAAAGTAAGGGCAAAGAATGGTGACGTCGGCTGGGATCTCGCTCTGATCACCACCAATCCGGACAGCATAATCCGGAATCGTTTCCGCAGATGCTGTCTCAAATTTGTCAGTACCTATACTTTTCTAGTTTTCCCTTTTTTCTTTAAAAGAAAAAAAGAAAAGAAGAAGAATACTCACGATCGATCTGCCCCTCAAAAACCTTCAACGCATACCAAACAACTCCAATAAACTTCCTCATCTCCCACTTCCTCTCCTCACTACTCCACCTCACCCCCACACATCTAACAGTCCCACTGGGAGTCCAATCAACCGCCAAATTCCCCAAAACACCCTTCATAAACCCTTCCCACCTCTCCGCAACCACCAACTCCACCCTAGTACCCCCAGAACTCTTAATAACAGACTTCACAAACTCCGAAAGTTCAACCCTCAAATTCTTATCCATAACCCTCAAAAACTCAATCGCCCTTTTCAAAGCCTCATCCTCCCTATGAAGCGCATTATAACATACCGCCAAACATGCCTCATGAACAATTTCATCAGGAATCAACCTCCCCCCAGCATTCTGATTAACTTTCGTTTGTTGAAATCTCACCGCATGCATAGCTCTATCCCGAAGTACTTGTGCATATTCCTCCGGATTCAACTCTGCTTTTTCAATCGACTCTTGAATCTCTCTATACTCTCTAGAAATCCTTCTTCTAGTCCTCGTATTCGCTGCAGTAAACATCATAGGTTGAGAAATCATCCTTCTTAAAGCTGACTTTCGAGGTTTTAAAATTGGCGTGTTATGTCTTAGACTGGGTGTAGACCGTGTATGACGTAAAGAAATATTACCGGGTGCGTAAGGCGGGGTTGAATAATCTGTGAGACCGGTTCCATGTTGATAGCCTGAAGATGGAGGTGGCGGTACCGCTGGAGGAGCCCTCGACGACGCTGATCTAGCACGTGATGCATATGATGATGGCCCGGCTTGGGGATTTGATGATGGTCCGGCGCCTGGTTCCCATAATGGCCATTCAGGATCATCTGGCTGTCGAGTTCCATATCCCTCTCCATAAGCTGCAGCTGCAGAGAACATATTTCCTGCTTTGATAAGCAACTGAAAACAGCCAAACCGAATTATATTACCCAAACAAAGACAAAGAAAGTAAAATCAACGACACAAAGCTAATAAAAACCCGTTGGATGAAAGTAGTACTATGATAAGCAGACCCGAGTAAGTATAATATAAGAAAATACTTTAGAAGGCGCGGGAGGGCTTGTAGGAAGAAGTGGCGGGCGAACGACGGGGCGATTTCTGATGATGATGATGATGATGATGAGATAAGGGTTTGTCGGAATTCTTCTAGCTCTTCGGACGTAAAATTGCCGTCCATAGGGTAATTTCTTATTATATGTCAAGAATTCTTTTTGTAGTTAGTTGAGGAGTATGGGGGGTTTTGGGTTCTGGATTTATCCATAGACTAGGTACTTAGTTGTATTGTGGAGGGTGATGGTGGAATGGTAAGTAGAGGAAAAGTACTTTCTGTTAGTGAAGACTTGATAGGAATTATACCATATTTATGCTTTATATCCTAAATACGCACCTCCTCTTATGAAACCCCCATAAGCAATTACTAAATATTTCAAATAAATAAAATGTTAAGAATGACAATAAACGATATTCCTCAATAAACAGACGATCAAATATCCCATCCCATTTGAAAACCCAAACCCGCGTTGTCCACCCAAAAAATACAACAAATACACCCTCCACGACAGGGATCCCGCCAACCAGAACCATAGAAACCTGTCTCAGGACGGGTATAACCGTCACGCCCGCCCGGCCCGTCCACTTCAAATCAAACATTTACATATGAAACCACATACCATGATGTCAGTGGCACAGATAGTCTGGGGGACGCTCTGGCACAGACTCAAAATATTAATCTTCATCTAGTTAAGTAGATATCCAAGATACTCTATCTAGATCACAATTTTTACGTACTAACTAAATAGCTAGCAGAAGAGAAAACTTGGTAAAAAGAAGGTATAAGCAAGGTATATGCCTGCGCCATAAATAAATCTAATTTTTATTCCTCAAAATATAGTAAAAGTAGGTATATAAACAACAGAAAAAAGCTTTACACTCACGAACCAACCCTTTCCCATCATTAATTCGTGAAAAAAAAGAGAAAAAAAGGGAAAAATCCGTAAAAGAGAGACCGAGCGGTAAAAAGGACTGAAGAATCTTGATAAAAAAACTGGATGGACGGACGGAAGGAATGGTAAAGAAATCCAGTCTAGCAGGCTAGCTAATAATAAACACAAACGGAAAGGAAAGAACCACAACGTTTGGCTTTTTTTTTTTTTTAAATTTCCCAATAACATTATCAATGAAGGGTAAGGTTGTCTGCGTGTATGTTGATGGTACAAAAGCCGTATACTGTAACAAGAGAAGGGCTTTGATAAAATAAAAAAAAAGGCATGAGAAACCAAGACTTCGGCTCATCGCTACCGCATGTCGTATTGGTATAATCAATATATCCACTTTAGGGATTTAAAAAAGGAGGCCGTCTGTAGCGCGCAATAACAGAAGAAAAAACATCTCGACAAGGGAGTATACAAGTAACCCGCGCGCTGAATAACTTATCAGAAAGTCAAAAAGGAAGGAAGCAGACAGAAATTCCTAAACCAGAAAAAGAAAAAGGGTCACAGTTGCAATCGAGTAAAATAGGGCTCCCTCATCAGCCCCACCACCCCCACTTCTTCTTTTCGGGTTGTAAATTCTCTTGCTTAGCAGAGCTAGGCGTAGTGGGCGAAGGACCCGGGCTACGAGACCTAGCGGCACTCAAGAATGCAAACCCGTCTTTCTCGGGAATCAATGAAATTGGCGAAAAGGTTGAAGAAGTGGCTGAAATCGGCGTTGTAGCACCGCTCTTTTGATTGGCATTGGTAGGAACGGCGTGCTTTCCGCCGGTTGGGGTGGCAGGGCTCAGTAATTGCTAATCACCTAGCGCCTTGCGAAGCTCATTCCAGCGGGTCTTGAGGAGTTCGTGGGCTTCCGTAATCTGTATGCATGTTAGTGTTAAGCCCTCAAAAGCGATTCTAAGGGAGGGAGATAAGACATACCTCTGCCAAACTCATCTTTGTTCCGACTAGCTCCATCTCCATCTCACGCATTTGGTCCTCCAATGATTGGTTCTCATTGTGAATCTCCAAATTCCTCTTCATAACCTTTTCCATCTCATCCTTCATCTTCAGCTCAACCTCCTTGGGTTGCTTGTCAACGACAACCTTCAATTCGTCAACTTCGATCTTCAAGCCTTCGTTCTCATCCAACAGTTGCGAGTTCTGCATCTTCTTGTGGACAAGATCGGTAGCAACGGCGACGTGTTCCTCAGTCAAGCTCTCGATCTCCTTGCTTAGCTGCTTGACCTTCGCATTGAGAAGGTTGTTCTGATTCTTCAAAGCTTCCTTCTCTAGCATTTCCTCCATCTCACGCTTATCCATCTCGACCCAGTCGACGGTGTACTTGTGCAACATTTCCGGTGTAACAACGATATCGCAGGCATCTCGAACTAACTCATTGGCTTTATAGATTTCCTTTTCACCCCCGTTTCCGAAGAACCCGGCTTCCTTCAAGCTGTTGGCACTTGGGTTCTTGTCGATATACGCGTCGAAGAGTTTCTCCCTCAAGAACGGCAGCAAGGCCTCCAAATTGTCTATCTGTCGAAGGGCAGCTTCATTCTTCTTCATCAAGGCGATACCGAACTTCAAAACAGCACCCTCGATACCCTCGGTGATGGCCAAATCGTACACTCGGAGAACAAGTTGAAGAGGGAACTTGTACGCAAACAATGTCAAGAACCATTGTGTTGCGTATAGGCTAGACTGTGCCTTCCTCCTGTTCAAGTGGACCGACAAGGCAGGACAAAGATCCTCGAGAAGACGATCGTACTGGTAGAGTCTGAGGTGCAGACCCTTCATTCCGGGTGTGAACATATCCCTGAGGGAGTAAGTTCTCATCAGCTCGACGAGGATACAGAAACCCTCTTCTTCGGTCATATTGAGAAGCAATGGAGCACCGAGGAAAGCCATGCCCTGGACGTAGCCGACTTCGGGATCGTAGATGGCATAAGCTTTCATGAGGCCCATGAGGCCTTCCTGACGGAATCCCTTATAGTTGGCAAAGCTGGTGCGTTGACCCATGTCCTTCTTGATCTCTTTCTCGAGCTGGGAAACGGTCTTGCAGTCAACAGGTGCAGGTGGTGTCGGATCACCGGGGACCATGGATGGGGGTCGGTGAATTGGAATGGTGGTCATGTGTGTTCCCGGGAGAGCGTTGAACTCGCGATAGACCGCCTCGATGGATTCAGTCTTGGAGCGAGCAATTGATTGCCAAACGGTTCCACGGATGGTGGCAGGAATTCCAGCTTGGACCTTTTCCGTGAGGAGATTTGAGGACTTGGCAGCGACAGCATAATAATCTTCGACGACCGAGGACCAGAATTCCCAGTCAATTTCATCTTCACCGATTGTTTCGCGACCGGTGCCAGAAGTACCCGGGCGGGATGGAGTACCCTCCGATTGATCGCCGACGGGGACATCGATGATGCTAGCTTCCTCGCCCTCCTTGATCCTTTGGAAGCTGATTCGGAGAGAATTGATGCCCTTGACGGCCTCCTCTTGGAGGTTGGCGTCGGCATGAGAGAGGTTGTCCTTTGTGGTTTCCATTCTTTGTTGAGTGAGATCCTGTCCGGACGGTTTTGCTAGGAATGTTTGGATGGTTGGAGCGTTGAGAGTTGGAAGGGAAGGGCCATTCTGTGTCGGTGTTGTGATGGAGGAAGCTGGAGTTGTTGCAGAAGATGTGGTGTTTCTCCTGCTGGAGAAGAAACCAGTTGTGGCTGTGGTTCCCGGAGGCGAGGTGGTCGAAGGAACGGAGCTAGTGCTTGACCGGGAAAGCCAGCTGAATGGACCTCGTCGGGGAGCAGGAGCAGGAGTTGCAGTAGCTGCAGCTGCAGCTGCAGCAGTAGCGGTGATGGTAGCGGTAGTAGTCGTGTCCTTGGCAGGGACGGGCGGTGGGTTTGACGAGGACGATGACGACCCCCACGGCAAAGAAAATTTAGAGACAACGGTAGGAGGAGGAGTGGGAGTTGACTTTGGAGGGCCGGATTGAGAAGAGACCGAAGAACGTGACTTTATGGAAGCCGTGCTGGCAGCGACGGCAACAGCAGCAACGGCGACAGTGGCTCCTCCAGCCAGGTCGATATCGTCCATAGAAGTGGTAGAGATGGCATTTGAAGGACGACGGTCAGGGTCGTCATCCTTGACGGCAGCTTGGATCGGAGAGCTCTTGGGAGAGATTTCACTGGATGCAGACGATTCCAGAACCGGTGCAGTGGATGAAGTATCGTCATCGTGCACGATGGATTTGACGGAAGGGGTAAGTTCACGCTTCATTTCAGTAGGTGATGCCGGCTCGGAAGCGGCAGGCGAGTGAAAAGAATCCTAGCAATGGGGTGAGAAATGTTAGTTTTTTTTACCAGGAGTGGGTTGATCATGACAGAGATGCAAGATGGATTTAAAGGAGAAGAAAGGTGGGATCGAGATGAGGTCTGACAGAGGGTCCACCGATGTATGTATGTATGGATGGATGTGTACTAGGACACACACACACACACACACACACACACACATAGAAGCATGTTTTGATGCACATGGCAGACGACCCCGACCTCGTTCGGGATTCGATCGACTGGTAAGGGAGAAGCTAGACAAACTTCGCAGAAGATATAATTGGAACAACGGCAACAGGAACAGGAATAGGAATAGGAGCAAGGTACATATACGGGTAGGGGAGAACAGGTACAGGTACAGGTACAGGAATAGGAAAAAGGAAGGAGCCGACCAACCGGCAGCCACGTTTTTTTTTTTAAAAAGAAGAAGAAGCAACTTACAATAGTGGTATCTTCATCTGAAGAAGCAGAAGAAGAAGAATCGTCGATATCGAGAGATTTTTCCGAGGTTGTCGTGTCGGTAACTTTAACTGACAGAGCAGGTTTCTCGGGAAGGTCGATTTCCTTGAGAGCCTCAACAACAACAGGCTTCTCAGGAGCAGGAGAAGGAAGGGGAGCGGTTTCAGCAGCCATGGTGTCTTCTCTCACACTCTCTCACTACTTTCTCACTTTTTTTCTCCGGGTTGTCGATGGGAGTAAGGAAGGGAGGGAGGTAGATTGAGAATATAATTTGATTCTTGATGGTGGATTGGATTGGATTGGATTGGATTGAATGGAGGTTGTTCTGGAGGGTTTAAATTACTCCTGACTGACTGACTGACTGACTGGCAGTGAGTGGCACTGACAGGTCGAAGCTGCAGTCAATGCAGCTGTGGTACTTTTTTTCGCGTGTTGTTTGCTGCACTAGCTCCACTGAATAAATAGCTTGCTTGAGAAAGTAAGTAACAGAAAAAGAGAAGAAGAAAAAGAATCAACTGGACGGGACACTTGTAATTATAATTGGAATTATAACTGTTACCATTATAATTACTTACTTAATCACAAGCACTGCAGTGTCTTGGAGAAGAAAAGAAAAGAGGGAGAAGAGATGGAAGATGTGAGATGGGAGATGGGAGAGAACTGATAAAGGAGAGAGAGTGGAAAAGAGAGAGAGAGACACTGAACCGACAGCTGGCGGAGAGAGACAAGACACACTCAGACCAACCAAGCTAAGCAAAGCAAAGCAAGTAAACTAACATCGATTGTGACCTCCACCAACAGACAGATGGAAAGAAAGATGGATAAGTTGAAAACCCAACAGTTTAACTGACCAACTAAACTGTTTCCGATCAAAGAAAGGGTGATATGGATGGAGAATGGAGAAAAGAATGGGGATCAAATACCTTCTTAGTGTAGAACCGTCGAGGTCTTTTTTTTCGAAAAGAAATGAAGGGGATCGAGAATATCCAGCTGCCAATTCCAATTCTTGACAGTTTTTTTTATTTTTTATTTTTTAGATATTAATATGTGTATATGTCTACATATACGATACGGATACAAGTAACAATCGGACGCAGGAGAAGAAAATTAGAATTTGGAGAAAGATGGTTCCAAATATTTATTATGTTTCCGGTTGATAATTAAAAAGGGGCTGCCCATTGGGTATTTGATGTCAAAATGTCAAAATGTCACGCTTTTTCTCCTGCCAATTTACCTGGAACAGCCCTCTTTGAACGATAATCCATCGATAGATCTTTCCTTTTTATTTCCCGGCATACCAATCAGGGGTTCTTTAGCCGTATATTATTTGACCATACGCATCGACCATTAACATTTGAAGTTTTTTGTATGATATACGATGATTGGTCACGGATCAGAGATGGTCTCTCGCTTCGTTTCAGATGGAACCTGCCTTTCCGCCCTACAAACGGCCGGTTGGGGGGAACATGTTTCACGATGGTCGAAATACCTTTGATACCAGCTGGTATTAGTATAAAATGTCCGCATGCAAGGAGGTTAGTGCAGGAACTCACGCTACTACCTACACGATATATAGTTAGCTAGTACATAGACGCCCGGCCCGGGAATGGGTATTTTTTTTTATTTTTAGGCACCCTGCAGTGCGTGGATACATTTGCATCGGAATGCACGTGATGAACCTCCTATATTCTTTGCTTTCTTTCTTTCTTTCTCGAAGGGAGGAATTGGTTCTAGACTGTATTAATATATTTCCCATGATGACGTATAGACTATATATAGAATACAGCATAGTACCAGTTAATAAGCAAGTCTGAATATAATATGTATCCTGTGTAGCTAATGGTAGTCTCGTCGGGTAGATAAAGGCGCTTATAATTAGAACTCTTTAAAGGTATTTCTATAATAGACTTCTTATATAGGCACTCACCGATAGGTAGTATATTGGTAGTATATAATATGGAGAGTGTGAGATGTGAGAGGTTCTTATCGATAAGCATACTCAAACCACAGCATCGATATTTACCATTCAATTCTTGTTATTAGTATTTTATTTTTATTATAATATTATAATAGCATTATCATCTACTGAATCTACAGCTGTGTATATAATATTTATCTACTATATATAAGATGTTGAAGTTGAAGTTGAAGTTGCAACTAGTAGCTAGTACCGGTATGGTCCTTAATATGTAGAGCTCCGCTTCACTTTTGTATCCGTCTAGAGAAATACCACGATCCTACTCGACAGTCAATACAAGCTTCCAGATCATATCATCCACTATATACCTAGTGTAGTGCCAGACAAGAGCTCTGAACCGAATACACAGTATATTAGTACTAAGTACTATGTAGAGTCACGGTAGGATCTGGAACGAGAATAGAAACAAACACTCTTTGACTAACATATCCTGCCTGATATGCTATGCTAACAGCCAACCAGCCAACCAACCAACGACAAAGCCTCTCGATATCCCTCTCTTTCTCCCACTCACATCAACCCCAACTTCATCCATCCACTCCGATCCACATCCACATCCATCCATCCATCCATCCATCCATCCATCCATCATCATCACCACTACTTCAACCCTCCAATCTACGTGAGTACTAAAACTAAACTACCCCACTCCTTTTTTTAAATTTTTATTTTTTTATTTATGGTTACAACCTCGCTGATACGATACGCGTAAATTCCTTACACCCTTGTATGGAATCATAGAAACCTTTTTTTTCCCCGCTAAATTTTCGAGCTCTCGAGCTTCCCTTGCAGTAGATTGCATCACACGAGGCTGCACCCTTCGCCGTGTTTCTCAATCTGCTCCTTCTCTCTCTCCTCTCCTCTATCCTCTTCTCTCTTCCCATTTCCCCTCTCTTTCTGACTAACCTTGAATTTACTAATCTACTTACTTAGCTTTAGCTTCAACCGTCATTCCTATCCTGCGATCATTCTTTTTTCTTTTTTTCTTCTCTTTCTTTCTGTTTCTATCCATCACCATCCTTCTTTTCGGTGTTTGGCTTCAAAGCTCGGGAAAACTGCACAATTCCTTAGCTTGAAATCCTGACATCATCACCATCACCACCACTCATAACCTCTCTCCATCAATAAAATTCGTCTCTCTGTACGCGGAGAAAGAAAAAGAAAGGAAAAAAGAATTCACAATCTTCAACAATTTCTCCTTCGAAACAAGCTGTGCTGGATATACACATCTTTTTGTTGGCGTGTCTGTCACCTGTTTACCCCTCCTAACCACTCCCTTTCCCTTCTACAATCTTATCGATTATTCAGCATCCACCGACCTCCTCGACACAGTACCGGTAAATCAACATACACACACACACTCCCTCTCTCTCTCCCAAGCCTTGCGGTATCAGCAAGGTGAGGTTCCAGTTGTCGAAGTTGGAGGGGATATAACCGTACATAGGTGTCACAACCCAAGCACGGACTTGGTTGTTTCACAAAAATGCGAATCAAAAAGACGCCCTCGCAAAAACACGAGCAGACGCTGGTACGACCTTCTACTCTTCCTAGATCTTGATTCGTAATCATTTGCTTTCCCGGTATTAGATGCTAATTCTGGAATTTTTCTGAGCTTCTAGTCGCCCTTCGTCCGCGATTTCTCGACGCGAGCGATCGAACTATGCGATAAAGAACGACGCGGGGAACTCTCGGAGTACCTCGCTTCATTCCCCTCCATATGGCCTTTCCCACGGGGTGATCTTTATCACTGGATTGCTCTGCTCAATCGCTTCGATGAGGTTCTCGAGGAACTCGTCACAAAATACAACCTGAAGGCCGGACCGCAGCTAATACCCTTCGAAGCTGGAGACGAAGCCCTCCTTATCGACATTATCGACTTCAGCCGTCTACTCATCGAAGAATGCGGTAATCGGAGTCTATACGCCAGTAGTAGTGTAAGATCATATATACATTCTCATCGCCAAAACCCCTCTAAATATGGCCAAGTTCAACTGACAGCTTGAAAAATAATAGTTCCTGAACGACCTTCTGAATACCACCTCACTATCACTCCTCGTTAGTGTTCTCCGTCTTGGTCAGAAGCTCGCCCAACGATATCACAGCTCTAGATCGCGTACCGGAGCTTTATCTACTGCCGCCAACAATGCTCTCCTCACGAATCATTACAATATCAGCCTCGACAAGGTCACAAAAATCGCATCCGGGTTCGTAGGCAGTGCTCCTCCAACAACCACCTCTTCCACCACTACTACCACCACCACCACAACCACACAGCCGACGTCTACGCCTGCCAAGACTTCCCTCAAACCTCTCGTCGTCGCGAATGATCTGCACAAATTGGCCACAGACACCTCGGAGCCTGGCGTTTCCGTCGGAAAGGGCAAGAAACCAGCTCCCAAAGATGGTTCCTCTTCCGATTCATGGGCCGTCTATGGTTCTGTTACCTTCACCTACTACGTCCATCCCACACCCCCGCCAAAACCACCAACCCTTGAGAAAGGCAAAACACCAACTCAAACCCCTCGTAAGGCTAGCGGTTTGAGCAAGGAGCACAGCGCTACCAAGGCCGAGTTGTCTTTCGAAGAGGCGATTGCAGGTGTTGGCGAATCGAAACCTACTCCTACCGGTGTTCAGACTCTTGACATCCCCGCCTCGGTTATCCAATCCACGAGCATTATCGATATCCTAACAACCGAGCTCCCAAAGATCCCAACTGAATACCATTACGAGCTACTACAACGTATTCGCGTCGCCAAAGCTTTCTCGGAATCGGCCGAGGCGAGACGACTAATCCTGGGTATTCGTATTCTTGCGGTCACGAATTTGGCATATGTTCTCAGCGAGAGTAATTTCCAGTCCCGAGTTCTAGGACCCGACAACGATGAACCTCGACGATTTCAGCTTGTCTTCCAACTAGCCGACTTGGTCTCTCCTAACCGTGGAAGAAATGTCGAGAAGTGGCTGCAAACGTTCGCTTTCTCAGGGTTGGAGGCTTTGGCCAAGTGTAAAACAAGAAATGCAGACGTCAATGTTGCCCTGGGCCTCAATGTCAGCCACGGTATCCTCCTGACTCTCCTACGAAAAGCTATCACCGAACTCGGCGACGAAGAGAAAGGAAACGATCTCAAATCCAATCGGGAAGACGAGGAATGGCGCAAATCGCTTTTCGACCTAACTAGTAGCCTACCTAGTCAGCAAGTATCCGGAGGTCTCCTCGTTGGCGCTGGACTTATCAACTGCCTCGTTTCGGTCTTAAACCTACGAACCTACAAAGGCATCCCTTACATTCCGAAGGCCTTGCAGTTTCTCGATGGTCTTGTCTACGGGATTCCACCAGCGTTTGGAAACTTTGCAAATGCCAACGGTTTGGATGCTATGGTAGAATTGGTTAGTTGGCAAGTCACGACCGCACTCGTTGAGTCCAAAGTTCCAGGCGGATCCTTCCCGGAAGTTTATAGGTCCCCGTCTACCGATTTTGAAACCGGATGGTATCACGCGTATATTCTTAAGATGGCGTTCAAATTCACCCACCACATGCTAAGTCAAACCGGAAACACCTCTGAGCGTCTGCTTCGAAACTTGATAGATTCACCAAAGCTCTTGGAGGCATTGAAGTCGGTCATCGCGAATGGAAAGATGTTTGGAAGCTCTGTTTGGTCTTCTGCTGTTAACATCCTGACGACTTTTATTCACAACGAGCCTACTAGCTATCCGATAATTCACGAGGCTAGGCTTAGCCATTGCTTATTTGCTGCGGTTACCGGACGACCTATCGAACAATTCTTGGAGGAGACCGCTGCTGCTGCTGCATCACCCACACTTGAACGCGCCCCGACAACCGAAGGCGAGGAAGCTGGGAACTCCCAAGATACGCAAATAATCGATGCGGATCAACTGGAGGCGACCTCTCAGACCGCCACCACGGGTGAACCGGCAATAGTCGCAGCGTCCGCTTCAGATAGTCAGCAGACGGAAAAGCCCGCAGTTAGTCTGTTAGTCGAGAATCCAGCCGCCACGATCCTACCGGCCCTCGACGTCATGAATACTATTCCTTTGGCTTTCGGTGCTATCTGTCTCAACAACTCCGGTCTCAGCCTCTTCAAATCTTCTGATGCGTTGGAGAAATTCTTTGAGATCTTTGAGAGCGCTGAGCACGTCAAGTGTATGTCCGACTCCGATATTTCAACTGCGCTTGGTAGCCAGTTTGATGAATTAATCCGACATCACCCATCTTTGAAAGAGGATATAATGAAGGTCATTGTCAAGATGGTGGGGAAGATCATCGAACTTGGTCACCGATTTGCGGCAAAGGAAGGTGCTGGCGCTAAGGTTTTCATTGAAGAGAATGGCGAGTACGTGGTATCCGGAGGCCGACGAGCTCTTAATGGTGTCCACAGGAAATCTGTCAATGTTCCCGTCACAAATACCGATGATAGTGATTCGGATGAGAGCGACGTTGAAATGGGCGAAGATGACGATACTCCTCCCCGTACGAGGAACACGGAACCGGAACCACCCACGACCACGGAGGAACCTGCACAACCCGCTGTAGTTGAAGAGCCTGTCGATGATTTGCCTATTGAGAAGGTCTTGATGTCCGAACTGAAGGAGGAGGAAGATTCTGATGTTCAGTATCCGGAAATCTCAATCTCGATGTATATTGATGTCATGTCCCGTTTCCTTGAAGGGTTCCTATCTCATCAGTCCCACACTCGTGACTTTGTCAAGCGGGGCGGGTTCGACAAATTAATTGCCATCTACTTCTTGCCGTCTCTTCCCTTCGATTTCGCATCTCGAGCAGTTTCTCTCGCTATGACAAGGGTCATGCACCTTTGTGGTGAGGCTTCACCTGGAACTACCATTCCAACTTTGCTTGGTAACACTGAGAAGGCGATCAAAGATCTTGAACCTCTATTGAAGCATGAATCTAAGGAGGCGTTCTTCCGACCTCTCACATCGCCTCAGACTGGCGATTCGGAGGCTTCTGGAAAACAACCCCTTGATGAAGCTGCAGAACTTGTCAAGACAAAGGGAACCGATCTTATCAAGGATCTTGTTACAGCGCATGCTCTCACCACTCTTCTCTCGGAGCTTTATTCCCAAACCTTATACAACAGCCGAACCACAAGCCAATTATTCCAGCCTGTTGCTCAACGCACATATTACGAAACCCTCGTCCCAAGTTTGGGTGCTTTGCACCGAGCTTGTGTTTGGGAAGAAATCCTTCTCCAAAGGAATCTTCCGGATACTTGGAAGGAAGCTACGAAGTTTAAGGATGGACTCGGATTCAGCCCGGATGATGACCTCATCGGACCTGACGGCCAGGAGTTACCGCAAAAGACCGCTCAAGAGAAACGAGATGAGAAGGAAGCGGCTAAGAAGGCTGTCAGCGAAAGTGAGGGCAAAACCCCGTGGTTTCAAAACGTGAAGACTATTCGATTTTTGATAAGTCAGATCCCGAGCAGCATTACGCCATTCTTTCAAGGTATGTTCCTTTTTTTTCTCATTCTTTCTTTCTTTTTTTTTGCGAATATGAGGGAGAAATCTAATAACGATAATACAGGACTTGCGAGAGTTTTGGTCACTAGACGTGGCTCGGATCCGACTCACAAGAAGCACGCCTTCAAAATTGCGGATAGCATCTCCGACGTCATGTTTCAGCATTTGACTTGGAAACGAGTTGGTAAGTTAGCCTACTTTTCTTGAGGTGGAGGTTGAGCAACAAGACTAATTAAATTCCGTAGAACTATGGGATTCTGTCACGGATCGATACAGCTACTTGATAATTGTCTTGTCTGCTATCTCTTCGCTTTTGCTAGAGGGTGGTGATCGAAACGGTGGCTCACAAGTTATTTGCATTATTTTGATTACATTCAAGCAGAACGAGGGTCTAAAGACAGTTGCCGACATCCTAGAGACTTTCTGGAAAGACGTTCAGGAGATTGCTGTGGATACTTCCGACGCGAGCTCACGCAACAGGCTAGCTCACTGCTTCGGTGGCATCAAAGTCATCCTTTCACTCTTCTCCCAGCTTGTCAACTCCAAGGCTCTCCTCGAGTCCCCACAAACCGGCCACCTCCACTATTCGCGAGAAAGAGATAGGGATCGACCGGATTACTTCAACGCTCACCAGTTTTTGGTTGAGTTGAGGTACTTGATACTCCCTGTCGTTGAAGCTATGTGGAACTCGCCGTCAGTTGAGAAGGTGTTCCCGACTATCGTCAAAGCCGTCGTAGAAATTCTTGGTACAGTTCTCAAAGCCGAGGGCGAGAGCGGTGCTTTCCAAAGACGCGATAAGGGCAAACATCCAACCATGATTTCTTGGAGATCCTTCGAACCGAATCAAGATCATATTCAGCAACTTAGGGATATGGGCTTCAGCCTCGAGGCCTCACTTCATGCTCTACGCCGTTCGCACAATAACGTTCAGTCTGCGACAGACTATCTTATCAACCACCCCGAGGAAGCTGGTAGGGCCGGCGCTTCGGGCTTGAGAAGACGTGCTAGTGACGACGATTCTAGCTCAGATTCCGAGGCTGATACGGATGTTGATGGGCCGACAGAAGATCCTCCTACTGCCGGACAGGGCCGAGCCGCCGGTGAGAGTGCCACTGCCAGCGCTGCAGCTCCCGCAGCTCCTGTAGAAACTTCTGCTACTCAGTCTGACCCAAGCGTTCCGGTGGTACCTGTACTAACTGGGAATGAAACCGCGTTTGGAGAACACCTGAATACGACCGCGGGCGCAACCACACTCCCTGTTGCTAGCACAAGCGGCTCAGCAGCTCCAGCTCAGAGTTTACCACCAGTTACCATTCCCGTTGTTCCGCAACCGTTGCCAACGCAAACTTCTACTGGCGAAACCTCCACGTCGGCGGCTCCACCAGCTAGCACTACCCCCGCTAGAACTTCTTTGGCCGAGTTGTTGAATCCCGCGCCACTTACAGGTGATGACCAGGATGGCGGATTGATGGCGATGAATATTGATGATCTTCCTGTTGCCGTTCCTATCGTTGCACCTCAAGGTGAATCTTCCGCAGCGTCTGGATTTTCCGGCCCTCCAGCACCACCCGCACCACCTTTGCCTTCGGCTGATGATAAGGGAAAAGCTAAAGAGGAGGAAGAATCCTCTCAATTTGTCGTGACAATTGAAGACCTCGAGGAGAAGAGACAGGTTATCAGTGGAGGCCTTGTCGACCGTGCTCTTGAGATCCTTACGATGCAACATGAAGTTACTTTTGAGCTCGCCCATCTTGTTACCAATGCTTATACGAAGGGCACAGAGGATCTCAGGAGAGAGGCTGTCACAACGATCTTCCAGTCTCTCATGTCGCTTCAGCTTGACGACGATATCCGCCCACAAGGCAAGACCATCGCTGCTGTTGCGCACTTCCTAGGTCTGGTCCTCCAGAACTCGACTTTCTTCAATGCTGGCTTAGAAGAGTATAAGGATCAACTTCCAATTGTCACTTCATACATCAAAATCTACCAGAACGAGCCGTGCCCGTGGATTGGAAGAATTCTCTTAGTACTCGAGAAGTTTTTGATTGAGTCTTCGCAACCGCAACAAATTGATTTCGTGCCACCAGATTCTGACGAAGGGTCTCAACGGCCGCCGATTCAACCAGGCTTCGTTGTGCCGCTCGATCAACAGCTTTCAATCTTCAATTCGATTATGAGTGCTGTTCCCTGTGTTGGAAAAGATGAGGCTACCGCGCTTGCAATCGTTCGACTTTTGGTGCTTTTGACCAGGAAACGAGAAATTGCGCTGAAGATGGGAGAATACCAGAACATCAACCGACTATTCCACATGTTCAAGGGTATGGCCGGTAGCGACACATCCAAGATCCGAAGTTGCATCATGCTTATCGTCCGCCACATCATCGAAGACGACGAAACGGTCAAGACGTTTATGGCAAGCGAAATCAAGACCTTCTTCAAGAATCGGGGTCAAAGGGGTAGTAGACATATTGATCCTTCGACTTTCTGTCGACAGTGCTCGCATTTGGTGCTCAGGAATCCGGAGGTGTTTGTGGAGGCTACGAATGAGCTTTGCAAGTTGTTGAATTATCAGCCAAGTGTGAGACATCAGCAGATTGTGTTGAAGGAGCTGGACGGAAAAGATGAGAAGAAGGATGCTGATGAGGAACAGAAGGCTGAAGGTGAAGAATCAGAGGCAGGGCCTTCGGGAACCACATCTACTGGACCCTCCGAAGATACTGAGAAGGGCAAAGAAGTCGATAAGGGTAAAGCAAATGCCGACGTCCCCATTCCAGAGAAGCCGAAGGCAGTTACCGAATTGAAACCGCCAGGTGTGGAGAAACCGGATGGGGTTGTCCATTATTTGCTTTGCGAGCTTTTGGCAATCAAGGACGCAGATCTCAACGAGGGTGTTGCTCCTACGACTACTACAGACGAGAAACCTGCAGCCGCAAGTGCTACCGAGGCCAAGACAGAGACCGGTGGTGATGTTGAGATGACCACTGAGGAGAATACTTCATCGACACCTGGCGCCCCTGCTACACCATCCGACAAACCAGCGAAGAGTGAGAAGGTGGAGTTCAATGGAGCAGATCATCCAAGTTATCTGTATAGGTGTTTCCTATTACAAGCCCTTACGGAGATTTTGGCGTCCTACAACCGCAGCAAGCTCGAATTTATCAATTTCTCACGAAGAGCCAATGCCCGAGATCCGATCACGCCTTCGAAACCGCGCACAGGAATCTTGAACTACCTCCTTACAGATTTGATTCCTGTTGGAACTCTTTCTCAGCCTGACGATACCGTATTCAAGAAGAGGACTATGACTTCCAACTGGGCAATTTCAGTGGTCGTTTCTTTGTGTGCTCATACTGGCGAGACAGCGAATGTGGATGAAGAGCCGGATTTGATATTTGTCCGTAAACACGTTCTTGACGCTTCGATCAAAGCATTCAAGGATGCCGGTGCTTCTTCTGAACACCTAGATGCCAAGTACGCACGAATGCTCAATCTCTCTGACCTCCTTTATCGAATGTTGGCATCCCGACCGAATGCCTCGCAGAACAACCACCTCCTCGAGAAGTCGCAGAAGCAACTTGCCAAATTTATGTTTGAGAAGAATTTTGTGAACGCGTTGACGAATTCGTTGAGCGAGATCGATCTCAACTTCCCAAGTGCACGTAGGGTGATTAAGTACATCTTGCGACCTCTAAAGCTACTTTCGAAAACTGCGTTGGATCTTGGAGAGGAGGATATCAACATTTTGGGAGCGGAGCAACAATACCTTGGCGGAGATGACGAACTTTCTTCCATGGAGAGCCTGAGCGACGATGATGGTGTCGATGATACTAGGGAGGAAACTCCTAATTTGTTCCAAAATTCGGCATTGGGTATGTTGGAAGGTGGAGAAATGGAAGACGAGGAAGATGAATATGGGGACGAAGACGATGAAATGTACCTTGATGATATGGAGGAGTATGAGGGGGAAGAGGAGGATAGTCAAGCTAGTGATGATGAAGATTTGCTCGATGAGGAAGGAGTTAGGGAACGTATGGAAGTAAGTGCTCATTACGGCGTGAATTGTCTTGTTGGGGTGAGCTTTTGTAATGCTAACGCTTCTATTTTTTTTTTACAGATGGAAATTGTCGTTGATGAAGGCCATGCATCAGATAGCGAGGATGAAGATGAAGACATGGACGATGACGATGATGAGGATGACGACGACGATGACATTGGTGATGACGAGCTCGCCCATGAGGTACAACGCGCAATCGAGTACCAAGATGAAGACGATTGGGAAGCTAGCGACAATGGTGATGCCGATGGTCTTGTGGGAGTGTTACAGCAGGATCAAGATGGACTCCTCGACCACGTTAATCGTGTCATTGCCGGTGATGGCGATCTTGCTGAGGAAATGATGGAGGATCGCGAAGAAGGGTTTATTGAGGATCCAGAAGAAGATGATGAAGACGAAGAAGAAGAGGAGGAATTAGATGAAGACGATGCTGTTGCACAGGATGAAGAAGGGGAAGATGATGAGGACGAAATGGGTATTCCCTGGGAGTGGACAGATGATTATGGAGATGCGCCTTTGATGACTCGGGCTAGACATCCGAATCCACAGGGGAATGGGTGGTATACACTTGGTGGCACTTCTCGAGATATTATTCGTAAGTTTACAACGGTTGATAAGCCCTTTTTTTTATATATGTTTTCAGGATTTACTGATTGGAAGTTAATGGGCTAGTCACCGGAGGCGGAGGCCGACCGACTGAAGAAAACATGCAAAATCCACTTCTCCAGCCGGCTGCTCACACCGCACATCCTCGAACGGCTCTTCATCGTCACGGACATGGTGGTGAATGGATTAATGCCTTTGACCCATTTGACGCCCCCGCTATTGGTGGTCCAGGTGCTGTTTCTTGGCTGACATCGCTCATGAATCTTGTTGGTCGCGCGCAGAACTTACCAGCTACTATGGCCGCCGGTGGTGGTACTTTGCAGTTCCATATTCAAGCCGGACCAGGTTCCGGTGGTATGTTCCCACCTGAGATCGAGGCGTTGCTTAATATTCGACGACCGGGACATCAGGATCCGAGATCACGCGAGCAACGAGCAGATCCTCTTAGTGCGGTTGCATTTACGCCTTATTCTACGATTCAACGATGGCTTGATGAAATGAGACTTGGATGGGGTGCTGGAGGTCAGGACATTGCCGGACGAGTTATTAATTCGGTTTTGAGCCAGCTTGTGCCGCCTGCTATTGAGGAAGAAAGACTACGAAAAGAAAAGGAAGAACAGAAGAGGAAAGAAGAGGAGGATGCTAGGAAGAGAAAGGAAGAAGAAGCTAGGATTGCGAGAGAAAAGGCTGAAGAGGAAGAGAGGTTACGAAAGGAAGAAGAAGAGAGGAAACGTAAAGAGGAAGAGGAGGCTAAGGCCGCTGAAGAGGCTGCAAGAGCTGCTGAAGCTGCTGCTGAAGCCGCCGCCGCCGCCGCTGCAGCTGCAGCTTCGAGTGCCAATGCTCAGGGTTCCGCCGACGGTGGAGCTATGGAGGGTGTCGAGTCTTCGCAAGCACAAGAGCCTGGATCTTCGGAGGCAGGACCGTCAGAACAACCACCACAGAGGGCCGTTACTTATATCCGTGGCCGCGAGGTTGATATTACTGGAATGGGCATCGACCCTGAATTCTTGGAGGCACTGCCGGAAGAAGTCCGAGAGGAAGTTCTTACTAATCACATCCGGGAGCAACAGCAGGCATCGAACACAGGAGACCAGACCAATGAGATTAGCCCAGAATTCTTGGATGCTTTACCTGAAGATATCCGACAAGAAATCATTCAACAGCAACAGGCTGAGCAGCGACGACGAGAACGGGAAACTCAGAGAGCCGGTACAGGACAAATACGCGGTCCCGCTGATATAGATGTCGCAAGTTTCTTGGCTACTCTCGATCCTTCTTTACGTCAGGAAGTCATCATGGAGCAAAACGACGAGATGCTTGCTCACTTCCCAGAGAATATTGTAGCCGAGGCGAATGCACTACGAGACAGATCTCGGATCCAGCAACTCGGAGATATCACTCGAGTTGTGCGTTCCCGACCCGAAGAGGTTCAGCCGCGACTTATTCCCGAAAAGAAGGTTCGCAAGCAGACGCCGCAGATGCTTGATAAGGCTGGGGTTGCTACTTTGCTACGGCTCATGTTTATTCCGCAACAAGGAAGTACCAAACTATCGCTTCATGAGATCCTCGTCAACATTTGCGAGAACAAGGTTACTCGAAACGAAGTTTTGGGATTGCTTTTGTCAATCTTGCAAGACGGAAGTACCGATATGAACGCCGTCGAAAGAAGTTTTGCGCAGTTATCGCTCAGGGCCAAACAGATTAATTCATCATCATCCACCAAGACGCCACAGTCGGCACTTAAGAAGGCACCGACGATTCCTCTACCGCAGACGAATAGTGAAATGTCGCCGTTGATGGTTGCGCAACAGTGTCTTGGTGCCATTACATCTCTTGTTAACTACAATGACCATATCAGCGGGTTCTTTTTGAATGAACATGATATCCAGACGGGACTCAAGAGGTCTGTTAGTCGGAAGGGTAAAGGCAAGGAGAACCAACAGAGCAAGGCGAATCGATATCCCTTAAACGCTATGCTTGCACTTTTGGAACGACCATTGATGACGGAGAGTTCAGGGTGTATGGAACAGCTTGCTACATTGCTCAGTGAGATCACTAGACCGCTTTTGTTGTTGTTGAAGAAGGAGAAGAAGAAGTTGGAAGATAAGAAGGCTGAGGATGAAGAAAAGAAGACTTCTGAAGAGCAACCACAGGAGGGACAACAGACTGAAGGTGGTGAAGGGGCTGCTGTAGCTACAGCTACAGCTACGGCTACTTCGAATACCACAACGACTTCGGAGGGTCAGGCTCCACAACCTACTGCCCAGGTAGCCACGACTACACAACAACCAACTCAACCGGCTCAACCGGCTCCAGAGGTTCAAGTTACTTCCCCCGACGGACCATCGGCTACTGCTGGCGCTTCTACTTCTGCTGAGCAAGCTACTGAGGAATCGAAGGACAAACCTAAAGACGAAACCAAGCCTGTTCCTGGGAGGAAGAGAGGCGGCTTGATAGCCCCCGTTGTTCCAGATCATAACCTTTGCCTTGTCGTTGGCATAATCACAAGTCGGGAGTGCACTAGCAAGACCTTCCGGGAAACTTTGAGCACCATGATCAATTTGTCTGCTATCCCCGGTGCTAAGGAAATCTTTGGAGCTGAGTTGATTCGACAGGCCCAGATCCTTGGTGGTACTATCTTGGAATCCCTCGTAGAGCTTGCTTATAATCTCAAAAAGTCAGAGAGCGGGACCGAAATTGAGGGACTTGCCAATTTCTCACAGGGTAGTTCTGATCAAGCCAAGTTGTTGAGGACTTTGACAGCTCTTGATTACCTCTTCGACGCTAGTAAGAAGAAGAAGGAGGAACAGCGACAAGAAGGAGAGAACGCTGAAGCCTCTGAGGCTCCCAAGACTGATGATTCCCGTCCTACGGATGCGGAAATTTTGGGACGACTATACGAAAATCTGTCTTTCGGTCCACTTTGGTCCTGTCTCAGCGATTGTTTGGCTGTCATCCACGACCGAGAGGATATGCTCCACGTTGCCACTATTTTGCTTCCACTTATTGAGTCTCTGATGGTTGTGTGCAAGAACAGCGGAGTCAGCACGAAGCGCTCCGCTGGAGGACAATCTCAGCCACTTTCTGCGGTTTCCGAATCGAGTATGCAATCTCTCTTCTTTACTTTCACCGAGGCCCACCGCAAGATCCTCAACCAAATGGTTCGCAACAACCCTAAACTTATGAGCGGATCATTTTCTTTGTTGGTTCACAACCCCAAGGTTCTCGACTTTGACAACAAGCGGAATTACTTCAACCGACGACTTCATACGCGCGTTCCAGGTCGGGATTCAAGTCTTAACTATGGACCTTTGCAACTCAACGTCCGACGTGACCAGGTCTTTATGGATTCGTACCGATCAATGCATTACAAGCGTGGAGATGAGATCAAATACTCCAAACTCAATATCCGATTCCAAGGCGAAGAAGGTGTTGATGCCGGTGGTGTTACGAGAGAATGGTTCCAAGTTCTCGCACGACAAATGTTTAACCCTGGCTATGCGCTCTTCTTGCCTGTCGCCTCCGACCGCACGACATTCCATCCCAACCGTATGAGTAGTGTCAATTCCGAACATTTGAGCTTCTTCAAGTTCATCGGCCGTATTATTGGAAAAGCACTCTACGAAGGTCGCGTTCTCGACTGCCATTTCAGCAGAGCCATGTACAAGCGTATTTTAGGGCAAAATGTCAGCCTCAAGGATATGGAAAACTTGGACTTGGAATACTATAAATCTCTACAATGGATGCTTAAGAACACCATTGAAGATGTTCTCTTGCTGAGCTTTAGCGTTGATACAGACGACTTTGGTGTTGAAAGGGTGTTAGATTTGGTCCCCAATGGATCTAATATCCCAGTCACGGATGAGAATAAGGAAGACTATGTGAAGAAGGTGACGCAGTTTAGGCTCGTGGGCAGTGTGAAGGAGCAGATGGATCATTTCTTGCAAGGTTTCCATGATATCGTTCCTGCGGAGTTGATTGCTATCTTCAATGAACAGGAGCTTGAATTGTTGATTTCGGGTCTGCCGGATATCGATGTTGATGATTGGAGGAACAATACTGAGTACGTATTTGGCTCTATTGCAAAGGGTTTTTATAAGTGAGGATTGCTAACTTGAGTGATTTTTAGGTATCAAAATTATACTGCCTCGTCGCCACAGGTGCAGTGGTTCTGGCGAGCAGTTCGATCTTTCGATAAAGAAGAGCGAGCCAAACTTCTTCAATTTGTCACTGGTACTTCTAAGGTTCCTCTCAATGGGTTCAAGGAGCTTGAGGGTATGAATGGGTACTCTAAGTTCAATATTCACCGGGATTATGGCAATAAAGACCGGTTGCCAAGCAGTCATACTTGCTTCAATCGTAAGTTTTTTGTTCCTTATTCGATTGATTTTTGGTATTGGATCTCCTAACTAACTTGATCGCTCGTAGAAATTGATCTTCCTGAGTATGAAACATACGAACACCTCCGCAAGAACTTGCTTACAGCCATTACAGCTGGTGCGGAGTATTTCGGCTTTGCCTAAGGAAACCTATTGTCATTACTTTTTTTATCCGTTCTTGTTCTTTTCTGGTTTTAATATTCTTCATGAATTCATGAAAACTCATGTGCTGTTCGCTTTTCTTATCCTTTTCCTCTCTTTTCCTTCTCTTAGTGTTACAGCATTAACTTAGGGGTATTAAACAAAATGGTCTTTTTTTATCTGTTTTTACTTTTCACTTTTTTTCTTCTTTACGGTTATTGTTTTTTTTCTCTCTTCTCCTTTTTCCGCTGATGTTTTGCATACCCTTCTTTTTTTTGTAATCTTCATGGATGGGATAGATATCATTACTTTCCTATGTCCTGTTTTATCGTTTTCTTTTCTTTTTTAATTTTTACCTTGAGCATGCAGTGGATAGAAGGAATAAGGAAAATAAACAGGGGAGAAAGAGAAACAAGTGGTTTTTTCCCCTTGAGGAGGAGGACTGGAGGATGTGCAGATCTTCTAGGACGAGAACTGGGGAATGCTTGTGGATTCTTTCCTTCTTCTTTTTTTCTTTCCTTTTTGTCTTTTTTTTTATGTGTAGTTAGGAGGGTGGTGAGAATAGGAACTTCTATCTTTTATTTATATTTCCATGGTTGATGTGACATATCGACTTGATCCATCCGATAAGTCCCAACTTGACATCACGGCTCTTAATTTAAGGACAACACATGTTTACAACACACTATTTCGTGTTGGATTTCCCGTTCTAGTATTTTCCCAAAAAGTTTTGGGTCGATCTTTTGGATTGAGATGTTGAAATCTTTGAAATCCGCGTCATCTCCTTCTCTTGAGTTTAGGATTGACTTGTATATAAACACGATTCTAGGTCATTTAGTAATTTAAAGAGATAATCTTATTAGCTACGGCTATGTTTATTTAATCATACTTTATGTCACTTGTGAGTTTACTGTTTTACAGGTTACGGCTATGTGTTCTCGTTCAAGATCTCTCTCTCTCTCCCCCTCTCTCTTTAGATTTTTTATGTTCAGGGTTATGTATATAAGCCGATGTATGTACAAACTTTTGAAAAACACTTTCTTGTCTATAGATCTCTTAACCCATAAAATAGGAATTTCAAGGCGTTTAGCGCATAGCCGGTGTTAGAAATCTCGTCCGTCCCTTGACAACGAGCCACGGATCCATACACATATCCGTCCGCATTAATTAAATCCAAATTCAAATTCAAGATTGAATTATTGCATAATATATATCAAGTGGCGAAGGGATTTGACCGTAGTAACAGTGGATGGGAAGATCTAGACCCGGATTTGCAGTTAAGGTGGATCCATGGTAAACGTTAACGTCCTTGTGAATTAAGCCTAAACACTTGATCTGCGGCCCGTAAGCCTAAATAAGTCTTACGAGTTTAGCGGAACTATTGGTTCAAATTAAAAAAATTTAGTAAAATATTTAAGAAAGCTGCTGTAGGAGTTGCCTAAATATCTTGGAAATTTTGTGCTTATCGCTATGGGTTTTTGCTCGTTTTGTAGATAGAATGAAGTGTCCAAATTTTGGATGTGTTAATTACGCGTCGCCGGTTAATTATCATAATATTTCTTAAGGTGTGTTTTATGCTTGCTCTTAAAGCGAGAATAAATATTCCGTCTACGGTTTAGAATTTCCCCCAATAGAACTGGTAGGTTGGGATCATAAAGTTATTATATGGTCAAAAATACTCTGGTGTTTGTAAATGCCTCGAACATGGGGCTTGTCCGCTAAGATACTGTGGATATTAGTACTTTTTGTGTTATATATAAGGTTGAACATTTCCACCTTGTGAACAGAAGAACTTTAAGCAAGGACCATCCGATATTCTCACTGCTACAAGGTCAATTTATCAATTCACTCGGCAAACGGCATTACCTAACCACGATGTACAATTTGAAATTTCTTTCTATTCTACTCGCGTCTCTGGTGCCTGTAGTTTCAGCAGTAGCAAGAACTTCGGCTCCAGCAGGATGTCTGATTGTAGGATCAGGTGGTTATGCAACAATCAATGCTGCCCTGACAGCGCTAGGTTCCGGCACCGCTACAGCGTGTATCTTCATCAAACCCGGAACATATAACGAGCAACTATATATCCAGTATAAGGGTCCGCTGACTCTTTATGGATATACGACCGATACTGGTTATTACCAAAATAACCAAGTATTTGTCACTAATACCTTGAGCTCACCGGCCGCTGGTGGGCTAGACGCGAGCTCTACGTTGAAGGTTACTTCTAATGATTTTAAGGCTTATAATATTGATTTCACCAATGGGTATGGATATGGAGCGCAGGCTGTGGCTGTGACTGCTACTGGTTTGAGACAGGGGTTTTATGCGTGTTCTTTTGTGGGGTATCAAGATACTTTGTATGCGAAGGCTGGGGTGCAATATTATTCTAATTGTAGGATTGAAGGTATATATCTCAAAACCACTTACTTTTCGCCAGTTCCGATGGGGTTTTAAATTAGTTTGGCTGAGGGGTGTGATTTTCTAACGATATATATATATATATACTTGCGCGTTTATAGGTGCGGTCGATTATGTCTTTGGAGATGCTTCCGCGTGGTTTGGAGAATGTACGCTTGTTCAAGCGGGAGGTGGTGCTATTACCGCTAGCTCCCGAGAAACTTCCTCCGATCCGGCATGGTATGCCTTCGATCATTGCAAAATCGTTGGTAAGAGTGGAGTTACTTTGACCAATAACGGTTACTTGGGTCGACCTTGGAGGGTTCTTGCTAGAGTTATCTTTCAGTATTCTACTCTTCCTGGGTTCATTAATCCGGCTGGATGGACTACACTTGCTGCGGGTGCTACGCCGTAAGTATTATTCACATTGTCTTTTGGGGGGGATCGACTCGCGGTTTTTTATTATTATTATTATTTATGGAGGCTAAAGGATACTTCCTGGTTTAGATTATTTTATGAGTATGGAAATACTGGAGCCGGCGCTGGAACATCAAGTCGCCAGTATTTATCTTCAATCGCCGCAGCAGTGACTAAGACGACGGTTTTGGGATCTGACTGGAAGAGTTGGACAGATAACACTTACTAGTTCACATAGCTGTGGGGATTGTGATGGAGAACTGTTTTATTTCGGTTCAATGCCTATCTTATGTTTCGCCTGCCTAGGCTTGGGGATTGGGTTTTGTCATGTAATGTACTTACATGTCCTTGGGCAATTTGATGTTTGAGTAGCTATGTAGTTAATTACTTAATTAAATGTATCTTGTAATTCTGCTTCTGAACTTATGTGTGTGCTCTTGTATGCTCGGTATTGTCAAATGCCTGCGAATGTATTCCAGATTTATATGGGGCATGTCTCGGAGTTTGAGCTGGGTTTGTGAGACCATGTATCTATAAAAAACTAAAGCGGGTTTGATTCACAGGTTATTTAGATTAAAGGACGGTGTTTATCGATCTTTTCGCACTGAATACCTTTTTTTTTTTAAGAAAATTCAAGCTGCGAGATATAGTTTCGCTCTCGTAATATGCCAATTTCTAATTGTAAATCTTCCGCTCCTTTCAAACAATGAGTTTGCATGTTAGTATTTGTTTTTAGTGGCATGATACTATTTTTCATGATCGATCACATTCTGAGGAAAATATTTATGTTCGAAGATTCGTGCAACCTCGTGGCGTTGGGTGCTGTCACCTGTATGTCGACGTGCTCCATTTCGATCTTGGCCATCCATCTTCACCTCATTTATTGATGGAATTTCTCGCCCCGGGAAGATCCTATTATCAATAGTTTGTGCAGATGCACAGAAAGTTGAGCCTGCTTTCCCTTCTAACGGTATAGCTCAACCCTTATGATCTCATTCGTACGGTTTCTTCGAGATTTTTCGGCTTAATTCCAACCAACCAAGAAGAGTCTTGGAAAAGCTTCTCCACATTGGCCCTTCTCGCTTCCCATTTTGCCTAAATTCGACACCCGAATGCCAGGAACCTGACCAAGCATCTGAACCACGGAAACTCCATTCTGCCTGAATACAAGCGAGCTCGAAGGCTTTCTCCTCGTGGAGATCCTGCAACGGAGGAATTATTAAGTGATTCTTGAGTGTACGGTATTTTATGTGGCGTTGATAGCCTCATGGCCGGATTTCCGGGTCCATTTGAAACAAAGTCTTATCGTTCGTTTATTTTCACATCTCGCTGGTGGCCGAACCTTGGGTCGGGATACTGGCATGCAGGTGAACCCTAGTATTAACATAAACCATAATTTTTCCGTCTTGAAAGTGCCAGGTTGTGTCATGGGGATACCATGGTGCGGATCGCAAGCTATCTCGGTTCCTGAGATGAACCATGTCACAAATGTCAATGGGCGTAGCATGTAAGAGATGGGACCAACATAAAATACTACTAGGTTCCCTCGTGCTTTCTGGTGTTCATCAAGATATCCCCAGACTACCCCCAGATCCCAGCTTAAAGGCCTAAGTCAAATCCCGAAGTCCAAGACGATTTTGGACTATTCTTTTACTTGGGAGATTAAACTCTTTTTTTGGGCTTAAAAAGCCTAGCAAAAAAGTCCAACATGGTTAACACATCCAAACAAAGAGTTTACAACTGGTAAGCTATACTTCTATAATCCAAAATATATATAACTTGAACTCACAGTCTCCGCAGGTATATCTCATTGGTAGCCGCAAGTTGTATGGTGCTCTATGGTTATGATGCAGCCGTTTTCAACGCAGTACAAGGTTCCAAAAATTGGGCCAACTATTGGGGGAATCCCGACCCAAATCAAATTGGCGCTGTTAACACTGCGACCACCGTTGGCGGTATTGTAATCGGTTGGTTCGTCTCCGCGCCCATTAGTGACCACTTCGGACGTCGAGTTGCCATGTGGCTTGGTGCATTCGTGGTTCTTTGGAGTACATTTATTCAGGCCTTTGCACCTGCCGGTCATGGTATCGGGGCCTTCCTAGCAGGGAGATGTCTTGTGGGTATGGGACAAGGTCTGGCTCTACCCGCTGGACCTGTGTACATCGGTGAACTGGCGCCACCAGAAGTTCGAGGCAAAATTATGAGTTTCTGGCAGATGTTTTTCAGCGTTGGCAGTTTTCTGGCGTATTGGGTTAACTATGCCTGTACCAAAAATGTTCCCAAACTAGGAAATTGGGATTGGAGGATGGTTGTTATCTTCCAAATCGTTTTCCCCGCAATAATCTGCATTTTGATCTTCTTTTGCCCGGAGACGCCACGTTGGTATATCCAGAAGGGTAACGAGGAAGCCGCGCGGAGGTCTTTGAGGAAAGTTAGAGAAACGGAAGAGGAGGTCGAAGCTGAGATCCAGCAGATTAAACAAGCTATTGAATACGAGAAACATGTTCTGGATGGAAGATATTTGCCATTATGGAAAGATCCTTCTATTCGCAAACGCCTCAGTAAGTTTTATGCAAACTGAAATAGTTTGCCTTTTGGTCAGTAATGCTAATGAGTACTCTTAGTTCTCGCTTTTATCATGAACTTTGGTCAGCAGATTACTGGACAGGGATCCCTTAACAGCTACTCCACGATTGTATACAAGCAAGTGTTCAAGGATAACTCGACTATCCAGCTTATCAATGCACTCAACGGGACGTTTGGTATCCTCTTCACACTCAATGCAACATGGACGGTAGACAGATATGGTCGAAAGTTCCTTCTCTTTGTCGGTGCTATTGGTATGGCAGTGTGCATGATCTGCTCAGCTAGCGTCTATATCGGCACACCTACCGAGGAAGGTGGGGCCAAAGCCACCGGTGTTGCTAGCAGTATTGTTTTCCTTATGTTTTTGTTCGCGTTCTTCTACAAGCCTTCCTGGGGAGCTGCTGTTTGGTAAGTTTGATATTTTCTCGAATCCGTCTAAATTTCGGCTCCCGGTTATAAATTACTTCAGAAACTGATTGAAAAATTTAGGATTTGGACTTCTGAAATCTTTTCGATGAATGTCCGGGCCCAAGCAGTTGCAATGTCTGCACAGATGCAGAACGTCAGCAATGCTATCGTCAATCAGATTTTCCCACTGATATTAAACAAGATTGGGTTCAAGGCTATGTATATGTTCGCAGGGATCAATGTTCTCCTCGCAGGGTTTGTCTGGTTCTATATTCCTGAAACCAAGGGAATGGCACTCGAAGATATGGATACTCTTTTCGGGGGCGTCAGCCATGCTGAGAAGGGAGCAGCTTTTGTTGAGCACGATAATCCAACTGAGATTGCTAAAGACGGTGCGGACCTAACTGTCCACGAACTGGAGAATGTGCCGAAGAAGGAAGCTGTATGAGAGCTGTTGGGGGTAGCGCAGAAAACCACTTTTCGACCTCTACAACTTTTATAATTTTAATAACTCCTTCTTATATATATATCCACCAGGATCATATCATAATACAACCGTTGCAGATATCGGATATGTCCATAGATTGTTTCTACTCAATACAATATATTATATATCTACGGTATAGCCGAGACGATCGATATACTTATATATATCATGCGGCACTTTAAAATATACTACCACAAGGCGAAGGGCGAAATTAAATGTGCCTAGATGGAATGGGAAACTTGATTCTCAAAGTGTCTAGTTTTTGTAAATGATCTCATGCATCCCACATCTGGGGCTATTAATCGTGATGTGTCAAGAAGGGCCGGCTGGGGTGCACTGTCCAGGACAGCATCCCTGTTCAAGTTTCGTACGCCCCCACATTGGCCTCGCTCTTGGCTTTACACCCGGCTTGTGCGACATTTTGCGGTCCGGTGTCGTATTGTTGGTCGCGTACCATCTTTGTTTTGACAGCCTCATATGCACCTACATAATATATTTTCAGGCTCGTGTTACATGGGCATATCACATTCCATTGCTTTCCGAAATACAGCTCGTTATTCTTCACAGTTATGTCTCTTCCCGCTTTCCCGCCTCTGCATACCTCTTTCTTTTTCGAATTTCTTTTCACTCCCCTCTTTTTGCCCGCAAGGTTTATGAATCAGCCTGGGTATTTGCTATCAGGCTTTTTGTGATCACGTCTCACAAGTCTGCAGGATGCATGAACGTCTATGTGGGTCTGATCAACTTCAAAAATCGTGAGCCATTGTACCAAAAGGGAATTTTAAAAACAGAACCGGTGGTTTTTTTTTCTCCCTCCATGTCTTTATTTCATTTCAAAATGGCTCTTATCTCAAGCCCACGACGGCAGAGTAGTTTTTCTTGGCTGCGACGAGACACCAACTGATACATCGTGGCACACCATTCTCATCCCATTGCAGACGTATGGACGCCCTGTCGCTCTAGACTACTGCAGCTTGAGGCGACTGATGCCCAAGGCTCCACTTTTTATTTCGTCGCTTTCCGCAGTACAAGTGAAGTCAGTGCTTAGAAATACGTAGAACCCTATCGGACGTGGAAGGATCACAAACTGGTCTTATCGCTTCTATCGTGTGGAGCTGAGGCAGGTACATTTCGCCTGAGCAGCCGAGGAAATATATTTCTATATAAAAGGTAGCCCTGCGACAACACTAAAGCTAGTTAGTCCCTGGTCCCTCGTATTCTAATTTTCCTAAATCTTCGATTATTATTCCTGTTCCTATTCGGGTTATCGAAGTCTCGGTGCAAGAGCCTTGAACGAGCTGGGATTCCGAAAGACATCCCAAAAGTCATTCCAGCATCCAGCTTTCGCGGAGACGGGAACAGGCATTAGGCTCATTTGCCGTTCCCCACTGCCAGTCTTCCCGGCCGACCGCTGCAGTAGCTAGCTAGCTTCTCCGTTCCGGACGATACGAAAAGGAAAGAGGGCACCAAATCCCTGGATTGTTCTTACAATCAACATCCCCAGCTTCTGGCCTCCCCACGAATACCATCGTGACCCTTGAAGATCAAGTTAATCCGCGCTGTTTTTTCAACCCGTCTAAAGCAAGCTCTTTCTGTTTTTTGTATTTACCCCATGCATTTGAGTATCCGACACAGCCAAGAAAGGACAGTCATATATATATTTTTTGCCATCCGGTGTATGTAGGAACGTGCGTGCTTTGACTGATAGGCGAGTAGACCTTGAAGCTGAAAGCACAGAAGTGGGGATCTTTGACAATTTTCGACAACATTGCCATCATTTACTCTCAAAGAAACGGAAAAGAAGGGATATATTACAATCCACCCGTTACAGGGTGACTTTTGCAATTTGGGGTGTACACCGCAGTACCGCAGGCGCGAGATAAGCACGATATATAAAAAGAAAGCAAGAGGCTGTTCAAAGGATCCCCAAAAATCGGCTTCCCTTTTTCCTTTTCCTCCCAACTTCTACACTTGCATTTTTTTTTAAAGAAAAACATAATATATCGCGAGCTCGGACCTAGCTTTATCCAATCGCCAGTCGGAAACCTTCTTTTGGTCCCAAGATATTTAGCTTTCGTTTTCTCGCCTCTTGGAATCTTATCGCTGCATCTATCGCTATCTAGTTTCCGAACTAAACCACCCCGGGTTTAAGCCCGCCGTTACCAAAGACCCCCACAAAGTAGGAGTCAAAACCCTGTTTTGATCTCAAGTCATCTACCGCCTGCATATCGATATCATTGGTATCGGAAATCCCCAAATAGAAGAAGCGGTCATCGATCACCATTCCGCAATATCGATATCACAATAACCCTACGAAATCCCCCACTTTTTTTGAAGAATTATAAATCGAGAGGCATTTCCCCCGCAATTTCGGCATGTCGAGAAGCAAAGTTGGTCTGTTAGTTGCTGCAGGCGTAGGCATTGCAGGAGGTCAGTTATTATCGTCCCATCCGTTTTCGTCCCGTTTCGTCCCAACTCACCGCGGCAAACGGTGCATGGTAGCTGGGACGTTAAATGTAACCGGATATTAATCTAATGGCTTTGGCTTTGTTCAATTCGTACAGGAAAATATCTTTTTGAACCCCTCATTCTTGAGCAAAAGCAAAAGGCTGAGGAAGAAGCGAAATCCATGTCTTCACTACCGAAAGTCGAAGAGGCCCCGCCCCAGCAACAACCCGCGCCAACCACCGCGACATTGGAACAACCTCAGACTTTCTTTGATGTTTCACAGACACCGTCTGCTATCGCTAACACACGAACACTCGCATGCCTCCCTTCAACTGAAATATCTAAAAGCGCACACCCCAATGATGCCGCCAAAATAATGGACCATCCTTTACCTTCTAGCCCTCTTATCGCGAAGAAAATTCCAAGCAAAGAAGACTCGGGAGAGATGCAAGCGGAGCCATATACACAAAGCCCCGGTGGAGTCGGGCTTTTTGGTAAGGTTAGATTTTGGTGAGCAGTATAGTAAGGAGAGCTTAGGTGCTTATTTCGGGCTGGGCGTTTATGGTTGGTACATGTATGAAGAGGATTTGGGAAAGCTAGCGCGCTGTAGAGTTGGTTGGAGTTGAAGCGCCCACATTCTCGAGCGACCGATATTTGCATGGAGGTATATTCCTGTATTGCATTGATGTTATAACTTTAATTGTATCTCGTACTGAGCCTCTGTTATGAGCAGCCTTTCAATTTTCACCGATCGTTTTTCGTTTTCATTTTTGTTCTCTTCTCGTTCCTTGCGCGAAGCTCAACAAGCTGGGCCTCTTATACTAAAAATCAACCATCTTCCTAGAGGGTACGTATGGGCTAGGGGAAGCACAAGATTGATATCCATTCATGTTACGGAACTCCTTTCACCCAGTCGCGACCCTCAAATATCGCAGAATCATCTACCTTAAAGCCTATAAGGCTTCAATCACTCACTCTTTACTCTCGCGCAACATCCAAGACGTTTATATAGGCTATCCGTATCTCATCTTCCATCAAATCAAGATACAAGCGTTTGTGGTTTAGTGGTAAAATTGATCGTTGCCATGACTGGTTCTCCAGTTACAGTTTCGATCAGCCCCGGGTTCGATTCCCGGCGGACGCATTACTTCATTCTTTTTGTTCCTTTAACACTGCTCTTACAATATTTTTTTTGAAGCTGGCGATGTTTTGGAAGGTCGCAAAGTTGTGTGGGAGAAATTTTTTCCTTTTGGCTATTTTGAGTTGGGGTTAGTGTGGTGGCAAGGATACCACACGCCGGAAATTTGAGCTAGTTTATTCATAAGATATCGGGTTTCGGCAGAATTGAAACATGTCATGCAAGGTTAAACAGTGTGCATAGTTGGGATTTCAAGGGGAATATATATGCGGCGGGGCTTCATCTTACAATTGAGGAGATACATTTGACTTGTCGAGGTTTCATTGCATTGTTGGATTTCATGGTTTTGTGCGTTGTCTATATCAATGATGATTTGTGTGACCGTGAGATTGGACCTTCTGTGTAACGAGGCCATCTGTTCCTGGGGCTCTTTACGTTTCGCTTCTATTCGATATTGATATATTCTATACCATGTCATTGGTTCTGAGTCCATCCGATATGACATTATCATGTCGGGCCGAATTTGAAGTGAACTAGCTTTGATGCCGCGTCCCAAAAATATTAAATAAGTACATACAAGGAAGTATAACTAAGAAATTGCTCACGAAAGCTTCGCCCGATGCACAATTACACTCTAATACAGCCCGCCAGTCTATGAACGAATTACCTGTATCTTACACTCCTTCTCCTGCCAACCGATTAACCCTCGGTTTGGAAGCTCTCCTTGAGTTCTTCCAACCGTCTTCTTAATTCGGGGACAGCTCTTAATTGCAGCTCAAGGTCTTCCTTTTCGTCTTCCAATTTCAATCGTCTTTCTGCATCTAATTTTGTAAACACGAATCCACCCTGGCCATCAAACTGCAAGATGTTTTCGTGGTACTTCCATAAACTCTTTCTATGGCTGACGGTGATGAGGGTGATATCTAGCTGCTTGGCGGTTTCGTACATGATTCGTTCGATATCGAGGGTTTGTGCTGCTGTACACTCATCCAAGATAGCACTATTTGATCATAATAGATTAGTCGGGTTGCCATCGAAATTTTGAGGGTCTCAAGATATGTGGACTTACAATTTGGGGGCGTGGTAGAACAATCTAGCCATAGCAATTCTCTGCTGTAACCCACCGCTCAATTGCTCTCTCCACTCCTTCTCTACATCCCACCCACCTTCCCTCTCAACAACGGACTCAATCTCCACAATCTTCAAGAGTGCCATCAAATCATCGTCCGTGACACCCTTATCGATCATATCCTTCAATCCATCAGGATAAATGACCTGTTGCCTTAACGATCCGCGGCTCAAGTATGGTCTCTGTGGGATATAGAAAATCTCCTCGCTGGGTGGCTTTCTAACCTCACCACCATACACAGGCCACAACCCACCAAGGATTCTGAACAAACTGCTCTTACCACATCCGTTTGGTCCAACAATCAACAGATGTCCTCCTCTCTTAACCTCAAACGAAAGCTTCCTGACTAAAACATCACCGTTGGGGCTGACGATTGGGACATCTGTAAACTGGATATAGCTGTCTTCGATAACCTTGCCTCTTCCGCGAAGGACGGCGGCGTTCTCTTCAGTTGACGCCGAGGAAACAAGGTTCTTTTCGAAACGTCCATTTGTGATATCCTCCATGACGTTCAAGAGTGTGGATACACGGGAGGTATAACCTGCCAGCTCGGTGATTTCCTTGTAAGAGAACATGACACGGCCGAAAGCGTCAGAAGATGAGAGCAAGAGACGACGGTTGGTTACGAAACCTTAGTAAATACGTTAGCCTAGGGTACCCTTGTATTAAATAGGGTGATAAATACTCACTCTCTGTCCGGTCTCCCAAACTTCCACCCTTCGCGCCAGGAATCTTGACGAATACTGGTACACTGCAAAGCACCAAACCAAGAGCTCCCCAGAAGTACTTGATCACGTAGTCTTCCATAATTCCGTGGTACAATCTCTGCCTGAGGATATGGTTTACATACTTAATCAACCTGAAATATCCTTTATCAAGCGTCTTCTTCTCATTTTCATGACCGTTGTATAAGGCCACCTCCTCGGCGTTATCAATAAGTCTAGAATGTTGATGTCTAAACTCTCCCTCCAACTTCGCCTCATCGGCGACATATTTACCGAACGGAGGCGTAAGTGCTCGCATAACGTTCGCAGAGATCTGGACTAGCAATGCCATCAGGAAGAGACCTTCGCCACCGACATTCCTCGAAAGTTGGTAGTTGTAGATAACCATATCCAACACTGGCTTGGCGAGGTTGGAGTAGAGTTCTGCTAGCGAGTTAGAGAATTTACGAACGTCCTCGACAATCAACTGGTCTGGGTTTTTGATCCTGTCATCGAGGTTTCCGACGGAATAGAATATCATATTAGATAGATATTGGTTGTGGATGTGATTTGTGAGACGAGTTCGATATTGAAGGGCAAGTTTGCATTGGTGGTACGACAACTATGATATATATTAGCCCTGATAGATCCAATTTTATATAAAAAGGCCCTTACCATAGAGTTTGTGAATGTCGCCGGGATGGCAACCACCATCCACCATATTATCCCGAGCACAAAGTCCTTCCCTTTACCCCGGACGAGATTGGAGACAAGTCGTCCATCAAGTTCGGCAACATACAAACTAATCAGTGTTCTCAACACCAAAAACACCGAATGGCTAACCAGCAACCTCGCTTCCTTGCTCTTCCATCCCGGAATAACAATCTTCAACAACCTAAAGAGATTCCTGAAGAATTCTCTATTTAGTTCAACCTTCTGTCGCTTGGAACTATCAGATGTCGAACGTGTAGGCTTTACAGCAGGCTTTTGGTCGGAAATGGCTGCGCGGACTCGGAATACGAGGGCGAGGAAGGTGAATAGATATAACCCGCGAGAGATCTTTGTTTTATGTGTCAAGTAAAACGTTAAAGATGAACTAAGGACGTTCAGCAGAGCCGCCTGGCTGCCGGCGGGCAGCAGTTTGGATTGCACTCCCATCGCTACACTTGTTTTCGGAGATCGATGGCAAACGGTTAACGGAAAGAATACAGTATTGATATGATTCAAACGATTGCGCCGACAGTAACGGGTATCATGGCGAAAGAAACAGTCAGCAATGAAACGCGATAGATAAGTAGACGATGGTATTAGTTGTCTTTTGATCCGTTAGTGTCGAGGACGGAGTTTTATGAAGGTGGTTTGGCTTTCACATGTTTGGCTGGCGTCATGTGCGCTTCGGCATTTCTCCACAGCCAAAAAGGGCAGCTTCGGCGGCCCCACAGCGCAAAGAAGGCAGCCCCAACCAACGTGCAACGGTATTCTATAACAGCTGATTGTCAGTGGTAATTTCGTTGGGAATCAAATGCATTTTATTTTATGTATTTTATTTTATTTACACCGACGATGCATGTTTTTGCGTATAAAGAATAGGCACTGCTTCCAGACCCACTCAAGCTAAAGCCGGCCGAAGATGACATAAGAATTCGAGCCAATCGGCACAAAGAACAGAAGAAATGTTTAACTTACCGCTTTAGGAAATTCAGGGAAATACAACATGTCCAACGCAAGATCTGGTGTTGAAGTCCAAAACCCATACCGTATCCGTGTCCTCCCCCCACAATTGATATCAAGAGCTCTCTCCATGGTAAAGTTGCATAATATGAATCCAACCATTGGACAAAAATAACAATCCCTTAAACTTCAAAGCCACAGCTTCACTCTAAGATATCACAATGCAGTCTCGCTTTCCCAACCAGGTCCTTAGTATGCAAAATGAGGTTAGCGTGGACTCGCTTGAACCAAGCTCCTTCCTTCTTCGGTAAGGACTATTCCCTGAAGGCGCCTGATTCATTGTAAAACGCTGCAGGATATTTCTGAATCTGATGTCCTTTGCGGCTAACTTAAATGTTAACGCCACCGGAGGATGCAGGAGGCCGAAACTGAGGAGATGGGTATTCTAAGATAGCATTTTCAATATTGCGAATTGAAGTAGTAATAGAGTTAATATTAATATTGATGTGTTTATTTAAATTCTCCAATACTTGCTGTGGATTTCAAGTTCAATTCCTTTCTTAAGCTTCATCTTCCTTCTGGCTGGTCTGGTTGTTGTATCCCTTCATCCATTCTGATATTTCCATTCGTAATTCCAACGAGGCCGGCCTCATTGTACATTTCATTCTCATAATTACACGACTTTATTCTTCTTCCTCGATTTAAATCAATTAATTGGTTTCAATTCAATTGATTAGGACTCAATAGCCCAGGCCCTCTATTACCCAACTCGGAACTACATAGCATCTTATAATATTTAAATTTATCATATCAAAATGCACTTCACAGCGCCCCTCATCACCCTCCTAACCTTCCTCTCCGCCACAACCATAGCCGCCCCGGCGGCCTCTCCACTCTCCAGCCGCGCAAAGGCCACCACAGGCGCTGATCTCAAATCCAAAATCCTCAATGAAGCCAAACAAATGCGCCAACCAAACACTCAACTCGAATTCTTATCTTCCCTACCAACTTCAATCTACGATCAACTTCTCGAACTCGAATCCCGCGCTGGTGGCGGCGACGGCCAGCCGTTTTACCCAGAAGTCGCAAAGCACGTACAACAAGCATATGGACAACTAAAAGCTGGTCAAACACCTACATTCCCCTCCGAAGAAGAACTTCCTGGCCATACAGCCGTCATTCTAAACCTAGATTTCGCACGTGGGAAAGCTACAAAACCCTCAGAGACTCCAGAAGCATCTAAGGGAAAAGAAACCGAAACTGCCGTCCCCGCCACGCTGACCAAACGAAAGGCAAAGCTTACAGGCGCACAACTCAGGGCTACTTTCATGGGACAAGTGGCAAAGAATAATTATGCCCCCTCGCAAGTACAGTTTTATAATAGTATCCCACAAGGGGTATGGGATAAACTTGCGGACTTGAGTTGTAGGACTGTGAAACCGAATGGACAGTATGATTCTAGGGTGGCGGCACAGCAGCAGAGGGCTTGGGGACAGATATTTAGGAATCAAATTCCTACGTTTTATTAGAGTTTAGATTAAATATATTTTGTTAGCTAGCTATAAATCTATAGAGAGCGTGGTGGATGTGGAGCTCATACAGATAGATAATTGTAACCTACTTGTGAGAGCTGTTTACTATGCAGATTATGTTCCACAATGAACTACATTTGTGAGGATTTCATCGCATCGAGATATGTCGACAGAGCTCGAGAGTCGTCACTAATGACGGCCGCGCGGGCTAGCCAGGTTAGCAATGAGAATTACAAGGTTACAATTGGACATGTTTATTTATAGCCCTAAGTCAACACCAGCCAGGTTTTTCCTAGTCCCGCAGACTCCCCAACCTACGATCATTCATTATAAGCGTTACACAAACTAGATCACACTAAAGTCAATTTCAAGTAATTGGCATAATTTTTTCCATTGCCGTTGGTATCGATCATTAAAGCCCAAAAACGCCCTAAGTATCCTCGCCCACCCCACGAAATTTTGGTGTACCATACAAAAAGAAGAATGATAAAAAGAAACATCAAGTGAGAAAGAAAGGGGTAAAAGTCAGAGACAAATCTCCAAAGAAGACGATTACAAGATCCGATACAGAAGAATAGTGATGATGTTATCTGAAAAAGAAGGGAGAGTGTGTGTGGTCCTTGTTTCCCCCTCGAGAGCACTTTTGTCGCAACCAAGCAGAAAAAGACTTTCAACTGTGCAACTCCTCAAACAGGCCTTACGCCGGACGAAAAATGGTTAAAAACGATAAAAAGAATTGACAGACAAATGTTATACATTCATCTTGACGCTGAGCTCGTTGACATCAGGAGAATCTGTTTCTTGGTGTTTGGCAGACGAGTATTTTGGCCTGAATGTCGAAACGGCAGGGATATTTGCTTTAAATCTATAGTTGGTGTTGTTAGTATAAGGTTCAAATCGTAGGGTGGGTCATAGCAAGGGGTTCTCACCTCTCCTCCTTTGTTCCATAGGCCTTTGGTGTCAACTTGATAAGCGTGTGCAATGGGATTTCCATCCATGGGCTCCTGTCCTGGGGGACGTTCATGAAGTACGCATAGATGCATCGAATAACCGCCTGATGCGTCACAACCATGACATTCTCTTGCCTCTCCATCTCCATGATAATTGGCTCCAAGCGAATCACCAGATCGCGATAGCTCTCGCCGCCACGGTATCGATAGTTGTACTTGTCATCATCACGGGCGCGGAAGTCCTCGGGGTATTGCTCTTCGATTTCTTCGTATGTGAGGCCATCGCAGGTGCCGCTGTCGAGCTCGTCAAGGGCTTTCCATTGGAGTTTGTTGTATGGGAGGTGTTGGGCGGTCTGAATGGTACGTTTCATGGTGCTAGTCCAAACTGTAACGTTTTGCTCCGGGACAATACCGGCTTGGCGGCAGATTTCGGGAAGAGCTTCGGAGTAGCGGAAGCCACGCGGGGAAAGGTCGGCGTCCCCGCCGATTTTGCCTGCGAGGTTAAACATAGACTCGCCATGCTTTTGGGACACATTAGCCTTTTTTGCTTGCTAAAATGTGGGGAAGCTTTTGAGGCAAACTTACTCTAGACAACCAAATTGATCTTGGCTTGATGTGCAAATTCATCAAGAAATAGACAATTCGGCTTTGGAGGTAATCTTGGATACAGTTGATGACAACTTGCGTGCCGACATTGATCAATTTGACGTATGTGTAGTCCGTCTCTGTAATAGTCTCATAGATCTTCTCATAGTTCCTGATTCGATCCCTGAAGTCCTTGGCTGCGAGCTCGGGATCCTGGCCGCGGTAGTCTGGAGATGTAGTCTTGACCTCCATGATGTTGCTCATGATGAGGTCTTCATCGTCACACTTGGACTCTACAAACATGACTTCGATGCCATACTGTCCAATGGTCTGGGCGATCCATCTCCGACGAGCCTGGGTCGAATTTGTGGCGTCAAGGATGGCAACAGTCCCCTTTTCTTGGGAAAACCATTTGAGCATGTCCTTAACTGCAGCTTCGGCCGCAACCCGGCGCATGCGTTCACCTTCCTTGTTGTTAGTGTCGAAAAAGTCCGCCGTAGGTTGTGGTGTATCCTGACGACGATATGTTCCGACATTGAAGGTGCGGGCGTCGACAGACAACCAGCGGAGATATCTGACAACTGTACAGCAAATATCAGTAATCTCGACTTCGAGTATCACTATTGCTGTTTTGATACTTACTCTTTCCGGCTATCAGACTCTTGCCACGAGCAGGCAGACCCACCATCACAACACAAATTCTGGTATCCTCCACCTGAGTTCCAACCACAGTCCCATTAGTCCTAGGCATTATGACAGATATGTATTATAGGCGTGCAGAAAAAAAATAAAGAAGAAGAGGGGGGAGAAGCCAATGTCGTAAGAAAGGCTATTATCGAGTTTCGAGAGCAGAAATGGAGAGTTGGGGTCAAAACTGGGGTACAATGTAGAGCTGGGAGAACTGTATCGAAGGTTCAAGTGGAGGAGGATATAATATAACAATGGAGGCTACCGAGGTAGCAAGAGTTCGACTTCCTTTCAAAAGGGTAGGCAGACTAAGGCTTTATGACGAAAGGGACAGTCCAAGCTCTTATAAAAATGTCGCAAAGCTAAAAAAGATAGCTAGCACAAGCAGGGCTGAATTTATAAGACGGAAAAAGTAAAAGTAATGGGAAAGGGAGCTATGGTGCCAATCTGCTCTCGATAGCTGCATATCTCAGCACACGACCTCAAGATTGCGTATGGAGATCGCACCGGGCCTTCCCCAATGCACCCGAGCATACGCTTCAGGAAGGGGTGGTGTCGCAGAACGGACAAGGGCTAGTATTTGGTCTTCCACGGAGTATACGAGCAAACCATCGGAAGAACTAGTACTCTGCCCCAGACTGCAATCT